CACAGGTCCCTGACCCTTGGGGTTAGTCATGTAGTAGTTGTTGTTGTCCTTCTTCTTCTTCTTCCTCTTCTTCTTCTTGTCATCTATCCAAATATTCAGAAAGGGACATGTCAGAACCAGTGCTTTTTTTTCTAAAAAAATGTTTAGGGGTACAGTGGTACCTCAGTTTAAGTACTTAATTCGTTCCAGAGGTCCATTATTAACCTGAAACTGTTCTTAACCTGAAGCACCACTTTAGCTAATGGGGCCTCCTGCTGCTGCTGCGCCGTCGGAGCACGATTTCTGTTCTCATCCTGAAGCAAAGTTCTTAACCCAAGGTACTATTTCTGGGTTAGCAGAGTCTGTAACCTGAAGCGTATGTAACCTGAAGCATATATAACCCGAGGTACCACTGTATTCTCATTTTGACTCAAGAAAATCACTGGGAAAGGAAATGAAGCTGCCATCAGAGGTGGTAACAACAAAATTAACCAATCACTGTGCTAGATTCCAGCTCCTACTTCACACATTAATGGACTGATGTTCTGACTCAGCAGAAGGCAGATTTCTGTGTTCCTATCTAAAAAAAGAAAGAAAATAAAATCCCGAGGAACAGAGGAAACTCAATTCTAGTCATCCTTTTACCATTTCTCATCTCTGTTTTGCTTATACAGAGGTGTACCCCGTCATTCATGACGTGGCTTCACAGCAGGGAATCTTGGTGTTTATTTCGGGGCCGGCTGAGCTGTTTACGCATCCTGCTGGGGAACTTTTGAGAAAATGGCATGAAATGGCCTCCTCCTTCCTGCAAGAAGAGCTTATCAGCTGAATGGTAAAACCGAAGGATTTCTGCCTCTTACCCCCGCAACTTAAGTAACTCATCTGTTGTCAGCCAGGTTCCTTCGCTTGAGTTTACAATAATGGCCTGGTTCCCACAGCCTCACCTCAAAAAGGATAAGGTAGAACTGGAAAAGGTTCAGAATAGGGCAACCAAAATAATAACAACAATAATAATTTTATTATTTATACCCTGCCCATCTGGCTGGGTTTCCCCAACCAATGATCAAAGGGGTAGAGCTTTTTAGTTTAGAGAAAAGGCAAGGACAGGGAGACATGGTGGAGGTATACAAAATTATGTGTGGCATAGAGGAAGTGAACGAAGAGAATTCTCCCTTCATCACTCATATCACAAAAAGAAAACCCCTCTTCCCACAGTGCAGAGTTAAACTATGGAATTAGCTCCCACAAGCAGCGATGATGGCCACCAACTTTGCAGGATCAACAAATCATAGAAACTGGAAGGGACCACAAGGGTCATCTCACCCAACCCCCCTTTTCACCTGATGTGGGGCTTGAACCCACAGCCCTGAGATTAAGGGTCTCATGCTTTACTGAGTGCTAGTGTCAAAACTGGGTGGAAGCGGATGTGGGGACTTGTTGAATGGTTTGTTTAAATTTGAAGGTTCCTTCTTGTTCCACAAGATGTGTGTTTCTTTAAGGGCCAAATCAAATAACATGACCTAGTTTTACAGCTGTGAAGCAGTATAGCAGGTGCTGTTAAGGTCTGGTAATTAAGCTGTTGGGTATAGTATATAAAGAGCAGCACCTAGCTCTCTCAGTACCCTGGTGGTTGGGTCATGCTTATTGATATATTATAATTAATGTAAAAGGAGTTTTTGTTATTAAAACCTAGCTAAAGTTTTTTTGCGTTCCTTGTAATGTGTGGTCTCCCCAGCATGCCTTCTGCAGCGCACGTAATCTGCAAATAGCCAACAGTAAAAGGACAAGGAATAAGGGGAAGGATCCATGTGTTGCCACTCTCTAAGTGCCCTTGTCTTCCCTGGCATTCAGGGAGCCGCCATTCCCCCCCCCCAAAAAAAAACCCCAACAGTGGTGACCTTTTTCTCCTGGAAAAGTGCAGTTTTCTACACCTTTCAAGGTTCAATATTATTTCTACTCAATCCAACCCAGCTCCATTGGATAAGTGAAATGCTTGCACTTTTCCTCTCTGAATATATAGGGGGAGAAGCGACCAGGCAGGATGGTACCTACAGCACTCACTCAAAAATCCAAAGGCCTTAAAAGTTTGCCAGCCCCTACTCTTTGGCAAAGGGATGCAGGTGGTGCTGTGGGTTAAACCACAGAGCCTTGGGCTTGCCGATTGGAAGGTTGGCAGTTTGAATCCCCGCGAAGGGGTGAGCTCCCATTGCTCTGTCCCAGCTCCTGCCAACCTAGCAGTTTGAAAGCATGAAGTGCAAGTAGATAAACAGGTACCGCTCCGGCGGGAAGGTAAACAGTGTTTCCGTGCGCTGCTCTGGTTCGCCAGATGCGGCTTAGTCATGACTAAGCCAATAAAGCGAGATGAGCGCCGCAACTCCAGAGTCGGCCACGACTGGGCCTAATGGTCAGGGGTCCCTTTACCTTTACTCTTCGGCACTTTCGGTTTTAACTCCTTAAGTGAGCCTCAACACAATCTTTCGTCACGCTTAGGCCTGAGACAGCACTGCTAGGCCCATTCTGGGAAGCTTCACGGAGAATTCTTAAGCCCTCCCCCTGTGTTTCAAGTTTTTAATCTACTTCACCTTGGCCCGTACGCAAGGCTGTGCCCCAAAACGCTGGAGTTAATAGGTTAAGCAATCTGTGGCACACTGTACACGCTTCTTCTTGCGTGCAAGATTACCAGGAGCCAAAGAAAGGTTGCCAAGACAACCACAGATTATTTCTGTAAAGAAGAAGACACTGTTTTAATTAAATAGCCACCGTAATTGGAATGGAGAGGAGTGAGGCCAAGTGTCCTTCATTTCCCCCGCCCCTTAAAAAGGTTTAAAACGCAGACCTCGTCTCACTTCAGAAAGACATATAATAGATTTTGGAAAATCAAACAGAAACACACTGTTCTAAAATAAATAAATAAACATAACCTTGTGACACCTTAAATTTAACAGATCTGTTGTGGCATAAGTCTTCCTGGATGGAAAAAGGTATCGGCACAATAAATCTGTTAGGTTTTCAGGTACCGCAAGGCTCTGCAATAAAGCTACTCCTCTGGAAGTTGTTATCCACATCAGAAGGCACACTTGTCCTCTGTCCGGAGTGCTGCCCTCCTCTCCTCAAAGGGACGTTCTAGACTTTCTTGTGGATTTCTCATATTCTTGAGAGGAGCCTTGGTGCATGAGTCACATATCTGACCTTGGGCTACTGTGTCAAAGAGTATATGAAAAAACATTGTTCTGGAATAAATATATCGAGATGTGAGGAATAAAGTTTGCAGGCTTGAGGAAAGGAAATAAAGGCATAAAACCGGAAGTAATAAATGTGTGTTTATGTATGTGTGTGTGTGTATCTATATATATACACACACATATACATATATATATATAAAACACAATGAAAAAGAAAAATTGAAAATTGGAAGTCGCTAAAGGATGGAAGGAAGTCAGAATGTATGTATATGTGTTTGGTTATGTTTTGTTATAGTTGTTTTTCTTTTATGTTTTTCTTTTATTTCTTTTTTACTCTTTGTATTGGTTTTCTGATTGTTTCATTTTATTTGTATTCTATGTTGTAATTCTGCATTGAAAACTCTATCTATCTATCTATCTATCTATCTATCTATCTATCTATCATCTATCATAACTGACCTTGGGCCAGTCGCTGCCTCTGAGCCTAACCTACCTCACAGAGTAGTTGTGGAGATTAAATGAAGGGGAGAACTATGTAGGCCACTTTGAGTTCCCTGAATGGAAAGGTAGGATATAAATGCAATAACTACTCATAGTTTCCTGTGCTTGGCTCTCCATAGATTGCTGCTCTACAGCTCCCCTCAGCCCCCAGCTAGCATGACCAATGGCTATAGAAGCTGTAGTTTGGCAACATCAGGAGCGCCAGAGGTTTCCCACATTTGCCCTAGGTGCTCTCCTTCCCTTGAAACGAGACATTCACATGCACATCCAGAATTTTCATTAAGCCACTGGATTTTATTCCACAGCGTACAATCACAACAGTCAATTTAACATGAGAAATAATCAGAGGAATGGCAGGAAAAACATATACAAGAGGACACCATTTAATCATGATGAATCTTGTGGGGGAGTTTCTAAAAAGCAAGCAAACCCAAGTACTGCATCTTTTACATTTACTGCTTATTTTGACATCTTTGCTCATCAGTTATTAGTGAGTTAAAAAGAAAATTAAACCAACGATGCTAAAGGGGCTAAAAAAAAGTTTCAGAGTAATCAAAATGAAAACTGCTAAACCTGCTTATTATCAACAGCCAGCCCCACTCCCTGCAACCTGCACATTCCTCTGCCATGATGCATTGCGAATCTTAATTGTTTTTCTACCCATTCGCAATGAAATAGTATGCGTCAGAATTTCAGGAAGAACAGCCCTTTTTGCTGAGGGTCGCTGCCAAATTCTTCTGATGCAAAGCAATCCCTTCTCACCCCCAAATTATTACATATTTGTACAGGCAATACGTTGAAGGGGAAAGGGAATGTAAGGTAACAAGTTTACCCTTTAGCATTTGAACATCAGTTTCACGGTGGCCATATTGGGATGATGGTATCTTGACTTAATAAGCGGAGATGTGAATAAGGTTTTGCCCACGCATTCAGCTCCTTCACTGAAGCCGCAATTAAACCAGAAACTTTCTAATTAACCAGCTGCTTCCTATTTCATCCAAACCAGGAAACTACGGTTACCAGCTCTGGAGCTAGCCAGGTTCTTAAACCAGCTTCATATTGTGGTTTAAGGTCTTGTCTTGAAGGTGGTAACTGCATTTCCCCAGTTCGGGTGACTATGGTTTGACTTACTGTTTTAATTGCAGCTCACACGAAGGAACAGAAAGGGCTGCATGCACAGGCAAATGGCTCATTCGTCAAGCCTATCTCTGGTTCCTTTGTTAAGTGAGTACTGCCAAAATACATCAACAAGATCTGTTTTAAAGCACCAACACCAACACTTTTCCTTAAAAAAATGTAAAACGGAATAAAGCAATGTCTGACAGGATGGAGACAATACTAGTAATGGCCATACTGTGACCCCTGGGAATAAGAACTATAGCCATAGTGGGACGGTCGCCCGTGATAGGAGTAGGAAGACTGTCCTTGTCTGTGCTGCTGATAGTTATTTCCCCAGCTTCTCTCTTGCCATTGACCGTATCTATAGCCTCCTTGCCGGTCGTATCTGTCCCCTCTGCCTCTGAATTGTCTGCTGTCTCTGAATCTGTGGAAGAAAGCGAATGGTATGCATTTTAACAATATTTATTTTCAAATTGCATCAACATACACTGTCTCAGTAGGGTGGATAAAATGTATTGGGTTGTATCCAACATGGCGGTATGTTCAAGTCAGTTAGCACAATACAGATTCTGCTGGCAAGATGTTGTCTGCCAGCAGGAAGTTGTTGCATGGGAGAATGCGTAAGAAGATTGCTCAATCTTTTTGCGCGACAAAGTTACCAGCAATCTGTTGCACAGCAGGTTTCTGTTAGTGCAACTACTGCACTGGATTCCTCTGTTGCGTAATATTTAAACTTGTATTTGTGTTAAGTGAACAGAGAACATTGGATACAGCCACTTTTTAAAAAAAATCCAATTTGAAAATTGAAGTATAAAGACTTATGTTTCTCTTACAGAAGCACTTGGTTAATATTTTTTTTAAAATCTGAACACAAGCATGTTAGATTTAATATCTAATCTGAATCATTGCCTTCTGCCAGATGCACAGAGTTAAAAGAAGCTTTTCCTTGTAAACAAAGAACCAGTTTTCTCATTTCTCAAATGTGCATATTTACACTCTACCTGATTTGCAGATTTTGTATTTGAAACAGTCCTGTTTAGGGAAGTTTTTAATGTTTGATGTTTATTGTGTTTTTAATATTCTGTTGGAGTGGCTGGGGAGGCCCAGCCAGAGGGGCGGGGTGTAAGCAATAAATAATAATAATAATAATAATAATAATAATAATAATAATAATAATAATTTTGTATTTGAACCTGGGATGGGGAGCCTTTGGCTCTCCAGGTTTTGGCTTACAGAGTAGACCCAGTGAAAGTATTAGATTTACAGTGGTCATGTCCATTCATGCTAATGGGTCTACTATGAGTAGGACTTGACTACAGCCCTGGGCTAAAGTTTCTTGTTTCAGAATGTTACATCCAAGCAACAGCTAAACTGTCTCACTTGCATGGCCCAAATACTATGAAACGCAGCACAGGAAGCACCAAGTAAATCTAATGCACAATGTCCTTTCTTGTTTCCCTAGTGTCAGCAGCCAAGATTAAGTTAAAACTAAGGAAGCACAGTATGTACAGCCTGGAGTATATGACTCAGAATATTTTCAGTAGGTAGAAAATCCCAAGTGTCTCGTAGTGGGGCTGAAGTATATATTTGTCACAAAGAATCATAAGAAACGTAGATCAGACCACGCACAGCGAGATATGTTATCTAAGAATGCAAATGAATTTTATTTTATGTTATAAAATAAAAGGCCAAAATAAATATAAATATTTAGCCTGCTGATTGGCAAAGTCATTTTTCTGCTAATAATTATGTCACAGAAGAAAGGCTATTTGGCTGGCGAGGTGAAGCCTGGATCTCTTTTCTTTGCCATGGGGGAAAAAATCACTTCATGCCCAAGGAAGCAACTGGTCCCAAGGGCAATCTGTTTCAAGAGTTTCAGTTCATTCCTTTTGGCATAAGCAGCACTTTGATTCAGCTCCACACAGAATTTAAAACCCCTGGCTCTGTTGCTTAAGCAGAGTGCCTAGATTCCCCACCCTTGTCGCTACTGGCTTGGAGAAAAGGGAGAGGGGAGAGAGAAGGAAAATTACCCCAAAGCATCAACAACTGATGGCTCCATCAGGGATACTATATGATCCAGGTAAGGTAAAGGACCCCTGGATGGTTAAGTCCAATCAAACGCAGCAAAGTACCGTATTTTTCGCTCTTTAAGACGCACCAGACCACAAGACGCACCTAGATTTTGGAGGAGGAAAACAAGAAAAAAAATATTCTGAATCCCAGAAGCCAGAACAGCAAGAAGGATCGCTGCACAGAGAAAGCAGCAATCCCTCTTCTGTTCTGGCTTCTGGGATAGCTGCGCAGCCTGCATTCGCTCCATAAGACGCACACACATTTCCCCTTACTTTTTAGGAGGGAAAAAGTGAGTCTTATAGAGCAAAAAATACGGTAAATGGCCTCTCCATGCGCTCTGATTTCCGTCACGGTGTTCTGTTGCGCAAGAAGCAATTTAGTCCTGCTGGCGACATGACCCAGAAAGCTGCCTGCGGACAAACACCGGCTCCCTCGGCCTGAAAGCGAGATGAGCGCCACAACCCCATAGTCGCCTTTGACTGGACTTAACCGTTCAGGGGTCCTTTACCAATTTACTATATGGTCCGCAGTTGCCAACCAAAAGGTAACCGTCTTGTTTTGCAGAGATTATAAAGTAGGATCCTGGCCCATCACCAGCATAACTGCCTTACAGTAAAAGTATGCTGGGCAAAAGTAAAAACAAGGGATGGGGGTTCACCTAACCATTAGCTCAGTGAGGGGAGGGGGTCAGGAGAATCTCTAGAAAAACCCATGGAGTGGGGGAGAAGGGGCATTGTTGCATCTGGCAACCTGGCATGCTTATACAGAAGGAATATTGGAAGAGTGCGATGCTGAATTCCACACAATGGGTGGCACCCAGTGCTAGACCTTCTCAAAAGCAGACGCTTTGAAAATAAGGAACCTAAGATAGTAATGCTGATTAACTTCAACATGTCTACTCCGAGTAGGACTAGCATTGGGTACAGCCCCATGGCAACAGCTACTACTCAAATCTTAGGAAGGGAAAAACATAAACGCTTTAGCACAAAAACGCACTAAAATAATCTGTCTGTATATGTGGTCAAAAACCTTGTGTGACAAATTATAGCATATACCAACACCTAAACTTGTTTCTACCCTACAAGTCTTCCTCAGTGGCTCAAAAAAGTATCGAACCACTTATAACATGAATCTGGCCTCTTAGACAACATGCCCAATGATGTGGTGAAATGACCTCTCCTCATAGCAATCAAATCACTGTAAAAAATCCAAAGTCACGCTCATGTAAAAGAATATTACCAATTGAGTTGTTATTGTGGTAGTGCCTAATCACACTTCCTTTGAGGGACCTGGGAGGTGGTATTATTATTGATTGTTGTTGTTGTTGTGCCGCCCATCTGATTGGGTTGCCCCAGCCACTTTGGGTGGCTTACCATTGTACATGAACTGAATTTTATCTCTTCACCATATTTGATGGGCAGATGTTCACACAATTTCTCCTTTTGTCCTTCCCCAACTTGCTCTTTTGTGTTTTGCATTGGAGGCTAGATGTCATTCTCTTGTGCTTTAGTTTCTTACAGTAAAAATAGTGGCTGCTGAGAGCATCAGTGGACAGGGTAACATTTATATAGAGCCAATAAATAAGAGCAATACCTGTCTCTGTATCGCTGGTTGCCACCTGATCTATTCCTCCAGTCCTCTACTAGAGGAGGTAGATCTGCAGCACGTTGGACGTATTTCTGATATTCTTCATCTTCTGAAGAAAATCGATTTGCAAACATCTTTTCATAATTCTGAAGTATCTCAGATACAGAAGGCACGGTGGGTTCTCTGGAAGTTTAAAAAAAAAGTCTCTCCTAAATTACATTATCTGTGGAAGTTTGAGGATTAAAGTTGTTTACAAACTGGATTTGCAAGTGAGAAAGGGTTTTGTTTCATACATCAAGGGTACACTGAGAGCAGCTCTTCTTTGAGAGCCAGTGTGGTGTAGTGGTTAGAGTGGCGGACTCGTAATCTGGTGAACCAGGTTCGATTCCCCGCTCCTCCACATGCAGCTGCTGTGTGACCTTGGGCTACTCACACTTCTCTGAAGTCTCTCAGCCTCACTCACCTCACAGAGTGTTTGTTGTGGGGGAGGAACGGAAAGGAGAATGTTAGCTGCTTTGAGACTCCTTAGGGTAGTGATAAAGCGGGATATCAAATCCAAACTCTTCTTATAATCGAGGCAGTAATCACAATGTCATGCACTTAACCATCTGCAGCTTTCAGCAATACATACAAGAATTTCCACAATTGTGGGCGACCCACGTATACAAGCTATTTGTAGAAAATCAGACACCGACAAACTCTGAATCAAAGCTACTCAACCTTTGGCCTATCAAGTTGAATATAGCTCATCAACTACATACTGTGACCTGTCTGATGCTTGGCAACCTCCCTATGGCTGAAGACAAGACAACAGTGCTCACGATGACTGAACATGATTTCAGTAAGGCGTCACTTTCCAGGGTGAACAGTTCCATCTCTCTCTTGGAAGGTTTATTAAACCCCTGGCAAGCTACTAATCACTCCTGGATATCTTGCATTAAGCTTGATTTAGTTCACACATTCTTCAGATTTTCTCTGTATGATCTTGAGGTTTGTTGATTTATTTTAATTTCCTCACATTTATATCCTGCTTTTTCATGGAACCCGAAGTTATTCCAAACTTCAGGGAATGTTATCATATCTAGGTAATTTCTGGAACAACTAAAAATGAAGCATTTGCGCCTCAAGTATATATGCATATTTATTTATTTATCTATCATCATTCAACCTCCTGGGAGATCTTTTTTTTTAATTAAGCCGTTTCTAAATTTTCTAAATAAAAGAGGAAATGCATGTATTCTCAGGATAGCTATTAGAATACTCAATATTTCCCTGTGTTAGAAAGGTTGTGTGAAATCAAAGAGGTTGTGTTAAACAGATTGAATCCACTGTGCATTAAACTCTTTTTGAGAAGATACATTCCTCCCATCACAAGAAACACACACTCTGTTGATGTTAACCAGGGGAGCACTTAGGAGGTCTATAGCTCCGCTGGCTGGTTTGTTGCAGGCTATAACACTAATCATGCAGGGAGATATTCAACATGGACCACTAATTGCCTTTGAGAGTGATTAGGAGACACCTCACCGAGCTACAATTCCCAGCAGCCTGAACAACCCAGGATTCCTTGGGGGAAGCCATGACAGTTAAAGTGCTACAGTATAAGAGTACTTTAAATGTATTTTGTGGAAGTGACTCAAGGCTCCTTTAGTCCATTAATTTAAATGGGTCTACTCTGAGTAGCACTAGCACTGGACAGAACACAAACTGGGCAGAAAACTTTTACGGTTTCTCACTGTGCTAATATCTCAAAACCCTCTTCTACAGATTTGAATAGGTTGTGTGTTGCTTTGCCTGTGACTTGCGTGTTATGTTCTTAATCATTAATATGTCTGCATTTAAAGGAGAGACACCAAAGAACTGTAGACACAGGATTAAAATTAAATGAATAGATTAATGGCCTAATTATATTTAGGTTTTTGCCATTTTGCTTTGGTTTATGGTGCTTCCTTATTGCATAGCATACTCCTACAACCACCAAAAAAGCAAAGCATTGGTAAGGGAATGTTTTCAACAGACCTGTTTGCCCAGTCTTCAACGATGGGAGGTGGGTCTGCAGGGCGTTGGACATATTTCTGATACTCCTCGTCTTCAGAAGTATATCGATGAGCAAACAGGTTATTATAATTCTGAAGGATGTCAATTGTGGAAGCCATTCTATAATCTCTGCAAATATGAAAAAATATATATTTTGACCACCTTTGGAAATCAAATACTTGTGTAAATCTTTGGGTTGAAACTGTCAACAAAGTGGATTACAGAACTGAATGAAAAATATAACATTAAGCTTAAATTTTCTGTTTCAAACAATGGGTGGTATTCAACTAAATTTTTACACTAATTAGAGCTATTGAAATTAATGGGCTTTCGTCATGGGCCATTGGTCTGAGTAAAACTTAGTTGACTGCTACTCAATAAGTCTGCTATTTATCCTTTATATAGTTATTATCACAAATAGTTAATTTAAAATGTGTCTCTCTCCGTAATTTGGATTAAGATTCTTAGTGCCCCCTCCAACACACACACACACTCAAAGTAATTATACAATGGGGAATACTATCCCTGTACATTTTGTTAACTGGGCATTTGTATTCTGTGGGTTCTGTATTATGCAGGCACATGGTGCAGGTTGCTTCAGTACATATGTGATTTTTTTCATCCTCCACCTAATGAAAAATCCCAGCTGTTTCCAGGAAAATGACTCTAAATATATTCAGAGTACATTCCCCTCATTACTGGGATTAGTTGCCCCAACGTGCTTTAATCTTCTCGAGGTATTGCCAGAACTGTTAGAAGCGTGGGAAGAAAGTGGCCTTTTCACCATCTTCTCAATGCATGATTGTAGATAACATGTGGATTCTAATCTTTTACTACACATCTCTGCCTTAATTGATCTGAACAGTGAACTGCAATATATGGTTCCGCAGTTGCACTTAACTCAGATGGATCATAAAACCTGCTTCAACTCAAATAAATGAAGATGAGTCAAAAGTGGTGTGGGAAGAGGGAGGGAGAGATCCATACTCACTTTTCTTAAACAATGGTGGATGTGAATGAGAGTGAATATAATAACAGAAAAAGAACGCTGCTGAATCAGGTCAAAAGTCTATCAAGTCTCACATTCTGTTCCAACAGTGTTCTTTTGGAACACTTGAACAGTGTTCAATGCTGTTAGCTGCTTTGGAAACTTTAGACAAGAAGTAAGATACAAATATACTAAATAAATACTGAGAGCCTGCTGGATCAGGCCAATGGTCCATCTACTCCAGCATCTTGTTTTTAAAGTGAACAACCAAATGCCTGTGAGAAACCAGCAAGAGGAATTTGGGTACAATAGCACACTCCTCTCTGGTGGTTTCCAGAAATTGGTATTCAGATGCATTTGTGCCTCTAGCTAGAAGCAGAGCATAGCAATCATGGCTAGTAGCCTTCGACAGCCCTCTCTTCCAAGACTCCTCCATAATTAGTGCTCAGCCACCTGCTTCTGAGATGGCTGAACACTGAACTATGGAACTGTGTGGGAGAACCTACCTCACAGGGTTGCTGTGGGGGATAAATGAGAGAGAGAACCATGTACACTTGCATCCCGAGCGCACTGGAGAAAAAGTTGGGATATAAAAGTAAGAAATAACAACAGTACAGTGGGACCTCAGGTTACAGATGCTTCAGGTTACAGAATCTGCTAACCCAGAAACAGGACCTCGGGTTAAGAACTTTGCTTCAGGATGGGAAAAGAAATCGTGCGGCGGCAGTGGGAGGCCTCATTAGCTAAAGTGATACCTCAGGTTAAGAACAGTTTCAGGTTAAGAACGGACCTCCAGAACGAATGAAGTTCTCAACCTGAGGGAGCACTGTACTGAGTTTTGAAGTCTGAAGTTAATCTCTAGAATCTCGCCAGTTAAAAAGACTTTGCCTTGATTCTGAGACCTAAGATTCTTAAGGCTTATAGAGTACAGCTGGGAGTCAAACTACTCAGGCCTAGGCAGGCCAAATGGTCTGATACAATATAGGACAGTTTCGTTGCGATCACAGAATCGTAAAACACGTACAGTGGTACCTAGGGTTAAGTACATAATTCGTTCCGGAGGTCCGTTCTTAAGCTGAAACTGTTCTTAACCTGAAGCACCACTTTAGCTAATGGGGCCTCCTGCTGCTGCTGCGCCGCCGGAGCACGGTTTCTGTTCTCATCCTGAAGCAAAGTTCTTATCCCAAGGTACTATTTCTGGGTTAGCAGAGTCTGTAACCTGAAGCGTCTGTAACCCGAGGTACCACTGTACAGTTGGAAGGGACCCCCTAGGAACACCTAGCCCAACTCCCTGCAATGCAGGATTCCCAGCTAAATCATACACAGCAGGTGGCCGTCGAACCTCAGCTCAAAAGCCTCAAAGGTCCTGAGACACAGTGTGTGTGTTTGGGGGGGGCGGGGTATGCAGAGAGAAGGGATGGCGACGACCCTCCTAGAGCCCCTCGCCCCCCCATCTCTACCCGCCCGCCCCCTCCCTCCGCATGTGAGGCACAGGCCCTTTCGACATGCCCAGAGGCGCTCTCGCCCCCCTTCCCACGGCTGAGGGGCTGGCCCCGCTGTGGCAATATATGGGCTCAAATGAAACCTTGAGGAGCACCCAGCCCCGTCCAAACCCCCGGAAAGGGGATGCGCCGCACTCAGCCCGACCCTGAGGAGAAGGAGAACCGACAGCCCCTCACCTGAGGCTGCAGCAGGAGGAGATCCTGTTTCTTCTTCCGCGCGCCGGCGGCCTCCAACTTCCGGTTCCGCCCCTTGCCTGGTCTCGCTGGCGGTGGGCGTGGCTTGCTCGGCCTGAGGTAAATCGAGAAGGCGGGCCTCGTCGCTTCTCTGTCTCCTCAGGGGCTGAGCTTTCGCGCTGGTCTCGCCTCGGTTCGCGTCCCTTCGCGGACTCGCACCATTAACATCCAAATAAAATGCACAGCTTTGACGACGAGGGAAACCTCTCGAGTCAAGGCGGCGGCGGCGGCCGAGGGGGTGGGGATTGCTCTGCCCCCTAAAAGTGCAACCGCCGCCGCCCCACGCAGTGAAACACCGACCTTGTGGGCTGAGGGGAGGGGAGGGAAATAATGTCGACTCGGGGCAAGGGTTCCGCACGGGAAAACAACAAATATCGAAATAAAAGGTTGGGTATACAAATCGGATAAATAATAATAAGACTATGGAGCCATTCCTCCAAGGTTGAAATTGACCACCAGCTGCGAGTCCGTCCGTCCGTCCCCCACTTTTTAGACGACACGAAGGATCAGAGAACTGCAGAGCTGGAAGGGACCCAGAGGGTCATCCAGTCCAACCCCCTGCAATGCAGGAATGTGCAGCTCCCCCATGCAGGGATCGAACCTGCAATTTTGGCATTATCAGCACCGTGCTCTAACCAACTGACCTAAAGGGACCTCTGACCGTTAGGGCCAGTCGTGGCCGACTCTGGGGTTGCAGCGCTCATTTCACTTTACTGGCCGAGGGAGCCGGCGTACAGCTTTTGGGTCATGTGGCCAGCATGACAAAGCCGCTTCTGGCGAACCAGAGCAGCGCACGGAAACGCCGTTTACCTTCCCACCGGAGTGGTGCCTACTTATCTACTTGCACTTTGACGGTGCTTTCGAACTGCTAGATTGGCAGGAGCAAGGACCGAGCAACAGGAGCTCACCCCGTCGCGGGGATTCGAACCGCCGACCTTTCGATTGGCAAGCCCTAGGCTCTGTGGTTTAACCTACAGCGCCGCCACCAGCGCCCCTTTATTCATATTCATATTTTATGCACCAAGTCCTCATTGCACGCTCTCTCATACATAAAGTATTGCTAACTGTGGAGCAAAGACAACCGCCAGACTTTAAAGCCATCCATGTTGGTGGCCATCCTGTGGAAGTGAGTTCCGTAGTATAACTGTGCACTTTTCCCTGCTGCCTGGAGGCAGGGAGAGAAATCAATTGTTGCCAATGGCTGCCTGAGACAAAATTGAGATGCTGCCGCTACACCCAAATATGAAATTGAAATGCAACGTTGTCGATGAAGGATGGGTGCCCCCTCCCCAGTCAGCTCCAGTCAAGGATCTGCCACCTGTTCGGTTAATAAATACCAGGATGCAAGAGTGTTGCTGCTGCCTGAGGCGAAGGGCCAGTCTGCACCTAACCAACAAATAAATATTGGAATATATGTAGTTTGCTGCAGGCCTGCCTGGTGAGGGTCCACAACCACCAACCAGCTGCTGCCACAGGTGTAATGGTCAGAGGTTAGTTTTGGTTCAGAAAAAGCTTTGGTTTTAGACAGCAATCCTAAATATTCTAGGCTACTTCCAAGTAAGTTCCCACTGGAATCAACAGAGGTGCTAAATCAACATTGCCTTTCATGATCAGGTGTGTGTCCATTAGTACGGCTTTTTAAATGGGCACCTTTAGAGCACAGAGTACAATCCCAAAGGCCCTGATAAGACTTGAGTTTCCAATATAATGCTTGCTAGGAGAGCATTTATCTTAACAGTGACCTTTAAATGTTAACTGCCTGTGTAACAAAAAAGGGAAAAAAGTTGTTTTTATATTGAAGAGAAGACATTTTCTGAAATGGAGCAGAGAGGTCGGTAGCGAATGCTTCCAGAATATTTTATTGCTGTACCTTGGGACCGATACAAGCATAAGATTCCAACTAAATTTCACTCTTATTGTTATCATTATTTATTAAATTCATATGCCGCCCTTCATCTGAAGATCACAGGGTGGTTTACAGTACAATAGCATAAAATACACAATAACAAAATAAAACCATACCCACCCCCGACAGACACACAGGGGTTTGGACTAAATCACCCTCAGGGTGTTCCAACTCTACAATTCTATGATTCTATTAAAAGGTAATAGATTGTTTAATCAGCCAAAGACCTGAGAGAAAAGGAGCGTTTTTTGGCAGGTGCGTAAAGATATGAAATGACGGTGTAAGGCAAGCCTCCATGGGGAGGAGGTTCTACAAATTCCATTCTTCCCTCCTCAGTGCTACATATTCCCTTACCACTCACCCTGCCTTTCACTGGCTTTAGCCTCTACTGGTGCAGAGAGATCTCAGTTATGTTGCAACATATTTTTTCTCACCAGTGTGCAAAGGAATTTCCTATCTTGCCCAATAGGCCTAATTCACAGATAGGATTGCTCTGCTCAGATACACGCTTGCCCTCTCGTACTTGGGTACATCACTGGGTCAACTTCATAATATTAGGCAGCATTCTCCAAACCTCTGGCAACTGAAGTACACTTTAGTTCTGATTTATAGTTGGATTTATAATTAGAATCTGAAAAAAGTCATGGCAAGTCCCAACCCTGTGACTCATGCAGAGATGCATTGGGCATCCTCCGATCAGTTGGGTGGGGGTCAATTTCAGGACATTCATGCTGCATGAGACAAAGGATGATGTTATGTACTGAGTTGAATAGGATCCAAACTGCAGCAGTCTGATTGGTCCTAGAACAATAGGATCCAAATTGCAGCAGTCTGATTGGTCCTAGAACAATAGGATTCAGAATGCAGCAGTCTGATTGGTCCTAGAACAATGCAGCAGTATGATTGGTTGGCAGGAACCACCCAATCATGCTCCAGATATAAGTGAATCCACAACCTGATTGGCTTACAGTAGAATTCCAGAATTAGCCAATCATGTGCAGCACATTGTGTAAATAATGTATATAAAGCAGATACTTTGAGGGGACTTTCATTCATTCCTCCTCACCACTATGAGCTGAATAAAGAGCATGAAATCACTTTGCGACTCTGAGTATATTTCAGATGAGATCCTTCCCCACCCAATTCCATTTACAGAAACTTACTGGTTGAATTTTGCTTCAATTCTGGTAATGAGATAGTCTTCTACCACACCTGAGGGCAGCAGGCTAGTTTGCAGGGCAGGTCAAGTGACACACAGCCTCTGCCCACCAACACATCCCTGCCACTCCCTGCCTCCCCAGCATCTGCTGTCTGAAGCGGCTGTCTCAGTACCTAATGGTAGAGCTGCTCCTGCTCCTACCTGTTCTTAAAGAGCTACTTGAGAGTCTCTGCTGGTTGAGGCAGAACAACAAATCCTCTCTTGCAAGACAGTCAAGTTATTTTTTGCATCTGAGGCAGAAAATCTTACTGTCACCTCTTTCCATTCCTTGGCTGAAAAAAGGGAAACAACAAAAGTAAATTAAACCACTAAAATTGTGCTGTGGTTTCAGGACAGTCTAATAAGTTCCCTGAGGCAGCTGCCTCACTTTGCCTAACGGTAGGGCCAACATGGGGAGTTTTCTTATACAGAATCAGATCGCCTTGCTCAGTTTGTATGCACTGACCAGCTGCAGCTCTCCAGGGTTTCAGACAGGAGTCTTTTTCTAGCCCTGTCTGGAGCTGCTGGAAACTGCACCTGGGACCGTTTACATGCAAAACATGTGCTTTATCACTGAACTACAGCCCCTCCTCATCCCTTGGCTGCTGCACCACTGCTGCGCCAGTAATATCCCTTTGCTGCAGTGGTTCCACAGCCCAAGTGACTGAATGATCTAGTTGTGACAGAGAGATGTGACAGAATCACTTGCTTCGAATACAGGTTGATTAGAAGTAGGCAAGGCCAGAGGAGTGGATAATGCAGAGGAAGAAAGGGTAATCTTCTTCAATAAATGGGTGCCTTAGGGCCACAGAAACCATAAACTCTTTCTTTCTTTCTTTCTTTCTTTCTTTCTTTCTTTCTTTCTTTCTTTCTCGAATGTCTCCCTTCCTCTTGCTGCTGACACATAGCTTAGGAGTTACCGATCCAAATATGAGTAAATAAAATCCTGTTATGACTCAGGAAGACTCAGGCTGCAGTTCACAAAGCCGAGTGAGTGGTTCTTGCTTTGGGATTTAGATAAGCAGATGTTACATCATGGTAGCGCATTGTGGGGTGCATTTAATCTGAAAATTTAGCAATCCCCCCTTTTTGCAAAGAATGGCAACAACAACAAGGCCAACAACACCAGGCACGAATAAATGTCCCGGAAACAAAAGCTTTTTTAAAATGTATTTATTATAAAAGCAGCAACAGCACACAAAAATTAGACAGTTAAAACTTAAATGCCACTATTAAGAGGAGTGTGCATCATCAGGAGCATAGCAGCTCCAGGAACACCGCCCACATGTATGAAGAGATGAGGCATAGGGCCACCTCTCTCTGGCCATAGGAAAACTATGAGGACTGCGCATAGACTGTACCTTTAAAATCACATTATTTTGCTCAAAGAACCCTGAGCACTGTAGTTTACGCCTCACAGAGTTACAGTTCCCATCAACCTTTAATAAACAATGGGACCCATAATTTTTTGAGGGGAGAAATGTGCCTCAGATGTACTTTAAAGGTATAGAGTGTATGCAGCCTGGGAAGTAACGTTTAGACTGCAAATGTTTACACATTTACTTGGGAGTAAGTCCCATTGAAGTCGATGGAGTTAATTGTTGAGTTTTTTTGGGGAAACCTCCCCCTGACGCTAAGCATTTATCACAGACTAAAACTTACAGAGATGGAATTTACCAGTAATTCACACCCAGGTTGTGTACACAGCATACATTTAAAACACATGCCTTCCCCAAAAAAGAGGGGGAAGGGTGCTGGGAAATGTACCTCTGTGAAGGGGAAGCTACAGTTCCCAGGCCTCTTTGGGGGAAGTCATGTACTTTAAATATATGTGCATGCACAGCCCAATAAGACACTCTGTTTTCTTAAGTTAGGGTTGGTTAAATATTGTAGATGTGAGCATAACGTACACCCATAGATTGCATCTTTGGCTAATCAATAGAGCTTCAGGACAGTTACTTTAAACTAAGGTGATATTCCTGTTGCATGTGCCCCCATTCTAATCATGTTTTGTGTGTGCTGGGTAGCTGGAGCCATCTTTCAGATTTTCCACAATGGTGACAATAGATCAGAGGCACTGGAGTTGACTCCATCAGAGCTCTGCTGCTGCTCACTGTTATCACCAGAACCAAATATACCAGCTAGGGAGACCCACCAGAGGACATTTTGCCAAGGGAATATTCAGACCTGGAGCCAGGCTTGGATATTTTCAGATTATACCAAAGATTTGTCTAACCTATTTTGGGGTGGGGGGAGTCATGCAGTATTTTGGAAGTGATTTTAAAACAGATGGACAAAGCAACAGGAAGGATGCGCCAGGGACATGCCAGATGGACATGAACATATTTGAAGACTTGGGTGAAGGCTGGCCTCCTACCAGGAGGTAAAAATCAATGCAGCTTATCCTAAAGCAAATTTCAATTATTAATCTTAATGAATACATTGGTTTTTTTGCATGGGAAAAATACAATGTGGCCATATGAGGTGGCATCATGCTGTTTTCTTTGTACACTAAAGGCTGATTCAGTCAGGGAACATTGTGGCTTGTTTTTGTTCACGGTTGTATAAACTGATTTGGGGTGAAAAGCTGCATGCGAAATATATACAGTGTTATATGTGCAAGCCAGTTAAGTAGCAAGTAACATGGTGTGCCAGACTACAAATACTTAAAGTGTAGCATTCTAGTACTAGCCGAGTCTGATAAGGTTACCGCAACAATAATGAGGAAGGATATGCATGGGAAGCTCATTGACAAAACTCAGCAGGTAGCAGACCTTACTTAATTAATCACTTATTATTTTCAGCAAGCCATGTCATTTCAGCTAACTGTGCTTTGTATAAGCCCTGCAAATAAAGACTGGAAAACAGAGTTTGCTCTTGATTTCAAGTCTTCATTTCTCAAGGCTCATATAAACAGTGGCCAGTGGGAGGTGGGAGTTGTGGTCCAACAACATGTGGAAAGCCATGGGTTCCCCATCCCTCATCTGGCAGCAGCTGTGAACCATTACAGCTAAATGGAGCCTACATTGAAGAGATAACAAAGTACTTGCCATGACCATTGAGTCATTGGCACTTACTGCAGATCCCCAAAGCCAAGCTGCAATAGCCTTCTGGAATTGAGATGTCAGATGCCCGTGAGCCTGAACCAAGGACTGCAAGCCTAAGTCCAGCAAATATGGTAAGGTCCTTTCCCCCCGCTGTATTTCAAACTGAATTGGGACAGTGTTGTTCACATCAGAGAGGGAGCAGGGATGTCTTCACCAAATGTGAATGCCCTTTTCGGTTTCCCCGCACCTGCAACACACACACACACACTGCTATTCATGAAGCTGCCATCTGTGCACAATGGTGGTCTCAAACATTCGCATTACAGTGGTACCTTGGTTTAAGAGCAGCTTAGTTTATGAACAACTTGGATTAAGAACGCTGCAAACCCGGAAGTAGGTGTTTTGGTTTGCAAACTTTGCCTTGGAATAAGAACATGTTCCGCTTCCTGTTGAGTGTTCCATTTGTAAATTGAGTCCCCCGCTGCTATGGGAAAGCACGCCTTGGTTTAAGAATGCTTTGGTTTAGGAATGGACTTCTGGAACGGATTAAGTTCATAAACCAAGGTACTACTGTACTCTGCATCTAGTTTTCTAGCTGGATTGAAGCTGATTTGAGGAAAGCACATCAAACAGCAGTATGTGTCAAAAAACAGCTGGATCAATATGGATTGTGGCTAACTCCACAGGAATGTGGCTTCAAAAACTAGCAGTGGTTGTAGAATAAGTAGTAATGTGAACGTCCCTTGAGTCTTCTGTTATTTGGGCTGGTTATTCCTAGTTCCTTCCACCTTTTCTCATATGATTTGTTTTCTAAAAAATCAAAGGGAAGGATGTTGCCTTTTTGTCTTCTTGTGGACTTCCTAGAATCATATCTTTGGCCATTGTTAGAAAAAGGATAGTGGACCAGGTGCACTTTTGGCCTGATCTAGAAGAGCTCTTCTTATGTTAGTGGAAAGATACAGGAGCTGTCATATCTGAAAAATGGTAGCAGAAATTAATAAGAGAGCTCACTGTGACTTTCTAATTGTGTAAGGACATGTGATTCAAATAATTCATATCTTCACCGCCAAACTGAATGACAACCAAACCAGAGTTTTGCTTTGATGGGCTGCAGGTGCCAAAGAATGCCTTTTGATAAACTGACTATACTCATCATTTGCAAGCAGGGAATCAGAAGGATGTCTGGAATTTTACAATCACCTGCGCACGCATGCCTCTTGAAAATTAAAGGTATTGTTTTGTGCTTCCCATCTCCTCAAGTGATGATTCTAACAGCTGTATTTTTCAGCTGAAGAGAAAAGACTAGATATAAAACTGAGTGTTGCGATATTAGTTTATTTACAAACTATGCAGGTTGAGCAAGCAAATAACCATACAGTTTTTAAAGCAGCATTGGTTTTCACTCCAGCAAAGCAACAGAATTACCATATTTTTTGCTCTATAAGACTCACTTTTTCCCTCCTAAAAAGTAAGGGGAAATGTGTGTGCGTCTTATGGAGCGAATGCAGGCTGCGCAGCTATCCCAGAAGCCAGAACAGCAAGAGGGATTGCTGCTTTCACTGCGCAGCGATCCCTCTTGCTGTTCTGGCTTCTGCGATTCAGAATATTTTTTTTCCCCCTCCTCCAAAAACTAGGGGCGTCTTGTGGTCTGGTGCGTCTTATAGAGCGAAAAATACGGTAACTTGCAGTCCACACCAAGATTCCCCCTCGACGTCCACTGGCAAAACTCAGATAAAACACGTGTTAAGTTGTTCATAATATATTCTTAAATGACATTTTTTATGTGAAGAAATAAAGCAGCCGCAGCACCCCAGTTTGAGGTGCATCCACCAGCTACCAGTGATCCAATGCCATGAAGCAAGCTGTTAAAATGTATAAAAGTCTAAAGATGACCTCTTCACTTGATACAACATGGTGGTATTCCCATGAAGCATCATTTGACTTTTCAATCTGTTGTAGATGGACAACATCACATGCAGGATGATGTCCATTGCAGATTTTTTTTGGTGGGGGGGAAGCAACTCTAATAATGACAATCTCTCCCTGGTTGCTTTGAAATATAGCCCAGTTTTTATTAGATAAGCTTGGATTATGAACTTCCCATGCCACAGAAGAGATGAATATTTTCAGCAGATGCCTGCCATTTCTTTAAGACACGGGGATTTGAGTTACAGATGGTGACAAGAGGCTGAGAATTCAAAACACCCGAACAACATACAAGTTGATATGTGAGAAAAATATTTTGGAGAACAAAATGATTCTGTGATTTAATTAGCCTGAAAATTATGCTGCTGTCCTCCAAAACTGCATAGTCTGCCCTGTTGTTTCACAATTTGTTGTCCTGGCTATGGTCCCTTTACAGTTCATAGACTTGTGGAACTGGAAGGCTGTGTGCTCTAAGGGCATAATCCATAACTCTGCTGTGCTACCCTCTTAACATCATCAAAGTTGGCCCATTACCATCAGTACATGTATGTGAGATTTAGAGCAAGGGGTGGGGAAATGTTTTCAGCTCCCACATACCAAAAGGGAGGGGAGGAATGAATTCACCTTTGTACCATAGGCTGGGACGTGGGTGGCGCTGTGGGTTAAACCACAAAGCCTAGGACTTGCCGATCAGAAGGTCGGCAGTTCGAATCCCCGCAATGGGGTGAGCTCCCGTTGCTCGGTCCCTGCTCCTGCCAACCTAGCAGTTCAAAAGCACGTCAAAGTGCAGGTAGATAAATAGGTGGGAAGGTAAACGGCATTTCTGTGTGCTGCTCTGGTTCGTCAGAAGCGGCTTAGTCATGCTGGCCACATGACCCGGAAGCTGTACACCGGCTCCCTCGGCCAATAAAGCGAGATGAGCGCCGCAACCCCAGAGTCGGCCACGACTGGACCTAATGGTCAGGGGTCCCTTTACCTTTACCATAGGCTAGTTTCTATATACACCCCTCTCTAGCCTGCCTGCATCCAGGCAAGGAACAGTCAGAAATTAAGAGTTCAGGGACATAGTCCAGCCAGGCAAGAACAATAAGAGAGGGTGTGAAGCAAGACTCGCGATAGGGTGTGTCCTGAGAATGAGAGGGTGTAGCTTGGGGAGAGTCTGAAGGGCCATATAAGAGAGGCCTGGGAGCCGCATTTGGCCCCTGGGCCTAAGGTTTCCCATCCTTGCAGCTCCTAGATGGAAACCGTTACAAAACTAGTCTTGTAAGCCAAGTGGGGTAAGACTTCTCCAGGACCAAGGAAGGAAATGTTCATAAAATATATGGATTTCACACACCCCCTCCTTGTTTAGATTACAGATGACCCAGCTGGTATATTGTTGGCAGGCATGTCAGGTTAATTCACAGTTCTTAGATTATTAGGATTGCTATTTGGTTGTTGTGAAGAAATCTGGGTTCGGACAGAAAACTATTAATTGTGGCCAGAAAGACTGGTTAAAGCCCTTAATGGTTAGAGGCTAAGGATGCTAGGCTGATTCTTTAGTCACATCCACACTGTATATTTAAAGGACTCTTAAACCACTTTTAACAGTCATGGATAATCCTGAGAATTGTAGTTTGTTACAGGGCACTGGGAACTGTAGCTGTATGAGATCAGCACCCTTAACAAACTACAGTTCTCAAACTTATTTGGGAGAAGACCAAGTGCATTAAATATGCTTTAACCTTAGCTGGAATTTTACTTTACTCCACTCTTAAGTTGTATGATTTTGCTCTACCATACATTTATGCTGTGTGCTGTTATGCTTATTTGTTGCTTTTAATACTGCATTCATATGTTGTGTGAATGGTTTTATTCACAGTGCCTTTAAATCTTCTTGATTGAAGGTGTCAAATAAGTGTGTGTGTGTGTGTGTGTGTGTGTGTGTGTGTGTATACACACACACACACACACACACACACACACACACACAGTATAATGCAATCTGAAGAAAAATCACTGACTCTGCAGTACCCTTTTTTGCAGTGCCCCTTTTCAACTTTTCCAGGACTGCTGTTTGGAAATCTGCCTTGAGGATCATGGCCTTTAAATCTCCTTCGAGCAGACTTAGTGGCTGGAGTTACAAGTGTTTAAAATCTATGGGGGTACATTAGACTGTTGAGGGTCTGACAATGCTTATGTGAGGAAAATCTGCTGAACTACATTCGTCTCATGTGTCAGAATGGCGCAGCTGCTTATCTTGGAAGGCTTTTCAGAATTTGCACTAGATATTTCAGAAAGCCTGTCTCAACGTTACAGCTAATGGCAACGCTTGAAACCTCTTAGCATGATGCATATGGAGGAGGGGGACGGCGGGGGATGTAATTCCATCTGAGGGCTCTGGTGACATTAAACGGCTTGAGCTTCACTTGAGTGGTCGGCGATATCGCTACCTAGATGGAATTTCACCCTCATTCTGCACAGTTGGCAGAAGATGCTATGTGGCGTGGGTGCTATACTTTGCTTTCTCGCTTTCTCTCTCTTTTTGCTGGCTTGGCAATATCCCAAATTCGCACAGAACTTTTAACAAAGCTACCCTTAACTCATATTTATATATACATATATATTTTTTAAAAACCCAGCTGACTGCAACTCTATGCACGCTTGCCTGGGAGCAGTGGTGGCTGGTGCCCTTTGGGATGGGTAGGGCAGAAGGCAGGAAGACCAACAGTAGGTGGCGACAGAGACAATTACAGGCAGGGCCAACTATAGGTTTGTACACATCTTCCTACCTGCTGAGTTTTGCAAGGGGCAACACTGAGACTAAGTAGAGGGGGGGGAGCTGATATCCAGGGCCACCCACTGGGCTGGTTGTAACTAAGAAGGCAGGCAGGTGGGGACTGGGTAAGGGTAGACAGAGGTTGGTGTGGCAGCATCTCCTATCCCCATTATTTGGTTAGAATTGTATGTGTGTGTTTATTTCCCACATTTTTCTTCAAGGAGCTTAGGGTGGCACACATGGGTCTCCTCTTCCTCATTTAATGCCCGCAACAACCTGGTGAGGTAGCTTAGGCTGAGAGGCAGTGACTGGCCCAAGGTCACCCGGTGAGCTTCCTGGCCAAGTGGGGAGGCAAATTCTGACCTTCCTGGTCCTAGTTTGACACTCTAACCACTGCACCACACTTTTGTTGCCCCCCACCAAAAGTGATTTACCCTGCTAAAACAAAACATTAAAAACCAAGTGTGATGGTCTGCAGGGGATGCCTTGGGAAGAATGGCCTCTACATTAGCTATCCCTTTAAGAAAGCCCAATCCACCTTTACAGGAGCCAGGGCTACCTGCAACTCAGCCAGCCTAGCCAAGGGATGGCTACGTCTGCAAACTGTGCACTCATTTGGTTGGCATAATAAAGATGTTGCCCTGCTTTTGGATTGTATCTTATGGGCCAACATGGCTACGGTTTTAGCGTTGTTTGGTTAAGAGACAATGTTGCAGTGTGATCTTTCGGGAAGATACAAGGGGTTAGGAGATGGTGTGGTGGCCAACTAGGTTTTACTCAGAGTAAATCCATTGAAATTACGGGACACGACTAATTTAAAAACAGGTAAAGGACCCCTGACAGTTAAGTCTAGTTGTGAACGACTCTGGGGTTGCGGCGCTCATCTCGTTTTACTGGCCAAGGGAGCCAACGTTTGTCGGCAGACAGTTTTTCCGGGTCATGTGGCCAGCATGACTAAGCCGCTTCTGGCGAAACCAGAGCAGCACACGGAAATGCCGTTTACCTTCCCGCCGGAACGGTACCTATTTATCTACTTGCACTTTGACGTGCTTTCAAACTGCTAGGTTGGCAGGAGCTGGGACCGAGCAACGGGAGCTCACCCTGTCACGGGGATTCGAACCGCCGACCTTCTGATCGGCAAGCTCTAGGCTCAGTGGTTTAGACCACAGCGCCACCCGCGTCCCCCTATGACTAACTTAGATCCGTTAATTTGAATTGGTCTACTCTGAGCTGAAACTTAGTTGGCTATGACCCAGTTTGCAAATTGCTGGCATCATGAGAAAGAAGTCTTTTCTTGTTCTTTCTTTTTTAAGTAGAAACACAAAGCAGGTTAAAAGAACTTCTGTGTTCAAACTATTTTGGAAACAGAGGTTCCACAGAAGAAGTCTTCCTAAGTCACAAGACAAAAATGAAATGTTTATGCCTCCAAAACGTATTGGAAGAACCATATATAGCAATTACTGGATTGTTTATGAACGAGCCATTTATTATACTCAAACAGATGACATCAACTTTTAAACACGCGTCATAAAAATACGTGCTCGTCCTCTCACAGTCTTGCTTCAGAACATAGATGTAGAAATGCCTTGCTCACTAATACCCAACAGCAAGTCTTACACATATTCAAAATGTCTGTCCGTGAATTTTTTCAGCCTAAGGGAGAATTCCCACATTCATATTCCGAGCATCATCGGCCCTAATATTGTGAGTCATCTCAGATCCTTGCCATGTAACCTCAAAGGCCACATTTGCGCCATATATTTAAAGCACTCTTATACAACAGCAACCATGGCTTCCCCCAAAGAATTATGGGAACTGCGGTTTGTTAAGGGTGCCAGACAGAGAGAGACCACTTCTCCCCTCCCAGAGCTATAATTCGCAGAGTAGTTTGACAATCAATCTCTCTTCATAGGGAACTTTGCGAATCGTAGTTCTGTGAATTGTAGCTCAAGTCCATTTCCAACACACATTCTAGATTCCAGAATGTCTGAAAGTTAAATCTGGCAAGTTCTGGCAACTCCCGATTCAAGGCATCTTTGATGCAAGTGGTACCATCTTTTGGAAGTGAGTGAAGCTGCTCTGTAATACCCATTTTGCACTAACATGAAGTGATAATGAACCAGGGACCTTCTGTATGGAAAGCAGTCTCCCAAAGCAAGGGGGAAACAAAGAAAGGAAGAAAAGTGAGGGTGCTTAGAATTCCGGTGAAATTTGAAATTTTGCTTATTACTTTGTGATGTTTCAGTTGGTCCTAATAAAGCTTTTATGCTACTGTTTTCCAGTTTTCCCCACTATTGTACCAACACAGCTGCCTGCAATGTTTGTCAAATTGTAGTAATCCACATGCCAATTATTGTGTTCATATGATGGTTGTTACTTTGTTATCATAGTAAACGCAGCACAGTCCTGGTCCTTTTGAAAACTGCTCTTGTATGTTTGAATCCACAATTCAGGAGTTAGAGAATGAATTTATAACTTGTTGGCCCACCCTTTGGCATACTTCAAATTAGAAACTTTTCCTGAGAGGATTAAAGACAGGTACTTCACCTTGAGACACACATGTGGAAGGTGGTTAATAAATAACAAGAGAAATTAATGTCCTTTCCAAGGCACCCAATGTGAATGCTTTTTTGTACAGTTTCCAAAATGGCAGTAAAGCATGTTATGTTTATTCAAACACTCAATGGAAATACAATATTTTAAAAACACCTCCCCCCATAAAAAACCCAGCTTCACAGGATAAAATTTACATTTGCTAGTTTAAAATCAGCCCGAGAAAACCTTTTCTGATAAATCTTTGTTTATATATATATCTGTGAATATTTGTTTGCTCTCAGAACTGAGCTCACACCAAAACCCCATTTCCCCCAGGTTTCAGCTCAAACCAAGTTTTGTAGCAGTCTTTGTCAACCGGGTGCCCTCCAGATGTGTGCCAGCCTTAGCACATTCTTCTTTATTAATTGCATTCATATAGCACCTTCCTTCCAAGTAGCTCCGGCTGGCCTACGCTGTTCCTTCCCCCCCTTCCCAACTTATCCTCCCAACAACAATCTTGCGAGGAAGGTCAGGCGGAGAGAAAGTGTGCTGTGCGCGCAAGGTCATGCTGTGAACTTGATGGGAGATCAGACATTTCTGAGCCTGGCGCTTTCCAGCGCTGGGTGCAGCACTCGGTATCCTTTTGTTTCCGAAGTAGCGCAGTCCGATCCTATGCCCGTTGCCTCGCAAGTTAAAACCCCACCGCGCTCAGGGGATGTCACTCCGTCCGCAGAGCCCGACGGGGGCGAGGTCCGGGGAATCGCTCCGGCGCCCAGGATCGCGCGCGGGGGAGCCCCTGCGCGGTGGCAGCCGCCGCTTTGATTGGACGCGTCGCGCGCCGTCCCGCCCCTCGCCCTCGGGAGAAACTGCGGCAGCGGCCGCGTGTGCGACTCGCTCCCCCCCCCCCTGCCAGTGAGCGAGTGGGAGGCGGCAGCGGGCGCGCAAAAGCAGGTGGAACTCGGAGCCGCGGCTCCAAAGCGCCGACTTCCGAAGCCGGAGAGGACAGCGCAGCGCGCCCGGCTCCAGGCTCGCCAGCCCTGCCGCTCGTCGCGCAACGCAGCGGGCTGCCCTCGCTGCCCTCCCCGCCTGCGAGAGGCGCTTATGTAAAAGGACCAGAGGCAATTAAAGAGCAGGGCGGGCAGCTCCGAGGACGCCGAAGAGGTTGGGTGCCGCCGCCAAGCCAGAGGCTGCTTTGCGCGCGCCGCCGCCGCCGCCGCCGCCACAGCTCGGAAGCTCCTCGCCAGGGAGCTGAGGAGAAAGCTCTCCCCGGGGCGGCCGTATGTGCGAAGTCGGGACGCGCCCTCCGCTCCCCGCCGGCGACCGAGGCGGCGGAGAGACTCCCCCGGCCAGCGCGCTGTCGCCGCCGGGCTGCGTGGCCGGCGACAAGTGCCGAGAGATGGGGTGAGTCCGGGCGCCAGCGACGGGGTGTGGGGGGCGACACTTTCCCGCCTCGAAACTCGCGCCTTTTTGGAGGGCGCGCGCGCGCGGGGGGTTTGCTCCTTGTGAGGAAGGGGCCTGGGGGGCGGGGGGCGCCTCGCGGAGGAGGCGCTCGAACTTCGGCGCGGCTCTCCGGCTCCGCCTGGCCACTTTCTCTCGGCGCGCCCTGGGCTCCTTTCCCTTTCAGATAGGAGTCCTGCTGGCTGCGCTCGACGGGATCGAGCCGTGCAGAGCCCCTGTCCACCCTTCCCACTATGCGAGACTTAAGCCTCCTGGAAAACGGTGGGGGTTACTTCTGTGTAAATAGGTCCAGGTTCTGGCTTGAATGCTTCTAGATCTCCTGCGCCTTTCGCAGAGGATGTCCAGCCTTGGTCCCTGTAGGATTTTCTGCCTGGCTGCCGTGTCAGAAGTAAAAGTCTCATCGACTTCAGCAGGGCTTGCATCCAGGGGTGTGTGCTTTAAGATCGCCACTTAGCTTTGGGAGGGCTAAAAAGGAAGCCGGCGCCTTGCTTAAAAGGGGAGGGATGGAAGGGTCGTGTGACTCAAGAGCTGGACTATATTTAAATAAAAAATAATCTCAGATTCAGATCATCTGGTTGTGTCAGGGTCAAGCCAAGCAGGGGCTGACTGTCAGCCTTAGGCTGATCTTGGCTGTTCATAAGAGCAATATTTTGAAAGCTATTGAAATCTGCTAGGCATTTTGCAGTGATAGAAATCTAGAGACAAGCCCTGCCCGCAGGGTTGCGAACAGGAAGGGAACAGGTCCAGACAGTACATTGACTTGGCAAGACTGGTGCAGGTGGCAGCTTTACAACCCCGCCCCTCAATTGTTACCTCATTTTTGCAACATATTTCCCACACCTTCCAATCTAATACTACAACACTAAAGGTGAAATATTATACTCGCTTACCTTCAGGTAAAGCCTGTTTCACTCATTGAGTCCATGTGCTCTAAGGCGCCAATTCTTTGCACGTATACCTGGAATAAATTTCGCTGAATGCAATTGGAGTTACTTCTGAATAAACCTGCATGGAATTGGGTTATGGGGACAGGAACTGGCAGGTATGGTCAGGAATGGCTCCCAAAAAGCTGCACTGTGCAATCCAGGAGATGCACCTCCCAGAATCTCTGGCACCATTGCAAAGATGCTGCTGAAAGTGTGCAATGGTGTGTCAGCCAAGGAATGCAATTCCAGACATCATGAAGAAGGGCCATAGTTCAGTGGTAGACTATGTGTTTTGCATGCAGAAGATCCCAGGTTCAGTCCCTGGTATCTCCAGGGAGGGCGCAGAATGTCTTCTGCCTCAGTTTCTGGAGAGCTGTTGCCAGTCAATATAGACCAGTAAGTATTCTTCAACTTTTTCAGCCTCAGGACCCACCTTTAATCAAACATGGATTTGGGTACCCATTTCTTAAACTTTCCCCTCCCCATATATTTGCTGCTGTGATGCACCTTGAATCAGACTGTGACCTAGTAGTGGTTCCCAGCCCACCAGTTGTAGACCAGTGGTGTAGCCTATGGGTAGGCAAACTAAGGCCCGTGGGCCAGATCTGGCCCAATCTCCTCCTAAATTCGGCCCACGGGCGGTCCAGGAATCAGCGTGTTTTTATATGAGTATAATGTGTCCTTTTATTTAAAATGCATCTCTGGGTTATTTGTGGGGCATAGGAATTCGTTCATTCTTTTTTTCAAAATATAGTCAGGCCCCCCACAAGGTCTGAGGGACAGTGGACCGGCCCCCTGCTGGAAACGTTTGCTGACCCTGGTGTAGCCAATACCAAGCTAGATGGGTCTGACTGGTAAAAGGCATCTGACTGCACGCTAGTGTTCTCCATGATGTGGCAAAGAGTCCCAAGGGCTCTCATATTGCATGCTGCTTCATGTCTGCCCCTAAAAATAAAAATATTGCTGTCCAAAGCAAGTGCTTGAGATGTTTCTCTAGGGTAAAGTGTAGCTTGCATATGAGTTTTACAAAAGTTAGGCGCTCACAAAACACTTCTTTCAGTCTGCTTGTAATCGCACAGCTGATGGGATTGTATGGATGGCTTGGAGGCTGAGTGGAACACCCTTCCCATTTTACAGATTTCCTGCTGGTTACCAGGATGTGACTTTTGCTCACTATGGGCAGCCAGGAGAGTTGCCTTTTGCAAGTTCTATAGTGTGCATACTGTTTTGTTGGGATGTGTGTACTTGATGCAATTTGACTGGCAACTTTCAACATCTGTTTTGATTGCCACCAGTCTGACTTGCACTCTGATCATTTACCTGCAACTCTCATTTACCTGCAAATGAGCACCGCGGACTTCCATTGAGTTTTCCTTCAAGTGAGCATGCTGAGGATGAATACTTTACATGGTCACATTTTCGCTTGTTGCATTCCAGTATTGGGGAGTGAGATGTATTGTGACTGGGGCAATAAGACAAACAGCAGTCAAGCTTTTGCCCCTCCCCTCCCAAATCTGAACATGTGCCATTTGGGTTATAGGTCAGGTCACCAACTCCTCAACAAGCTGCTGTAGTTGTGCCTTTAAAAGAAGACTTTGGCAATTGAAGCTTTCTAAGGCACAAACATTTGCCATGTTCAGACTTCCTTGAAAGTGGGTGTAATCCGCTGCTGGAGGATACAGGCTGTGTGTTGCTCTGCACAAATGTATTATTAAGGCATGGGGGTGAGGCTGGGCCAATGTAGATTGTACTGGTTTAAGAACTACAGAACAGGTTAGATCGCCCGCTAATGAGTGTTGACCAAGTCGCTGTTAAAGCATAGCTGCAGGGGCTGGTTCAGGAGTTGGCCACCATAACAGTGATCTGCCCAGAACTACCCAGTGAGTTATTTATATTACTGTACGGTAAATAATTTGTGGCTTGCAGACCATGTGATGGGAGGGAGTTGCCTGGTTTAAGGCATACAGCATAGTACAATATCCCCAACAGGTAGAGTTACCAGTGTGTTTACTGGCTCTGGATTCTGCACCTTTGACTGCTCCCTGACACTTGTTAATGCTTATCTGCCTGTCGTAAAAAGTTTTACTGCTGGATTTCTGCAGACTTAGCAGCTTCTAAAGGTATAGGAAGTCCCAAGAGGTTGCCTTGGTGCATTTACAACCCCAAGTGCTTTTTTGGGGAGATGCGCTTTTCAGGTGAATATTGGCAATAGTGAATTTAGGCCAGTAAAACCACTTTCCCTGGGCACAGCCTGGATAGGAACTGGCACCAAAATTCCTGAAACGTGCAGTAACAGCGGCAAGAATATTATTGGCCCAAAAATGGAAACAGGAACAACCACCAACATTGGAGGAATGGAGAATGAAGCTGATGGACTATGCAGAACTTGACAAATTAACAGGGAAGATTAGATATCTACGAGATCAAAAGTTTATCGAAGACTGGGGAAAGTTTGTAGATTATCTGGAATGTATAAGCGATGAGAGAATAACGCTAGTAGCATTTCAAGAAGCTCTGTAAAAGTTTGAGAAATATTGTAAAAAAGAAAAATAAATTGGGAAGGATATGTTAAAAGGCAATAGCAAATTTAGGAAATGTGAAAGTAAAAATGTTAAAAATGGATGATTGTCAGAGAAGCTGAAGGAAGTCCAAAAGCGAAAATTTGTGAAAGTTTTGATATGGTGTTATATGTATTTTTTGATGGAAAACTAATAAAAATATTATTTAAAAAAACAAAATTCCTGAAACGTATTGACACGTAGTAAAATCATGTAACATTTTGTTTTCCACCTGAAATAATTACTCATGTTTCCAGGTTTCCAAAAAAGCCAGGCATTTGATTGATCAGAGGTGAGGGTGCAGGCAGAGTAGTATTGTAGCATCTTCATAGTCTCAGCAATTTCAGCCTGACTCAGTGCAGCACATTCAATAGCTGAAGGAGTTGGAAGAGTTAACTGAAAGCATGGGTGACTTAAGATTTCAGCAGTGGTACCTTTTAAATGTCCACCACTGTTGTTGCTAATAATAATTTTAAAAAGCATTCCTTCAAAAAGCTGAGCATGGTGTACATAGCCTCCCCTCATTTTATATCAGCCTCATTTTATCCTCTCATCAGCCCTGTGAGGTAGGTTAGACAAAGAAATTTTCCCCATTTTACTCTGCTATTCTAACCACTAACATCACAGTAGCTCTTTCTGCAGAGTGCTCAGTTGCTTACCATAGTGATTAGGCCAGGAGTAATTTGTGCTATAATTGCTTTAGCTATGTATGTTTAAACTTGGATACATTTTGTGGGGGAACAGAAGTGGGTGTTTTCCTTAGGCACTGGTGGACTAGTTCGAACTTTGAATTGAAGGACAAAAGTCAAGGACAATAGGCAGTGCAAGTCTGGCAGCTGAGAGATTTCCAAATTCTCCCTGATAAAGAGGAAATAATGGCCGCTATCTGCCTTTGACGGGGAGTTATGTAAAGGAAGGTGTGAAGTGAGTGACCAAGTTAGAAGGCCACAGCTTCATTTAAAATTATTTTTAAAATCAGCTTCATACATAAAATGTCTGCCAAAAGAGAAAATTAGCATGTTGTCATTTATCTAGGAAATAGGAATAACTCTTCCATAGTTTCCTTTGTGTGACTACTTAATGCCAAGAATTCTGCAACCTGTATAGGTGATGCAAATTGGGGTATGTTACACAGTGCTTTTTATTCTTTTAAAAATAAATAAAAATATTTGTCTCATTTTACTTCTTGTTCTAGTTTGAAGTGGGGCAAGGAGCAATACGGTATAGTGGTACCTCAGTTTAAGAACAGCCCTGTTTATGAACTATTCGGTTTAAGAACTCTGCAAAACTGGAAGCAGTGTTTTGGTTTGTGAACTTTACTTCGAAGCCGAATGCTGGAAGGGCACCGGCAGCAGGAGGCCTTATTAGGGAAAGCGCACCTCGGTTTAAGAACGGATTTGGTTTAAGAACGGACTTCCGGAACGGATTAAGTTCATAAACCGAGGTACCACTGTATGTTGAAACTCTACCCCAACCACTGGAAACCTTTCTGACTGCTGAGATCTGAGCCGGTGTTGCCCACAAACCTTTAAACACATTTTCATAGTCATAAGGACTAGCAGCTTGATTTCCCACCCCCAAAAGGAATTCCCAGATTCTTAGGACTCTGTTTCTACACTCAGCACTAGCTTCTGAGCTTTCTCAACATTCCTGCAGGATTCTAGCATGTATGATGTCTAGCTTACTGCTCTAATAGGAAGCTGTCTCACACCCTATTAGATTTATTTGGCTGTCTAGCCCAGAACTGTCTCTTCTGATGGGTCTCAGGAAGATTTCCCCCCCATCAGCTGCTACTTGATTCTCCCTGTCATCTTTGTTTCAATGGATAACAGCTGGTTCTAGAGAGCCACCATCAGCCACATAAGAGAGTACCAGACAAGGTGGACAAATAATCAGTTCCTGGGATAAGGCCGCTTCCTGTGTTCCAAACTGGAGATGCCAGGGATTGAATCTTAGACTTTCTGCATGCAAACCATATGCTCTCCTGCTGAGCTATGTTCCCTACAAAAAGGGGGGAAAAGACTTGCCATTTCCAGTGCCTGTAAGGGTTCTTCAGTGTATCCTTAAGACTTCAATTATCAGTGTACCAAATATTTCTTTGAAGAGTAGTCTTGAATTCTCTAAGGTACACTGACCAGTTTCTTCAGGTTACTCCTGTTAATTCAGTACAATTGTTTTAGAGTACCTAATCTTAAGGTTGTAGCCTGAGGTGCCTTGGGCCATTAACTTATTGCATATTCCAAAGGGAATGTTAGGAACCTCTTTAACTTTCTCGGTGGTAAGCATGTGAAGGAAAAGTAGCTTTTGACATGCACAAGCTTTTAAGACTTGGGTTCTTGCTAAGCAAAACGCCTCCCATGACATTGATATTAAGCTGAATGAATGTCATTTTAGCTGAATGAATGTCATTTTGCACAAGGTGGGCAGGCAGGCAGCCTTTAAAAGTAAAATGTTTGACTTCATTAGCCCATTTTATGGGTTGAATTACTAAAACCTATTTGACAAAAGTGTAAATGTGAAATGTCACGAGGTGACAAACCCTTCAAGTATTTAACGTGATGTCAGAGCTAGGGATTTATTTTCAACTTCTTTATATTTTCATCAGAGAAATTGCGTTGATTTTTGTATTTCGGCTGTTTTATATGAATACTGTCTGCTTGCATAAGCAACTAGATTTAGGCTTTGCATCTCTCCTAGTATTTTTAGCTTGAGTTTCTTAGAAGTGTTAGGAACCTAAAATCTCGCTTACTTGGAAGCAAGTTCCACTTAAATCAGTAAACCTGCTTCCAAATAAGTGTATTGGAGATGGATATGCTGTTTAATCTTTAGTAGCTTGTTGACTGTGGACATTGCTGTACATTTTGGGAGCAAACACCAGTGCAATGTGGTTCATTAGGGTGACCAGAAGACTTGCCCACCAACCTCAGGCAGCTCCCACCTGCCTGCCTTCTTACTTAAAACCAGTCCAGGAACTGCTGCTACCTATCAGTTTCCCCAGCCTTAGTCTAAGTATTGCCTTTGTAGGACTCAACAGGGAGGAGGATGGGAACAATGCTAGAATTAGTTGGCACAGAAAGCACTCGCCGCCACTGATGGGCATCAAAGGTGTTTTTTTAAGCATACATCTAAAAGCGGAAAGGCTCTGAACATGACCAAGAACTACGTAAGCACAGGAAGACGCATCAGAGAGGTGGAATTGGCTGGGACTCCCTGTGGAGTGAATATTTAGGAAACCTAGGTTAGCTGCTGACACAACACTAAGCAGTGTGGTGTAGTGGTTAAGAGCGGTAGACTCGTAATCTGGTGAACCGGGTTCGCGTCTCTGCTCCTCCACATGCAGCTGCTGGGTGACCTTGGGCTAGTCACACTTCTCTGAAGCCTCTCAGCCCCACTCACCTCACAGAGTGTTTGTTGTGGGGGAGGAAGGGAAAGGAGAATGTGAGCCGCTTTGAGACTCTTTCGGGTAGTGATAAAGCGGGATATCAGATCCAAACTCTTCTTCTAAGTGTGAAAATAGAAACAAGCAGAAAGACACCTACTGACCCCAGCTACCCGTCCTCCTTGCCACCTTGTTTTCAGTCTGCGAAACTGGGTAGTGAATGGGTACTTGACGGGCCAGAAAAGATTTGGTGAGATATCTCAGGCCACAGCTCATCCTGTAGCGTTCTTGGGCAGCTGTTTTCACCCTAGTACAGCTGATGCCCTTGACCCACAGTTTTAATTCCTGCAATGCCCCATACAGTGTTGCTCCAGAGCCCAGGCACTGCTTCCCCCCCTAGAAAAATAGGTGCTGGTACTCACCATGGAGTTGTTACAGCAAGTCCCACACTTTTTAACAAAAAAGAAGAGGAGGTGTCAGTACTGTGTACCCCCTGGAAAAAAAAAGCAGTGACACCAGGGAATTTTGGGAAATTAAGGCAGTGGTTTTGTTGGAGTGCTGTTGCTGCTGCCTGCCGTGGCAGCCTCTAGGTAAATCAGACATGCCTCACAGACCAAGAGCCATGGCTCAGTTGTAGAGTATCTGCTTTGTATGCAGAAGGTCTCAGGTTCGATTCCCCACATCTCCTGGTAGGGCTGGGAGAACCCCCTGCCTGACCTGCTGGGGAGCCACTGCCAGTCAGTGTTGTAGACCATACAGAGCTAGCTGGAGCAATGGCCTGACTCTGTACAAGGTAGCTTCCTATCTTCCTAAGATGGCACTCTGCCCAAGTCCCCACCTCCAACCTGAAATGCTTGGCCCTAGAATACTGTTCAGATATTTTCAAAGGAAAAATAGTGTTGCAGATTTGGGGTACCAGGGTCTATTAGTGAATAGAGATTCGTATAGATAATATGAGGGATGTTGAATGCAAAGTACAAGCTGCAGCAGTTCTCCTGGGTGTAGCCTATACAATCTAGCCTGGCTGGGCTGGTTGAATGTAGGTCATTATGAAACAATAGGCTGAGGTTACCACACTAAAGAGGAATCTCTCAGGTCTGTGTAAAACAGAGGTTCTCAAGGTGATGGGGAGGGGTGAGGTGACAGGAAGGAGATTTGGGTCAGAGACTGTTTTATGGTTGTGCGACTGGTTCAGGCGCACTGGGCACCATGCTCTGGAGGGTAGGACTCGAACCAATGGCTTCAAGTAGCAAGAAAGGAGATTCTGATTAAGCATTCGGAAAAACTTTCTGACTGTAAGAGTTGTTCAGCGGTGGAGCAGACTTCCACAAGAGGTGGTAGACTCTCCTTCCTTGGAGGTTTTTAAACAGAGGTTGGATGGCCATCTGTCATGGATGCTTTAGTCGAGATTCCTGCATTACAGGGGGTTGGACTAGAGGACCCTTGGAGTCCCTTCCAACTCTTAAGATTCTATAATTCAGGTTATGGTGCTCCTGTGACTTATCTGCTCCCCTCATTTAGCCCTTCAGGGCAAATAGTCATCCTTAAATATTCCACCCTCCTTCTGTTCACTCACTTCTCTGTCTACTCATGCAACTCTAAGCATGGAAATACACAGTTCAGAATTTATGAAGATTGGGCGCATAAATGTTAATTGCGTGATGGTGCTGAAGTGGCATAGCTCTGAACAATTGAGCAAACAAGATGAATATCAAGCAGGAACAGGAGGTGAAAGCTATATTGGAAGCTGGAATATGACTGGTAGTTACAGAGATAATTTTGAAGCATTAAGGGTGTATGGAGAAAGCTGCATAGGAACTCCTCTAGGCAGAGACCCCACCCAAATGCCTTATTTATTTAAAGCACACACCTCCCCCCCCAATGCTTCTGGCAAAAAGAGTCCTAGGGCAGCTTAAAGGTAAAGGTAAAGGGACCCCTGACCATTAGGTCCAGTCGTGGCCAACTCTGGGGTAGCGGCGCTCATCTCGCTTTATTGGCGGAGGGAGCCGGCGTACAGCTTCTGGGTCATGTGGTCAGCATGACTAAGCCGCTTCTGGCAAACCAGGGCACACGGAAATGCCATTTACCTTCCCAGCACAGCAGTACTATTTATCTACTTGCACTGGCGTGCTTTTGAACTGCTAGGTTGGCAGGAGCAGGGACCGAGCAACTGGAGCTCACCCCATCATGGGCATTCGAACCGCCGACCTTCTGATCGGCAAGTCCTAGGCTCTGTGGTTTAACCCGCGTCCCATTGGGCAGCTTACCGATTAGTAAAACGCAAAGTCATCAAGACTGTTCCTGACCCTGGGCATCCGTTTTTAACAGTGTTTTTGTAAGGATCAGCTTCAATGGAAAGGAGACCTAAAATAAGTTGTTCTCTTAACACAGCCGGTGCAGTAACCCTGCTTTCCATCTCTCCCTATGTAGCATCCTGATGGAATGGCTGATGGCTAGGTCACAATTGAGGAAGAGCCAAAAGCCAGCTGATCTTTAAGCAGGGCCGATGGAGTGGTCCTGAGCCCCTTCTCTCTCCCTCTTCTGCTGCAAACTGTTTTATAAAAACTTTATTTCCCAACTGCTTTTGCAAGTCACATTGTTTTCAGAAATGGGTGAGAAACGCAAACCCAAAACCACCTTGGGCATCTTGAACTGTCTGCCTGGCTCTTTGAATCCGCAGATGGATTTAGATGTCTTCAAAAGAATAGGGAATTACTTCACTGGGTTGTTGATGCTGGACAAACAAGAGGCCTTCACCCTTAACCACTTGATAAGTCAAAGCTTTAACAATTTGGGACTGGTTTACCTGTGATGCTCCCTTGCCCCTTATATGCCCACTGGAGTGCTTTGATCTGCGGAACTGGAAGTGCTACAGGTGCCACGTAATACTTATTCTGTATTTATAAGAAATTGATCTAGTGTGGTAACACCCATTACTTTGGAACTCACTACCTAGTGACATAAAGCAGGCATCCCCATTGTACACTTTTCTTACACCTGCTAAAAGCATGTTTGTTTAAACAAGCCTAGAATGTTGACATATGCTTCAATATGCTTTTAGCTTATCGTTGATTTTAATTATTCTTTTGAGTGTTTAAAATAGCTGTTTTTACTGATATGGTACTGTTCCCCCCACCCCAGTAAACCACTTTGAGGTTTGGTTTGTTACAATCAAGCAGTATGTAAATTTTATGAAATACAAATAAATAAATAAATAAATAAATAAATAGGGACATAAACTGCCACCTAGCTGGTCCATACTGACTGGCGGCAGCTCTCCAGGGTTTCAAGTAAGCGACTTTCTGGAGATGTCAGGGATTTAACACAGTACCTTCTGCCCTGCAGCTAATAATATACGGTAGGAACATCAGAAATTGCTTTATATTGAGTCAGACACTTGGTCTATATAGCTCAATATTGTCTGCTCTGACTAGCAGTGTCTCTCCAGGATTTCAGACGAGCCTTTCCAAACTTTACCTGGAGATGCCAGGGATTTTTCCTAGGGGCGTCCCCCCACCTGTGCATTGTAAAGGGCCCGGAGGGAGGGAATTGTACACATTTTAATCTTTGGCTGCAAAGAAAGGTGGATGGACTTGGAAGCCTGTTGTTTAGCATTCCAGAGGTATAATGGGCTTTGTTCATTTCTATCTTGGACGGGGAAGAAAAGAAACTACTTCTGCCAAAGTTAACAGCGGGACATGTAGCAGCTAGAGGAGGCTTTCCTTTCTTTTGCAATGCTTTGTTGTAGTGCACAGTGTTTTATGCCTTAATCTTCTTGTTGATATTTGAAGCAAGTGTATAAGTTAAGACGTTTTTAAGACATGTTGTTTTTGATTTTAAGTGTTTTATGTGTTCACTGTGTCTGCAAACTAAATGCTAACTTAATTTGCATTGGATGTAAAACTGCCATTGGCATCACCAGGAGCCCTTCTCTCAGTGAAAATGGCAGTATGTATTAAATACTTATATCCTTCAAGGAGCTCAGAGTGGCATGCATAGCTCTTTCCCTCCCTATTTTATTTTCACAACAACCCTAAGAGGTAGGTTAGGCTGAGAGACAACGTCTGGACCAGGGTCTCCCAGTGAGCTTCATGGCTGAGTCAGGATTTGAACCCTGGCCTCCCTGGTCATAGTCCAACACTCTGAGCACTCCAGTTTTCATTGGGACCTGTTAAGGTCCCAATCCTACTTGAATCCCCAACTTCAACTAATAGCACCCCACTTACAAATGTGCACATTAAATACAATAATGCATTTAACCTTGCATTTTGTTTGACGCTAATAAGGGGTGTCTAGTGGATAGTCTCAAAACTACAATTGCCAGGGGTTATTTAGGGGAACCATCCACAACTTAGTTAACCCAGCTTCAAAGTGGTTTAAAATGTGTAGTGTAGAAAATGCACTAGGGGGTGAAACACCTTTGTTTGCAGTTCCAGGCCCCTGGTTCAAGGATGGGGAACCTCTGGGCCACTAGCTTCTCATTGGACTCCAACTCCCATGAGCCCCAGCCAGCATGGCTTATGGTCCAGCAACATATGGATGGCCACACATCCCTGCCTTGGCTGAAAGTCACACAGAGCTTGTGGGATGTATGCGGCTTGTTTGAGTGACAACATTTGCACATGTGGCTTAGAGACAATAACAGCTAATGCGCCAGCTTCTTGTGATTTGCACCTCTTTCTCTGCCCCTACATTTAAAAGGACTTTTAGAAGATCACTGCAATATCTGAACCTTGAAAGGGTGATTATTTTGCGAATGTTTAGAAGCAGCTGCTGTAATGATGGCTGCAGCACAGAAGGAGTTTGCTGGATGTGCAGATTTGTGTGGGCTGGTTCAGTTCTGGAAGGTTTCTATAAAAGTTGATTGTCTATTTTTTCCTCATCCCACCCTGTGTACTACTAGCTATGTTTATGTACATTGTTCCCCCCCTCTCTCTCCCCCCCTCTCTAAATACCGCAAGCCAACTTCCCTTAAATAGCATCTTGGAATTTGCTTGGTTGTGGTTGTGTTTGGGGTGTTGGAGGTGGGGGAACCTTATAATTTGCATCTCTCAAGTAGTTGAATGCTACTGCCCTAAAACAGTCAAGAAGGCTGTGATTAAATTTCCAAATGTGGCAAGGGCAAGAGGCAGTGGCCCGCCGCTAGGGACAGGAAGCTTTTAGCTCTGGAGGGTTTGCGGGTGGGTGGGGTGGAAATTCTTAACGCGCAAAGAAAACCAGGAAGGAGGCCATTAATGCCAAGGAGGAGGGTCACTGAAGCTCTGTAGCATCTTGTTCAGAACTTGTTAGATTGAGCCATCAGTGGTAATGCTGGATAATGGTGTGCTTTGATGCTGTGTGCAGGATGGGGGGGGGTATAGAATTGGATGAGAGAATAGCATTTTTCCTCCTGTGACTAGGGCTAAATCTGCACCATACATTGAAAGCACTATGATGCCACTTTAAACAGCCCCCTGAAAGAACCATGCGGACAGTAGTTTGTAAAGGGTGCTGAGAATTGTTAGGAGACCCCTGTTCCCCTCACAGAGCTGCAGTGCTCCCAGTGGTTTTGAAAAAAGCAATCCCTCTGTCCAGGGAACTCTGGGAATTGAAGCTCTGTAGGGGGGAAATTGGCCATCATAGAATTGTAGAGTTGGAAGGGGTCATGATGGCTATCTAGTCCAACCCCATGCCCATGGTGGGGCTGAAATCCAAGCTCCTGAGATTAACAGTCTCAGGCTCTACTGACTGAGCTGTCCTTCAACTTAACAACTCTCAGCATCCTCAAGAAACTCTGGTTCCCAGGGTTCTTTGGGTGAAGGCATGACTGCCAACGTGGTATAGTAGTGCTGTAAATGAATGGTGCTGATGTGGTTTAGGAATAAAATCCTGTGGGTCATATCCAGCCTTAGTCTTTTGTGCCATTGGAGCATTGTTGCACTAGAGAAGGCATAGGCAAGTTGCTGGCAACTTCTTTGCACAGTTGCATAGCCTGTTGCACAGTGAGTTTCTGCTACTGTTCTGTTCTGTTGCATTGGATCTCAAATCCAGTTAAAACTCAAATCAAAGGAGCCCGTGTATTAATGGGCAGAGGATGTTGCGCTTAGCTCAAAATCAGCACAAATGCCACAATGTTCAGTAAGGGTTGCAGCAAACAACAAACGTTTTATAGGTCTGCTTAAGGGTTTCCAATGAAAGGGTTATATGGGGCCACTATAGAGAAGGCCTGGCTTTGTGTACCTTCAATGTATTGCTGCATCCCACCTCAATTTCCAAGTGGTGCAAGATTACAAGGGTTCCAGGTGCTTACCCAGGGTTTGTGTTTCCTTTTGGAAATGTGGCACAGCAGAGACTGTGGTGTCTTTAAGATATATGGTTTATTTACACATATATACATCCTGAGCCTACATTGGAGGGGTTCACAGCATCAACACCCTAAACGGGTCTTGTTTCTCCCATAGCTGCAGCCTTGGATTCAAACACACACCAAGCATTGTACTCTCTCTCTTCAGCTTGTTGCTTTACTTCTAGTTCATACAATGGTACCAAAACTCTGCTCTCAGACTTTGGCTTTGTCCTTCCAACTATCTCAGAGTTGGAAGAAGAGGCTCTACCCATTTTCTGTCTGGCACAGAGCCCCCTTTGTTCTCTTAATGGCCCTTCACCCAGGTGATGACCTCAAGAGAAAGCTAGCCTGTCTTATATTTTAACACTTGCTGGATCCAGAGTTCAGGAAGCTATCCTGGCTTGATTAGCTGTTAACATTTGCTGAATCCAGGGATCAGAAGACTTGATTAGATTTTAGCACTTGTAAGATCCAGGGATGGTGGGGGATGGCACCCACAAACTCATAACAGTATGTAAAGTGCTTTGAACACTGTAAAGGACAGGTAGCCAATGTAGATTTGGTTGGATTACAACTCCCATCTCTCCTGACCATTGGCTATCTTGGCTGGTTCTATGAGACTTGGAAGCCAGCAACATCAGGAAAGCACCACGTTGGTTACTCCTGCTCTCTAAAGCATTATATAAGTGTAAACTTCAGGAGAGAACAACCAAAATGATCATTGGAATGGAAAGGGTGCAATGTTTGGGTTTAGAGAAAAGGCAAGCAAGAGGCAACTTGACATGCATGGTATGGAGAATGTGGTTAGAGAGGAAGTTTTTCTCCTTTTCTCTTAACACTGGAACTCCAATGAAGGACTTCTAATGAAACTGAATGTTGGAAGAATCAGGAGAGACAAGATAAAATACGCCTTAAGACAGTGCTTAGTTAAATTGTGGAATTCATTCTCCTGAGGGGCAGTGGTGGCCACCAACTTGGGTGGCTTTAAAAGAGGGATTAGACAGCTTCGTGGAGAATAAGATTACAGTCATACGTCGGGTTGAAGTTGCTTCTGGTTGAGCGCTTCCGGGTTGTGCTCCGCAGCGACCCAGAAGTAACAGAATGCGTTACTTCCGTGTTTCGCCACTTGTGCAAAATGACAGTCAAAATGACATCACATGCATGCGCGGAAGCAGCGAATCGTGACCCGCGCATGCACGGACGTGGGTTGCATTCGCTTCAGGATGCGAATGGGGCTCTAGAACGGATCCCGTTCATATCCAGAGGTACCACTGTATCTGTGGCTACTAATTCTGACTGATCTGTTCTCCCTCCACTGTCAGAGGCAGTATGCTTCTGAATACCAGTTGCTGGAAGCTGTAGGCGAGGAGAGTGCTGTGATGTTCAGTTCCTCCTTGAAGGCTTCCCACAGGAATCTGGTTGGCTATGGTGAGAACAGTATGCTGGACTTGATGGGCCATTGGCATGATTCAGCAGACTCTTCTTATATCCTTATGGCGTATTTGTGGTCTATGACGATTGACAGAGCGCTATAAAATATCCCCACCACTATTTTTGGAACAATCGGAAATCCCTAGCTAGAAATTGAAGCACTTCTGTTTTCTGCAGCAAAGTAGTTCTTCATCTACCTGTAGATGGAAAAGGCCTTTGTAAACTGAAAAGGAAGCAACAATTTGTGAGTAATACATCAAACAAGTTTAAGTTGAGTACAAGCGGTGATTCTTGCCATGGACAATACCAGCCTTGTTGAAACTCTTAGATGTGCCAAAATGCTTCAGGCCTGGTTCTGGAAGAGAGAAGGCACTTCAAGTTATTGTTCTTAAGAATCTAATTTCAGAGGTTTATATAAGAGATATTACCGGATCACATCACTGATTGCATGCATGACTCAGAGGGGATTGCCACGCAGTATTGTGTAGGTGAAAAAAAACTGTCAGGGATTTGTGGGAAACGTCTTGCTTAAAAATAGTGAGCGGAGAGATGCTGTGCTACATATCCTTGTAAATTAGTTCACAAAAATCACTAGCCCATAACATCTTTGTCTGCCTACCAGTACCTGTGTTAGGTAATTGTGGCACATCAATACTGTGAGAAGGAAGAATGACTCTTCCTAATTTCCCAGAAGCTACTCATTACCAGCGAGTACCAAGAATGTGATTATGAGTCTGATGTTACAAACAAGAAGACACTTGTTCAGCAGAGAGACTGGTATTCCATCACAAAACTACAACGAACAGGGATAAATGGATTTGACTTGCTTAACATGAAAATAATATGTGTAGGTTTCCCAAGTCACCTTCCTTCTCTCTGATTCTTGAGCAAATGTATTGAGTGGGTCCAGACATCACAGTAAACCAAGTCTTGTGCTAACACACTCCCCACAATTCTCCCTTGTCTGTTGCAGCCATGAGGAGGAGAAGCTTTCATCTCTGTTTTGATTGACTCCTGTTTAGTGATATGTCTGAACCCTAAACTGTGATTACTCTTTATGGTGTGCTGAAATAAGACAGCTTCACCTGCTTTGAAGTGGGCCTATTTCCAATGAGCTGCAGTTAACGTTAACCACAGTTTGTTGAGTTTGGACAAAATGACAAGCTGAGGTTAAAGGAAAACAGAAGTGAAAGCTTCCACATCTCCTCCTTGCAGCCATACCAGGGGAGGAAAGTGGGAGAGGGGAGCACGAAGCACAGGAGGCTGAGACTTGATGTGACTCATTCCTGCCATGATAAATCATGGCTTAACATAAAGTCCAAACTGGCTGTATGTCAGCTTGAGTAAGAGCACAAAAACGGAAAGGGAGCTGTAAGCAAAATATAACATAATTAAACCTCCTTAGGATCTTGGCACCCTCTTTTTCTTGCACCTAGGTTGTAATCTTATACATGTTTGCTGCTTGCAAGTTAGTTCCATTGAACAAAGCAGTTAATGGCTTGGGACCAGGGGACAGTCTGATAAACTGCCTGCTGCTACATTAACCTGCAAGGTTGTAAAAATTAGTCTTGGAGGCTCTCCATCTCCCTGCCATTCGAAGTAAGGCAGGTGAGGGGTGAAGATCAGACACGGAAGAATCTTTTTCAGTTGTGGAATTCTCTTCCCAGAGAGGATTGCCTGGTGCCAATTTGTCTAGGCTCAAAGCTGAATTGGTTGCCGTTCCTGGTATTTTTATGTTTTTCTTTGTAAGCTGCTTTGAGGGCTGTGGCTGAAGAGCAACTAATGTTTTGAGTAAAAGAAATACACGGATGCCACTATATGTACCTGATGCGGGGGACTGCAAATGTGGCCCTCCATTCCTTTCTGTCTGGCCCTTGGGACCCTCTGCAGTCATCAGCCCTGCTCTCAAGGCCACACCACCACACCCCCCGCAAGAGCTTTTGCCTGACTGGAATGTGTCTTGTGATCCTGCCTCCTGCTTGCCTGGATGAGCATGTTACTGCAATGCACAGTCCACTCAGGAAAAAGCTCCTGAGGCGGTTGTAGAGATGCATACCTGTGGTATCAGCATATTTCTTTTATTTAGAATGCACCTGGAAAAAGAAGAGCCGGTGGCCAATCTAGTCTGGCATCCTGTTCTCACAGTGGCCAACCAGATGCTGTAGGAAACCTGAAAGGAAGACCCGAGGGCAGGAGCATTCTCGTCTCCTGTGCTTTCCAGCAAGTACATTCAGAAGCATTGTTGTCTCTGATCATGGAAGCACAGAGCACAGGCTAGCAGCCATTGATAGCCTTCACCTCCATACATTTGTCTGGTTCGCTTTTAAAACTCTCCAAGTTGGCAGCCATTCCATACATTCGACTCTGTTCTGGTTTGTGGAAGTGCCTCCTTTTGCCTGTCCTGTATTTTCGAAGATTCAGCGTCATTGCATATCCATGAATTCCAGCGTTGTGAGAGATGGAGAAAAACATCGCTATCCACTAGGCTCATGATGTATATACAATGGTACCTTGGGTTAAGAACTTAATTCATTCTGGTGGTCTGTTCTTAACCTGAAGCTGTTCTTAACCTGAGGTACGGCTTTAGCTAATGGGGCCTCCCGCTGCCGCCAGCACACGATTTCTGTTCTCATACTGAAGCAAAGTTCTTAACCCGAGGTACCATTTCTGGGTTAGCAGAGTCTGTAACCTGAAGCGTCTGTAACCCGAGTTACCACTCTATGTGTAAATAAACCATATATCTTAAAGACACCACAGTCTCCACTGTGCCACATTTCCCAAAGGAAATTTTATTGAACCTCAAGGACTCCCTCTCTCCATATGAACCTACCTGAGATCATCTTCTGAGGCCCTTCTTCATGTGCGTCCTCAACAAGAGGTCCAGAGGGTGGCAACACGAGAACAGGCCTTTTCCGCAGTGGCTCCCCGTTTGTGCAATGCTCTCCCCAGGGAGGTTGAGCTAGCGCCTTCATTATAGACCTTTAGGCACCAGGCAAAAATGTTCCTCATTAACCAGGCCTTTAGGTGATTGGCATTCAATACCTTTTTAAAATGTGTTGGGGAGGTGGGGGGGCTATTGGGTTGTTTTATGTTTGTATTTTGTGATTTTATCTTGTGAACCGCCCTGAGACCCATGGGTATAGAGTGGTAAGCAAATTTAAATAATAATAAACGTCTTTCACATCACCTCCTACTTGTGTTTCCTCTAAAAATGAAAGAGTCCCAAATGCTGCAACCTTTCATAGATAGGTGTGTGTGTGTGTGTGTGTGTGTGTGTGTGTCTACCTTTTGGGTGGCTGAAATGTAGCCTACTGTACAAAGGTAAAAGTCACAGCTACTGCTCCACCTCCACTGTTCCCACTGGCTCTGTCCATCCCGGGAATTGGGGTCCCCAGAATATTGGCCACAACGGCGTGCAACCCTCATGCTGAAAAAAGGTTCCAGGTTCTCTGCTCCTGCAATATACATTGCAAGTTTGAGATGATTGGGATTGAACCTGAGACCTTCTGCATGCAAAGCGAGTGCTCTGCTCCTGAGCTAAGTAAACCCATGCCTATCCTTCATCACTATATTTTGTACTCTGTAATGTTTGAGCTCTCTTCAGCATGCATTTGCAATGTTGCCAGTTTGGTTCTGGGTGGAGGTGGCCAAAGCACCATGCTCAGCTTAAGGCATAGCTCAACAGATAGTTCTTTGTGCCGACTGAAAGTGGCAGGATAATGAGCAGTTTAGCTACATTATATTTTCCATTTGGCTGTTGGATTAGATTCTCACGAGGAACTGAAGTAGGGCTAGAGATGAATACTTGTCCAAAAAGGCTGGCTGCATGATTTATTCTCTCCCCTCCCTACCCCACCCCTCCGCATGCTCTTTAATATCCCCAGTTAAATTTGCCATAACTTTCCCTGTATTGTTGAATGCTTAAAATAATTAGTGGAAGACAATGAGGAAGTTGGAAGAAGAGGATGAAAGGAAGGCGTCTCCCTTTAAGAGGTGGCTTTAAGCAAAGCTAAAAGTTCATCTCAAAGATTTGCCAGTAATCTAGACTTAAAAAATAATAATAGTCCTGATCCTCATGATATTTCCCCCCCCCCCTTGTTGTGTTGGGTCTCAGCTGTGACAAGTGCTGTAATGTGTGAAGTAGAATTTGTATTAAGTGGTGTTGTATTAATTGTTAGCTCTGTTGAGGACCATAAGAGGCTTCCCCTGTGAATTACAAATATTCTGTTGCATTGTTTTTGCCTACAGACACTGAAACTGCTATTAATGGCACTGTAGATAGATTTGGAGTGGAGCACAGAATTCCAGTGCTGAAGAGAGAGACCTTGCTGTGTTCTGTTTCTCTGCCCTCTGATAACCTCTGCATTGTGTATGTCAGATGAGAGAGAGAGAGAGAGAGAAGATACAGATGTATTCTGACCAAACAAGTGGGAGATGCTTAAGGTTAAAGTGTGTTGCCCTTTTTTTCCTTGTCAGTGTAGACTTGCATTAAATTGACAAACGATTTGAAACAGTAACTTCCAAGTTGTAACTGATGTGAGGTTTGCTGCCTCCACCCAGCTTTTGTAGTCCTCATCCGGGCCTCAAAATAAAACTTGGCTGTAAACTAATTTCTGCTAAGGCATAACTTTCCTGATCTGCTAAGCATGGTTAGGAGATTGGAATTGTGTCATGGGCTTGTCCTTCCAGCTGAACTCTTCCTCCTCTTCCAGGGCTTCCTTTAGCTATATGGTAGCACTACATCTGCTAGATTTCCTGATAACCAAGGTGTTATGAGAGCAACTTTATTTTACATCTGCTAGTCAAGGAGCAGCCGGCACTGAGACCCCACATACTATTAAAATCATTTTTAAAGCTATTATTATTATTATTGAAGGAAACTGAATTCCTCATATTCTCCCTCCCCCTTCCTTGTTGCATGGAGTCACAGATACACAAAAGCTTAGCTACGGTATAGGACCCAAGCTTTAGAAAACTTAAAATGCAGCTTTCTTTATAAAAGAGAGATTTCTGGAGTTCTTGCTTTATTTCTGCTGTTCTACACACACAAAAAAATGGTCTCCTAGACCCACTGGTGTGGTGAAGGAAAGTTCTCTGAAGGCAATGCCTCAAATCTGCCAGAGCTTTAGGTGAGGATTGCCCGCTTAATGCAGTTTTCTTTACTCATGTTGCATGCGGTGTGAAACCTGTTGAGTCTGCAGCAATCTATTCCACATGCCACTTCAACCAGCTTTACTAAACTGCTCGGAAGAGCATAAGAATTCCTTTTTGCAGGGTGCACCCAAACTTATAAAACGACAACAAAATGGGTGTTAACAGCATATGTTTCCCCATCTGGGTAAGCCTGGTGTGCTCCTGCATTCAAAATGCCATGATGACAGATGTATCTATGTGCACACTGAACATGCATTTGCTTAGTTGCTCTTCCTCCAGGTAGAGAATGTCTGCATTGATCTTTTGGAGCAGAACATGTGTATCACTTTGTTTGAATGTTCATTTCTCTTCCCGTTTGAAAAACACACACCAGAAATCTTTTTCTTTCTTTCTTTAAGTTCAGAAGCCCCTCTGGAGTGGAAGGGGAATTGGCTAGTTCCTTGGATCACGTTAGATGGGAGGTTGGGAGTCCAACATCTGGATGGCACCATGTTGGCTTACAGCTGCTGTAGGGTGCATGCCTTAACACAATGCAGTGGTTACTGTTCTGCAGTGGGCTTGCCCCTCAAAGCTTTGTGCATCTGGATGCGCCTTTAGTTTTAAGGAGTGCTTGTCATCCCAGTTGCAGGTGAAAAATGGGAGTGCTGCAGCTTAGTCCTGATTCAGAAGGTATGAATGAGTTTCTGTAGATCAGGGTGTGGCAGCAATTAGGGTGTGGATAATGACAAACTTGCTGAGGGAAGCAGAGAAAGGGTATAATGCAATGCTGGACAACCTTGGGGTGCACGATTAGTGTGTTCAGAATGAAAAGAGCAATTTATCCAAACAGGTGCATCCTGTCCTATTCCAAGAGGGGAAAAGATTTGAACCAAATCTTGGAAGAAAGTTGAATCCGGACATATTTCACCACCTTTCTGGTCTTGGATTATAGATTGTTGTTGATGAACTGGTATGCGAGGAAGGCAGATGGGGCAGTGAGAATTGGGGGGAAATGTATACAGTATATGCATGTTTGGACAGAGTGCAGAGTTATTTTTATGAGCTTTGCAATTCTGTACATTCTTTACGTGTGGAAGTTGCCATGGAAATGAAGGATGCATTCGTTTGACATTTTTGGCATTTTGTCAGGTTCTGGTGCTGCTTATTCAAATGAAAAAATGTGGATGAAGGTAGTGCAAATTTGGCATTTAAAAGAGATTGTGCCTAAGCGCTTCAGTGGGATACAAATGTTGGTGAACGAGTTAATCACTCGCTTAAATTAATAAATAAAATGAAAAGAATGTGCTTATACTAGCTCAAGCTTGGGAAATGTTTCATGGATTATTTTCATGGATTATGGGACAGTTGTTTAATTCCCATTGAAAGAGCAGTAAATAAGATTGCGCTTGTGTGCATACCATGCTGAAGGATGCTTCTATCATGGCACCTTAAAACACACTAAAAGCAGCAACCACAGTCTGCACACCAGCCTGAAGATACTCACTGGGACCATGTGATGCATGCAAATATATGCAAAAATGCTCCCACAGCTTTTTTTAAAATAAAAAGCAACTCAGTTTCTGAGTGCAGATAAGCAGTAGTATGTGCATATACAAATCCTTTGCCCTACAACCAGTTTTCCCACTTTAAAACCTTTCCCCTGATCTGCTTTCCTCCTTAACAGGGCTCCTGAAGTGTGTCTGTCCTCATAAGACCCTCATTGTTTCAGCTGTCAAGGCAGTCAGCTCTGTGTATTAGAAGCCTGTCCTAAAGTGGTTGCAATTGCAGATTTATTGGTGTGGGTGTTGCTGTTCCTGGAATTCAGTACCAGGGCACACTTTTTGGATGATGGACCACCAAATGAGCAGGCAGCAGCTGTGCATCCTTCCTCTGATAAATTCTCCAGCTGCTCCAACAGTACAGTACACAATCAGAGCGACCCATCACACAGTCGGCAGGATCAATGATTGTGCTCCCCTCAGGCTCTGGGATTAATACTGAACTAGGATTCTGGAGGAAATGTTCTGTGCTCGGTTTGTTGATCAGTGCTTGACAGTGTTCCATTTACCCTAGATTCTAACTTTTTCCAACAACAGCAGCAGTGAAAAAGAAACTCACATGGTTTTTTGAGGGTGGTAAGTGTTAAATTTATTTCCAACACAGTGGAAATAATCACCATATGGTTATGTGATTTTTGCAAGCTGTCCAAAGACAACTAAAATACAATTAGTCTATCTGTTCCATTTGTCAATCTATAAGTGACACTGTTCACATCCCTCGCAGTGCTGGTTGCTGGCAGTATAAAAGGCTTGATTGGCCTACCTGTCTTCTCCTATTAGGATCAATATTCAAATGAAATGGAACAGCCACAACAACAGAACAGAACTCAAACCTTTCAACTTTTTGTTGAAGGGTGAGAAGCTTTATAGGCTTGGTTTAACAGTCAATCCCTCTTTTCCCAGAGAACTCTTGGAATTGTAGCTCTGTGAAGGGAATAGGGGTCAACTAGCAACTTCTCAGCATTATTAATAAATTACATTACCAAGGGTTTTCTGGGGGGAAGCTATGAATGCTTAAAGTGGTATGATACTGCTTTAAATGTACAGTTCAGATGGGGCCATGGGTGGTGAAGGATGATGGGAGTTGTAGTCCAACCCCTGGAGGGCTATAGGTTTCCCTTCCTTGGGATTAAAAGGTGCTTAGAATAGTCTGGGAATGGGTCTCTACCTTAAGGCCTGCTGCTAGCAAGCATAGATGTGGACAGGGGAGCTTCATTTTCATGTGAAGAGCACAGAAATAAATCAGAAGTGGAGGAAGCTGAGTGCCAGGCAGATTTATATCCTTCATTTTAATACTGTGTCCTGGTTGGTATTTGAGGTGTCCAAATACATTGTCACAGCTTCTTTCCGAACAATTTCTAGTCTTGTGTAAAATTCAAGTATACATGGGCTGTGGAATCACATTTATGCTTAGTTCAGGGCCACACAAAATAGGATTTATAACTACATCATAATTAACATATTTCTTCAGCTTTGCCTTCAGGCACAAGAACAGGCTCCCCCTCCCTTTTTAAATGCATTTTAATTTTTGAAGTTGTGAACTGGTTCATCCATTCACCCCCTCCTTCCTGAATATACATAGGCAAGTTATGCTGATACACTCCAGGCCTATTATTAATTGCAGGCATGAATTAATAGCCCCAAATCCATTTTTTAAAACACATGATTGCTCTGCTTTTATCATATTTAAAATAAGTTATAGCTAACAATTTTCAGACGGGTAGCCGTGTTTGTTTGTTGCAACAAAAACAAAATAATCTTAAAGTGTGTGTGTGTGTGCGCGCACATAAGATTATATTATATAATAGGGGGCCATTTTGTATTCATCTTGTCCCTCTTGTCATCTGCAAAAGACATTTTTGGGCATCAGATGTGGGCATTTGAAAGATCCAGGGCATGGGGAGGGATACCTGCTCAGCAAGCAAACTTGTACGTGTGCACTGCTGTCTAATAAACTGAATTGCACTGTAACAGATAGGTCTTATAACGGTGATATTAAAAATGAACAAATCCCTGGGTCTTGGGTGGCATTGTCCAGAAAGTTCTTAAAGAACTAACATATGCAGTCTTTCTATATTCCTCTGGTTGGCCATCATGAGACCAGGATGTTAGACTAAAGATGTGCCTTTTCGTCTCATCCAACAGGACTGCTGTTATGCTCCCAACTCCTGCTGTTCCTGACCGTTGGCTGGGGTATCTCAGCCTGATTGATATGAGTTGGAGTCCAAGATGACCACCATAGCTCATTTGGTTAGGGCATGGTGCTGATAATGCCAAGGTTGCAAGTCTGATCCCTGTACAGTGGTAAAGGTAAAGGTAAAGGTACCCCTGCCCGTACGGGCCAGTCGTGTCCGACTCTAGGGTTGCGCGCCCATCTCGCTTAAGAGGCCGGGGGCCAGCGCTGTCCGGAGACACTTCCGGGTCACGTGGCCAGCGTGACGAAGCTGCTCTGGCAAGCCAGCACCAGCACAGCACACAGAAACGCCGTTTACCTTCCCGCTATAAAGCGGTACCTATTTATCTACTTGCACTTAAGAGTGCTTTCGAACTGCTAGGTGGGCAGGAGCTGGGACCGAACGACGGGAGCTCACCCCGCTGCGGGGATTCGAACCGCCGATCATACGATCGGCAAGTCCTAGGCGCTGAGGTTTTACCCACAGCGCCACCCGCGTCCCTACCTGTACAGTGGTACCTCGGGTCAAGTACTTAATTCGTTCTGGAGGTCCGTTCTTAACCTGAAACTGTTCTTAACCTGAAGCGCCACTTTAGCTAATGGGGCCTCCTGCTGCTGCCATGCCACCGGAGCACGATTTCTGTTCTCATCCTGAAGCAAAGTTCTTAACCCGAGGTACTATTTCTGGGTTAGCGGAGTCTGTAACCTGAAGCATATGTAACCTGAAGTGTATGTAACCCGAGGTGCCACTGTATAGGGCAACTGCATATTTCTGCATTGCAGGGGGTTGCCTAGATGATTCTCAGGGTCCCTTTCAACGCTATGATTCATGATCATTTGGAGAGCTACAGGTTCCCTGCCCCTATACTAGCCACTCTGCCATGCTGGCTTATGCCTGGCTGTTGGGAATGTTTACAAACCCAGAACAGAGCATTTCAGCTGCCTTACCACCTGACACCTGGCATGCTTCTGAACACCTAAATATGTTCAAATTATGATTGACTCATCAGATGTAAGCTTGTTCTTTAGCTAAAGGATAAATCTTGGGTATGTAGGCTTTTAAAAATCTGGCTCTGGTTCAGAAGCTGAAGGTGCACACAAGATGTAAGGCAGCTTGAACAAGTGAAACTCTTTAAGAAGACTCGCCATTTGTTCCACCCACTGTTTTGTCATTATTGGATTTTCAGCTTTTTATGTACATACACCATTTCTTCCCTTCCCCTGGCATTGTGGGTGTGTAGGATGCTTGGAGAAAATTTGCTATGTAGAGCTGTTTAATGAGGGCTGGTTTGGAAACGTTAAAAGCTGGTAACGTGTATGCTTGATGTCAGTGGCCATCATTATCTATTGAAGGGGCCTCCATCCTTTTTTGGCACATTTGGAATTTTGAGGAAGTTCAGTGGGTGCCAGTCACAAATAGTCACCACACCTTAAAAGTACAGAAACAGGCGGGTTTTCCCCTAATCAATAGACTGAGGCACGTACATCAGCCACCGCTGCACTTGGTCATAGGGAGAAGGTCTTTCACACTACCTCCATTCAGAAGGAAGAGGAAGGTGGGTGTCCTATCCTGGCATCCAGGAAAAGGTGGATTTGATGAAGGGGCCGTGTTCTCTGTAGGAGAAGCTGAGCAAGTGAATCAAAAGAGCAAGCAGTCTCATGCATCTTGGCTGTGAGTCCTGGAAGACCTGACCCCTGTCTTGCAGGCAGGCCTTTTCCAACCTGGCCTGGGAAGGCAGGGCCCGGACTGACTCCAGCTACAAAAGCTGAGGCTGCTGAACAGATGCTTGGGCTGGGGTGTTGTTAAGGTGTGGTTGCTGGCAGGGGGTGGTTGCTGTTAATTTTTTGTATCTTTATTTCAGGTGCTATGAGTCAGGTGGAAATTGCTCAACCTGGTTGTGCACATTTTCATGTTTTGTTCATTGTTTATGAATACTAATGTTGTGTTTGTGGTTATATCATTTTTTGTATGTTGTAAGCTGCCTTCAGCATGGTTTTAACTTTGGAAAGGTGGCATACAGCTATACTGACTGATTGATTTTTGAGGACACATTTACTGAAGCCTTCCGCAGGCACCTGGAGCTGCATTGGTGACCCCTGATCTCTTGCGATAGGCTCAACACTTTCAAGTGTGTAGGCTTCATGGAGCCCCTGTTGAAAGAACTCCAGAGCTGCTATTGGTTTGAACACCAAGGTGTTAGAAGCATGGTGGTTCATCAGAGGGTTGATTTTCAAAACAGCACCACAACTCTTAGTTTCCCCAGATATGTTGTTGTTGTTTAGTCATTTAGTCGTGTCCGACTCTTTGTGACCCTATGGACCAGAGCACGCCAGGCACTCCTATCTTCTACTGCCTCCTGCAGTTTGGTCAAACTCATGCTGGTAGCTTTGACAACACTGTCCAACCATCTCATCCTCTGTCGTCCCCTTCTCCTTGTGCCCTCCATCTTTCCCAACATCAGGGAGTCTTCTCTTCTCATGAGGTGAGTCTTCTCTTCTCACGAGGTGTCTTCTCCAGGGAGTCTTCTCTTCTCATGAGGTGGCCAAAGTATTGGAGCCTCAGCTTCAGGATCTGTCCTTCCAGTGAGCACTCAGGGCTGATTTCCTTCAGAATGGATAGGTTTGATCTTCTTGCAGTCCATGGGACTCTCAAGAGTCTCCTCCAGCACCATAATTCAAAAGCATCAATTCTTCGGCGATCAGCCTTCTTTATGGTTCAGCTCTCACTTCCATACATCACTACTGGGAAAACCATAGCTTGAACTATACAGACCTTTGTTGGCAAGTTGATGTCTCTGCTTTTTAAGCAGGCGTCTTTTAATTTCGTGACTGCTGTCACCATCTGCAGTGATCATGGAGCCCAAGAAAGTAAAATCTCTCACTGCCTCCATTTCTTCCCCTTCTATTTGCCAGGAGGTGATGGGCCCAGTGGCCATGATCTTCATTTTTTGATGTTGAGCTTCAGACCATATTTTGCACTCTCCTCTTTCACCCTCATTAAAAGGTTCTTTAATTCCTCCTCACTTTCTGCCATCAAGGTTGTGTCATCTGCATATCTGAGGTTGCTGATATTTCTTCCAGCAATCTTAATTCCGGCTTGGGATTCATCCAGCCCAGCCTTTCGCATGATGAATTCTGCATATAAGTTAAATAAGCAGGGAGACAATATACAGCCTTGTCATACTCCTTTCCCAATTTTGAACCAATCAGTTGTTCCATATCCAGTTCTAACTGTGGCTTCTTGTCCCACATAGAGATTTCTCAGGAGGCAGATGAGGTTATCAGGCACTCCCCAGATATATTTCACAAATAAAGATTGCTTCAATTAATGATCACCTGGCTCGTAATGATTTAAGTGCATACCCAGGTGTGTGGTGTAAATTAGTTGCTTTTCATCTAAAATAACTCTCACAATGACTTACGAAAAAGAAAACTTGTTATAATTTTTCCTGCATCAAGCAGCCTTGGGTAGAATGGTTGTCTGTTAAATGGTTAGCCTTCATGGCTCATTTAGAAGACGATAGACCTGATTGGGCCTTTGGAGAAGGAACTTAGCTCAGTGGTAGAGCATCTGTTTTGCATGCAAAAGGTCCTGAGTTCAGTGCCCAGCATCGCCAGGTAGGGATGGGAAAGACTCCTCCCTAAAACCCATTGCCAGTCAGTATAGACAATATTAGTCAGTCAGTATAGAGGGACGCGGGTGGCGCTGTGGGTTAAACCACAGAGCCCAGGACTTGCCAATCAGAAGGTTGGCAGTTCGAATCCCCGTGACGGGGTGAGCTTCTGTTGCTTGGTCCCTGCTCCTGCTCACCTAGCAGTTCGAAAGCATGCCAAGTGCAAGTAGATAAATAGGTACCGCTCCAGCGGGAAGGTAAACAGCGTTTCCGTGCACTGCTCTGGTTTGCCAGAAGCGGCTTAGTCATGCTGGCCACATGACCTGGAAGCTGTACGCCAGCTCCCTCGGACCATAAGCGACATGAGCGCTGCAACCCCAGAGTCAGTCACAACTGGACCTAATGGTCAGGGGTCCCTTTACCTTTACCTTATAGACAATATTGAGCTCACTTAACGAATGGTCTGACTTGATCTAAAGCAGTTTCCCATGTCCTTCCTCTGCCCTTAGCAAATATCTGTCAAAGAGCATTGTCTGTGTTTGCCTGCAATGAGTTTAGTCCATACCCCCCCCCACATTTATCTGATGAAAATAAGGTCATCATCATCATCACCAACAACAACACCTCTCCCATCTGACTGGGTTACCCCAGCCACTCTGGGAGACTTTCAACATATATATAAGCACAATAAAACATTAAACATTTAAAAAGTCCCTATATAGGGCTGCCTTCAGATGTCTTCTAAAGGTTGTATAGTTATCTCCTTGGCTTGGGGTGTCACATAACTCCATCCCCCCCCCAACATTTCTCCGATGAAAATAGGGATGTCCTAAGGAAAAGTGGGACATTCCAGGTTCAAATCAGAAACCAGGACAGCATCTGTAAATCTGGGACTGTCCCTGGAAAATAGGGACACTTGTGGGGGTCTGTTAGTCTGAGCTAACCTAAAAGGTGGAGTTATGTGTCTATATCAAGGAGTGTTACTGCAGGGGGACATTTAAGGACAATGTTTTGGTTATTATGCATGTGGAGCCTTCTCTGCAGGTGGAAGAGCCTTTATCAAAAATGCTGCTTCAGTCATCCTTGATGACTAGAAACTGTTTCCTTATATCTGTATTGATGACTCTTGGCTACTAGCTGTGGTCCACATCTTGCTTGATTAGGGGCTAGAGAAGAAACAGAAGAGCAGTTGTATTGTGGTCAGCGAAGGAGAAAGAAGTTTGAGTTGTGCAGCTGGCTGAATGGCCAAGAGCATTCTTTGTGTTTTGGAGACTTGATGGTTTTTTTGGGTGCTTGTGCTCAACACACACACGCGCACACACACATATGCTTGTTTGCAGCACGTTCTCTCTCTCCCTCTCTCCAGAAGGACGCTGACCTTAGTTTGTTTGTTTTTTAAACTGCCCTGGAACTTGTGACACTTGGGAATGTTGAGGAAGAATACATATGTAGCTTTAAAATGAGCGCACTACATGTGGTCGATACCTCATACTCCTTTTTACTTTTGTAAGTTGTACCGAGTCGCTTACAAAAAGGCAAAGTAAAAGGGAGAATTGCAAGAATAGGTGGAAACTATTTCTTTACTTGTTTGTGAGGAATATCTGCTATAAGAATCCTGCACCTGGAATGAAACCAACAAGCAGAATTTTAATTCCTCAAACTGTGGATTTTTTAAATTAAGCTTTACTCTAGGGAACCTTTGCATTTTGTAGATAAAATGCATGACACAATCTTCTTCTCGACCACCTAGGTACTGGTCATTTTTATATGCGTGTATCTACATTGGAGATTGCTTATTAGAATGCAGAAGGGGATTGGGGAAGAATGATGGTGCTTCCTGTATGCCATTTGGCTGTTCACATTATATTTGAATTCATTTTATCGTCCTGCTGCATTAGCATTCACCAGAGCCACCTGCTTAGAAACGTGTGTTGTGTATTAAACTATGTACTTGAATTACAGTACTAAACTTCAGTTGTCTCTGGTATTTGCACAAGGTAATTTCTAGCATTAGCTGAAAATACACACATTTGTCATAAAGTTGGCCACAGGTCTGGCTATGGGATGTTTTCCTGTTTTAAGTGTCGAAAATTTAAAAGCTTTAAAAATATATATTTTAAAAATCATTAAAAGTGGCAGCGGTAAGAGAATGTGATCATGGAGCACATAACTATCTGACATATTTATTCCATCACCCTTTCAAGGATCTGATGATCCCTTCTCTTTACACGCACACACAGAAGAAGAACAGCTACTTAAACCTTATAACTTCACAGCTGTGAGTGGTTGGTGACACATGCAGGAAAAGGAGCTGTGGAATTCGGCTATTTGGTAATAGTGTGGAAATTTAAGAAGAAGCAGCTCGGTGCTAGCAGGTTTTGACACTTCCCAGGATAAGGAGGAGGTAAAATATAAGGTGATATGGGTCAGAATAGGTATAAGACTTGAGTGGTGTAACTCTTTGTAGCTTTGCTCTCCTGCTTCAGAATTCCAGAGTTCTCATCTTGAGCTGTTTCAACACTGGGCTAGACTTGATCAATGTTACGTTGTTGATCAAGGGCAGAACAGACGCGGCATTTCCATCTTTCACAAACTCATGATGCATTCCATTTCTCCTGTCCCTCCCTATTCCAGAGAGCAGCCCATCTTCACCACCAGAGCGCATGTGTTCCAAATTGACCACACCACCAAGAAGAACTGGGTACCTGCAAGCAAGCAGGCTGTAACTGTTTCCTACTTCTATGACAGCACAAGAAACAGCTATCGGATAATCAGTGTGGATGGCACCAAGGTAGGAGGTTGGCGCAGATACATCTGGCATGCTTGCAGAATTGAAATATCACTGAAGTGGGAAAATTTGTATGAATGTGGCTCATGTACATTTCTCTCTCTCTCATATATATATATATATATATATATATATATATATATATGAATGAAACTTTAATAGGCTTGTCCATATTTCATAAACTTTAGTTGTTACAGGAAAGTTGGGGTGTATGGTTAATCATGAAAACGTATGCATTTCTTTGGAAGAAAAGCATAGGATGACTTAGAAAGGCTTTTACTTACCAACTCACCTGATAGCCACAGGCAGCCAGGAATTTCTTGCAAGTGAGTGCTGGAGGAGGAGGGACAGACCTTTCTGTTCTTCAGTCTGTTTGGATTCCATCTGGCTGTGGAGGACAGGAAACCCATCTCTCCTTTACCAGTATGTTTGATAAAATGTAGGTTCCTCCCCCAATGATACACACAATGTCTGCTAAGAAGACAGCTGGCTGCTGAGAGTTCCCTATCCCATAATAACCCCTGGTGGCCAGCATGGAAAAACAGGCTACTAGTCTCTTACCAAACTAGTCAAACAAACAAACAAACAAACAAACATCTCTATCAACTTTTTTGAGCTTATTTACAAGGCTGGAATAAGAGGTAGCTTGGTAAATTGTCTAGTAAGGTTCTCATATTGTGGCAATGGTGGAGCTGAGGAGCTCCTTTCAGTGCCTAGATGGGAAATTGCTGGGAGTTTTTGTTAAGCTGTTCTGTGGGTTCTTAAAGGAAGACATGAATTATGAGACTGTAATTTTAGTGTTGCAGAAAAGCTATGATCAGTAATAGCTCTCTGCTAACTGTATTTCATAAATACATTTTAATTGTGTGGGTGCCTTACTTAACCGTTTTGTTTAATGGACAAAGGGATATTGCTTCTCTCATTCTCCCCTCCCCCTTCCAAGCAGAATTGGTTGTAGAAACTTATTTTGGAGGTAAAAAGATGGGAGTTTTAGCTCAAGGTTTGCATCTCTAGACAGAGAGATAGTGAGTCTAAGAATCTTTGATACAGGATGTTGTTCTGGTTGGGTTTTTGTTGTTGTTGCAATACTTAGTGTTATGACTTGAGCTTCCTAGGCTCAAGGTAACTTACAAAAACTGGCTGCAACCTTTGCCTCATTTTATGATCACAGCAGCGGTCTCTGGCGTCATTCAGGCATAGCAGCGAGCCATATGCCTGCAACATTGTCTCTCTCTGGGCCAGCCAATTGCTTACCTTATTTCTGTGTTTTAGGGAAATTATATATTGCTGTTGCTTGCAAACTGTGGTTTGCACAAGGCTTAGATTGCTCCCCGCCACAACCAACTCATTCACGCAGCACTAAACCATGGTTTGGCAGTAATGTCGCCTCCATCAGGAACCCTGTTTCTAAAGGTAATCAGGGATGTGACTTGATTTAGATGATTAATGTAGTGCTGTGGAATTTGACCCCAATGCCCTTGTAGTGAAACCCTGAAATTTTAACATAAGAAGCTACCTTATGCCATCAGTCTGTCTAGCTCAGTGTCGTCTACACTGACTGATGGTGGCTCTCCAGAGTTTCCAAACCCTGCTTGGAGATACCAGTTTGAAGCTGGGACCTTCTGCATATGAAACAGGTGTTCTGCCGCTTAGCTATGGCACTCCCCCAAGAGAAACGCAGGGAAGGTGTATGTGTAAAGACATCACAGAATAGAACATATGGAGGATTAGGAGGGGAAGGGTGTCTAACCTATTTTTAATACCACTTGAGCCAGTTAGAGTGCTAAATGCATAGGAGGGGTGAAGTTGTTGACTCATAGGAACCATAGCTGTCAACTTACAGATTTGAAAATAAGGGACCAGCAGCCTCGAAAACAAGGGATCAGCAGCCAAAATAAGGGATTTTAGTCAACCAGCAGCCAAACAAAGCCTCAAGTGGTGGTTCCCATAGTGCAGCAACCCGGCAAAGGGGATGCAGCAAGTAAAACCACCATCACCTCTCCGCTGGGAAGTGCTGAGCAAAGGCGAGTCCCCAGGCAACACGGCCTATTTGACATGCAAGCTCCACCCCCCAGTCGTTCTTAGACTCCTTATTGGGTGCGCAGTGCAGCCATGCAACACAGTTGGAGCCTCCCTCCTCCCTGGCCGGCAGGGAGGGAGGGAGAGGAGCTGCTTCCTTTGAAACCCGGGAAATTTAAGGGACATCGTCAATAAGGGACAGCAGCGGGACATGGCACTGGGATAAGGGAGTTTCCTGCCAAATAAGGGATGCTTGACAGCTATGATAGGAACATGGAAACTGCCTTCTGCTGAGTCAGACCACTGGTCCATCTAGGGCAGTACTTCCTACACCGACTGGCAGTGGGTTTCAGAGAAGGGGATATTTACATCTCCAGCTGGAGATGCCAGGAATTAAACCAGGGATCTTCTGCAGGTAAAGCTGGTGTTCTGCCTCTGTGTGCAGGGCAAGGTCAAATTCGCAACTTGAAACTGAATGTCAGACAAATTCCAGGTTACCCATGAGCAATTCGTAGGCAGCCTAGAAGCTTGTTTCTCTTGCCCATCAGTTGCTGAGGATAAAGAGGCATTTTGCACACCACACAAAAGCAAAATGTTGCAAAGGGGTTTGCCATCAAACATGCATTGACAGGGTGCTGCAGCCGGTTGTGTATGTTTGCACATGTGCTCACACACCCACGCTCATGCGTGCAAACTTGGTTGCCACCAGTGGTGCGCATTTAAAGCTGAGCATTTAAAAATGCTGAAAGCACAAGGTGCTTCAGTTTCAAGAGTATGGTATGCAGGTTCTTTTAGGTGCAAGGGAACTTCTGGGGAAACACAACTTAAGTCACCCCGAAAGAAGGTATTGGAGCACTTCACATCACTTGAATTTGTATGTGCACAGAAAATAGTAGAACTAGCTTGAAAGGCAATATACTGAGAACTGCATTAATCATTGCAACGCATCCCTGGTTGTATAACATTGTTATAATTATGCAGTAATGCTTTTGGAAGTTGTATAGCGTGTGAGGGTGTGTGGCTATGACTATCACAAAATTCACCCACTTCTGAATTTGTTGCTACTCCACTGGTTGTCACATTCATACTGTGCGCAGTTTGGGTTAGATAAATGGCAGGGAGAATGCTCAACTCTCCCCTCCCTGCTGTTGCTTTTTCTGCGGGAAGTGGCTTTTCCAGTTTTAAAAGGTTGCTGGCGTACTGTTGCATGCACCAACAATGGCCTTCTACCCTGAGGTAAATGGGAGTCTGTGTTATATACTCTGCAGGCTTGCTGTGAGTTCCAGTGTGCCTAGAATCTTCCGCTTAAAAAAGAATAGCTGCATCTCTCAGAAAAGTTTGTACTAAACTTGAAAATTGCACCTGATATGTGGCCATTTAATTCAGACCAGACTTTTTAAGTTTTGACAAGACCTGCTGAGTGCTACTGGTCTGTTGCCTAGGGTAGCATGTTGCAGGGGCTGCAAAAGAAAAACACTGGTAGATAGACAAGAAAATCTGCCTTTTTTGCTGCAAGTGAGGCAGGAGGCAGGCAGGCGTCTCTCTGAGTGTTAAGGGTGTTTTGTTTGAAAGTGTTACTGCGGTTCATGGTGTGTGGTTGTGCACTCACTAATTCACCTTCCCTTCACATCTAAAAGCCCCCTTCACGTGTTACCTGTGGGTAGAGACTATGGTGGAATCCACACACATATAAAAACCGTTCTGAAAATGCTTTTTTAAAAAAGCCTTTTAAAAAATACATTGAATTTTCCATAAGGCTCACCATTGCCATCTAGTGTCACATTGTCTATTGCACTTAAAACACACTTAAAATGTTTTATTTGCAGTTGTGTAGCCGAGTCCCTAGAGAGTTTTTTCTGTTGTTTCAAAACAACAACACCACCACCACCAAAAAAATAATAATCAAAACACCAACCTGTGGAGCTTTTTTGTTCAAAGGCTACAGTGGGACAAGAGGGACGTATGCATGCGCAATGGGATGTGAAACTTATCTCAAACACTTTTCTTCACTTCTTGCTTGTCTGTCTCCAGCTTTCTTGTGGTGAAGCTAGGTGATAAATGTGGGTACCTGGAATGCATAGCCTCCAACACTTGGTAGAGGAAAGTGGTACTCTTAATTTTAAGCTAGTTTAAAATTTGTTGATGTCATCCGACTTTCGGCTGCTGAGGCAGCTACTTCCATTTAATCTGTTGCCATGCCTTGCCGCATTTTTTATTGATGTAATAACATCTCAATACATATTCGCCTTCAACCAGAAAGCACATTCCCACCTGGAGTTAGCATCAATTTGCACCAATTTGCATTTTCCTTCTTGTTGCCTCACCATCCATCTTATTCAGAATGTTAACATCCAGACTACATTAGCAAGATTATGAGATTCAGTTCCCAGGTTGTATTTTGTCTAACCAAGTGATGCAACTGGCAGGTAAGTTCCATTGTCAGGAAAACATTCAATAGATTGTGGAGAAAATAGGGAAAGTGCCTATTAATAGACCTAGTTTAGGGGCAGGGAATCTATTATACTGTTGGGAGATTGCTAGCTTGTGATGGGAAAGGCACCCGACTTTTTTATCTCTGGCACCTCCTTTTCCCTCTCCTTGCCACCTGTCTGAAATTATGCTGAGGATTACATGCAGACCACCTCTAGACTTGTCAAATGGGGCAGGCTCCCATTAATGCTATTTATCTTGGCATTGACAGAACAACCTTTCTAGATAAGACTACATATAATCAGGGTCCCTTTTGCGACGGCAGTTAGTGGTACAGAGTACCAGACCCTTTAATCAATCTATGACTACTATCACCTCATTTTTATTTTTCACAGAAAAGGCAATGCATATAATAGCTACATGTAATGTTTCATGATAGCTCTTGACCATAAGAAAAACACCAGTAAAATCACTTGATCCCCCCCCCCCACAAATCATCACCAATTAATTCATTAATATACTGCTTTATGCTGCAATAGACCTCTATATGGTTTACAAGCATAAAAGCCAATTGCACAACCTCAGAAATGTTAAACATCCATAATTAAAATACACAATTAAGATACACAATAAAACAATCCCATTAAAATATAAACACACATAATTAAAATATGCAATGAAGCAATTCCATTAAAGCATGGTTACAGAGAAACTTTCCACTGTGACTAAGAAATTATTTTTGTTCTTTTACTAATGAGCATCCTTGCTGCTTCAATAGGGATGTACTAAAAGTCAAAGAAAGACACATTAAAAGACATAGAATCCACTTTGTGTATGTGTGTATTTACTATGGCATATGAGAGTGAAGATGAGTGTAATACTTAGAGATCAGTAGGACTGATTTGAAAGAACCTCTCTACATTGGACACATTGCCCTTTCAGAGCAAACTGAAAAACCAGTTCCCCTCCTATTAAACACCCATTTCCTCAGCTTAGAAATTCTTCAAGCATAATTGGAAATCTGGCTGGTAAATTATTTAACAGATCAACAAATGACCACCTTTGTGCTTGCATATCAGGCCAGATTGAAGACACTGTGCTATGTATATTGCGTTGCCATTTGATACAGCTCATCTATATCAAAGAATTTTCCAAGGGGCCAATCAGATGTTTTCAAAATTATATGGTTGCTGATGGTTGTAGACAAGTTTGTTACCTACCGGGTAGTTTTATATGCACTTAATCCGCATGAAGGTTCTGGACTAATTTTTGGACCCTAAACAGTGTTGTCTGCCAGAGGGATTTTAAAATCTAAATTATTTTGGAGAATGTTGCGATTTTAAGTTTTGATGATTTGCAGTTCCAAAAACTGATTTTTAAAAAACTTTGTCTTCGATAAATGTGTTTTTGTGATTCTTATATTGTAACAATCATTGCCTACACACAATTAAAAACTGACTGACTTGACAGTTGGTTCAACATTCAACTTGTACTGGAACATTTTAAGGCATTTTTACCCCAGGATGGGTTCACGGGAAATAATGCAACTTGTAATGCAAGTTGCAGTGCCAAACTTGCAAAGCAGATGAAGAACATGCTGTGAGGACTCTTAACTTGTGTCTTTGTTACCTGATAAAAAGGAATATTGCAGGTAAAAGAGAGGGGGAGAATTAACAGAGGGATTATTCTGGAGAAAAGGCATGAGCTCATGAAAATTACTGCACAGCGCATGGGGAAAACTACACACCAGACAGCTCATTAAAATCGACCTACATTGTTATTCCTTCAGAACAACGGTGACCTAAAAGGATGCAGATTTGAAAGAGCACAAGCAGTTGCCTTCTCTTCCCCTTGGGAGCCATGCAAAGGACAAGGCTGCCCAAACTTCTTTTTGTTCTAATCAAGTCACCTGTTGTTACCTGTTGAAAAAAACAACTGCAGTCCTGAATAGCTGGGCTCAGACAAATTAACTTCTGTGGACTGCATTGAGAACAAGTAGATTTTTTCATTTCATAATGGAATATAGAAGTATAGTATTGCACTGAGGACTTCATGGGTGGATCTACACACGGGGGGGGGGGGGTACCATAAATAAGCCAGAAATTAAATAATTATAACAAAAGGGGGGGAAAAACCTATGTAAAAAAGTTGGAGAGATGTTTTGTGCTCTCTGGCACCATCTGGTGTTGCATGCTTATAATGCATTCAGATCACTTTTTTTTTTTTTACTAATGTAGCTGAGTCCCAAGCTGTTTGAAGTCTTTCAACTTGGTGTGCTTACTGAGAAATTAGTCTCACAAAAGGGTGGAAGGAGAGTTCATTAAACAGTTTTTAAATTAGCATCTTGTCCTACCTCCCAGGGTGGTACTGACTGGGATTAGAACACTTACATGATGGTTTGATTATGTTTTTAGATGTTTTAAATTGTTTTTAAGCATGTTTTGTTTTGTTTTTAATTGTACTGTTTTATCACTGAATTTACCTTTGAGCTGTTCTAGTGTTGAAAGAGGGTGAAGCGGTCTCTTTCCACACTATACATGATTATATAAATGTCATGTCTCCTCTTAATCATCTTGCTTTCTAAATGAAAAGTGCAAATGTTGCAGCCATTTCTTCGCAGAGAAGGCATCTCATCCTCTTGAACATGTTAGTTGCTCTTTTCCAGCTGTACAGCTTACCTTTTTTGAGGTGGCACAATTAGAATTACGCACAGTCCTGCACATACTGACGATGAACACCTCTTCTTTCTTAGGCTAGTTTTTTTTTTGGGGGGGGAGGGAGTTTTACTTTTTGTGTTCCCACTAATGTCTCTTTATAAAACTCGGTTTGTCACTAGTTTGCTGTTCAAATCTCGGATGAAGCTTTTGAGATTTATTTTCCCATGAAAGGAAGCTTCATGCTGTTACATCTTCGCCATTGCGCCACAGAGCGTCATCCAACTTCCAATAAATTGAAATACGTCAGTAGATGCCTGCTCACTAATCATAGCGCTTGATCTGCGCACCAGCGAATTACTGGGTCTGGCTTATAGGAAGTACAGTGAAAGATCAGGGGTGGTGTATTTATCTTCGCAAAGTAATTTTAATGGAACACACATGGCTATCCAGCTTAAGAATGGCTTGCAGCAGTTATGTATATTATAACTTCATGTAGCTGTTGGGATCCCTAATGTATTCCTCCCCGCTGAACTGTAACTGTTCCTGACATGTATGAAATCCTAGGTTTCCATGGCTTTTAATGACTTCATAGCATTTGCCTGTATTGTGAACAAAGATTGCCTTTTGTTTGTCTCCAAAGTTTGCACTACAATAATAAGGCAGCAACTTAAGACAGTGCTGCTGCCTGTTCCCATTTTCTAGCTTAACAGACAAAGGGCACAGATGTTACTTCTACTGGTGAGGGGAATAGATGTCTCCTAACGTGGGTGGCACTGTGGGTTAAACCACAGAGCCTAGGACTTGCCAACCAGAAGGTCGGCGGTTCGAATCCCCGCGACGGGGTGAGCTCCCGTTGCTCTGTCCCTGCTCCTGCCCACCTAGCAGTTTGAAAGCACGTCAAAGTGCAAGTAGATAAATAGGTGCCGCTCCGGTGGGAAGGTAAACGGCATTTCCGTGCGCTGCTCTGGTTCGCCAGAAGCGGCTTAGTCATGCTGGCCACATGACCCAGATGCAAACGCCAGCTCCCTCGGCCAATAAAGCGAGATGAGTTGGTCACGACTGGACCTAATGGTCAGGGGTCCTTTTACCTTTACCTTTAACAACTCACAGCACAGTGAACAAACATATATGGTGGTATAATACTACTTTAAATGTATAGTGCAGATGTGGACCGAAAGGGCTAGAGCTGCCATCTGATTAAGGGACTCTTGGTTGATCAATTCAATGTAAACCCCAAAAGGTGGCTCATAATAAATAAAGATTAAATCTGCATATGTTTCATTGCATATGAAACTATGAGTATTGTTATAGGGGGCTCTCCGTTTATCCACATTTTGGAAGTCACAATTGGGAGCAGAACCAATATTATCTGTTCAGAACAAACCAGAATTTTTGTTTAATATCTTGTGCATTTTTTTAAAGAGGCTGCCAAGCCTCCAACTGATTTATAATCCCAGGTTTCATGTCTGGCATTCTTTGTAGGGCATATGCTTTGATAATCAAAGGGTAGATGTGCCCAGACCCTGGATATAAATAGATGGTCGCAAAGTGTTTGGCAGCTGTCACCAGTCGAGTGGTGGCAAGAAGGTGGAGCGCCACTTTGACATTGGCTTATGCTCATTAAGCCTATTCAGCAAAGTTTTGTGTTTCTTGGTTTTTTTTTATTATTTTTCTGTAACGGCATGGTACTGGTTTTGGAAAAAGTATATGGATTTTCATCCAGCGCTCTGATGCCATGAGGACCTCTTTTCAGACCTAATTGAAAGAGCGACATAAAGTTTTAACCCTGGCTTCCTCACCCCTGACTCCCATTCTAGACTGGTAGATAAGCGCCATCAGTTCAGTGATTGGGAGTCAAAGGAGCTGTATAGAATTTGAGGTCTTCTCAACAGTGGGGAGGGCACAATCTCTAGGGGAACAATGCTGGAAGAGCTGGGGGGGGTTGCACACAAGTCACGGTTCGGAGCATTACAAGGCTACTCTTTTGTATTCTACCTGGAGCATAAAGGGGAAGGATTACAACCCCCTCACTGCATTTGGGTCTCTGTGCTGTAACTCAAACTCTGAATTGAAAGGGGCAGCCTTCCTAGTTTATACACTGGTACCTCAGGTTAAGTACTTAATTCGTTCCGGAGGTCCGTTCTTAACCTGAAACTATTCTTACCTGAAGCACCACTTTAGCTAATGGGGCCTCCTGCTGCCGCTGCGCCACCACCACACGATTTCTGTTTTCATCCTGAAGCAAAGTTCTTAACCTGAGGTACTATTTCTGGGTTAGCGGAATCTGTAACCTGAAGCGTATGTAACCCAAGGTACCACTTTATTGTAATATTGGAGCATAGTATGGGAAATTCTAAAGGTTTAAGGCAGGCATCCCCAAATTCGGCCCTCCAGATGCTTTGGGACTACAACTCCCATCATCCTTATCTAACAGGACCAGTGGTCAGGGATGATGGGAATTGTAGTCCCAAAACATCTGGAGGGCCAAGTATGGGGGTGCCTGGTTTAAGGCAAATGTGAGAGGAAAAGGTAGGAGTAAAGACAGGGGCCCAACAGGTGGGACACCATCTGGCAAAGCTCCCCACTTAAAGAGGGTATCTGCATGCCTTCTGGAAGCCTCCTTCAAAATCATCTTCTGTTGGTACTGGATACTGATACGGCTAGCTAAAATAAACCACTGGCTGCCCCCTCTGTGCTGGAAATGGTATGGGAACCCTGGATAAAAGATGGATGTATAATATATCGATGCATGATGGGAATGTATTCTTTTACAAAAACTCTGGACCACTGTCTTCACGGTTATTTCCGTTATCACTAAACAAGTCATGCAGCTTAATCAAGCATTAGTACTCCTTAGTACACTGGACCTTAGCTCAAGTTGTCTTCAGGGTCATAAGGAATTAATGGGTTTTCTTCTGACTGCAGCCTGCCTGGTGATAGCCCAGCAGTGGGGAAACCAGTCAGAAATACCCATGAATCTGGGTTGGGAGTCTTCAGTACCTAGGGTTGTACGAGGAACTTCCAAAAGTGACAAGTCTGACATGGTGTGACATCCATTTATTACTTTTGTCAATGAACATGAAAGAGATTTCCCATTGCCCACTATTCAAAAAGATATTTGGAGAGGTTATCTAAATAACTGATTTGTCTAAAGCCGAAATAAGGGCACCCGTGTATTGTTTTGTTACAGCAAATATGTAATGCAAGTTGTGATACTGAACAACAATTTAATGTTTATGTTTTGTGTAAATTCAATACACAAGATGGAAGTGGGGGGAAAAGACTTCTTCATACCTGACTCTGAAAGCAGGTCCCAAGGTATACCCTCCCTGAACTCCCCTTAAAGCTTAGTTTCCAATCCACCCAGCCACTCTACTGATCCAAAAATGAAAACTTTTCATTAATATACCTTGTAGCGGACCCAACCACTTAATGCCACCTGTAAATAATGCGGCCGATCCACTCCCGCTAACCGCCCCCAATTAATAATAGTGCACCCACCTCACGGTACACCAATTACATGGATTTCTACAATTTACCACAGATTATCCTAGTGGGGGACTTGTGTGAGGGAAAACTTAATGATTAGAGTCTCAGGCAGAAAAGAATCAAAAGTTTTATTGAACAAAAAGGGTTTATGAAACAAAGTGGGTCAGGAAATGCGTTTTTTCAGGTAGAAGTTAGCTGGTTTACTTTAACTCTAGGATGTTTCAGGCTTAAACACAACACTACAGGCACAGCTCTTCTTCAACTTGTTACTAAAAAGCAGTTGTTGCACTTCAGGTGTAGATGTTCAGGTTTCTGGATTAGATGGTAAAATGCTCAACTCAGTTTCTGTTACTTAGATATTACAATTAAATACTTTCAACACCATATCACTTCCTTCACTGATTAATACCTTGGTTCATGAGCAAGGGGATCTTCTTCTCAATAATCTCTTAACAATCTCACACCTGAGGTATTCCAAAGGGCATAACAAACCCAGGGGGTCCCCTCACCTCTTGTTACTGGGTTGGGAGTCTTCAGTACCTAGGAGAACTCTCCCCTCCTGGCTATACTGACACCCAGGTAGCCTGAATTCACCCGAGATCTACCTCTCCCGGTTCAGTCACAGCCCTCCCAGGACATTCCTCTCTGTATACCTTTCCCAGGACCTCAACCCAGTCTCCCTATCCAAGCTGAGAGGCTCTGTACTCTCGCTATGGATAGTCTCCACAGTGTGGATGTTTAACTTAGCTCGGAATCAGTTCTCCCCATCTCACCACCTATCTCCCAACCTGAAACCTGCCCAACATCTCAAATCAAATCCTTTCCCTCTTCTAAAATCCAGCCTTATCTTCAATCCAGCCCCAGCTAACCTTCTCCTTCAGAAACTGTACCTTTTATTCTCCCCATCACCACCACCCAAAGTTCTGTTCCTCCCCTCTCTGTGGCTAGCTGACTCTGCAGTCCATGGGTAGGCAAACTAAGGCCCGGAGGCCGGATCCGGCCCAATCACCTTCTAAATCCGGCCCACAGACGGTCCAGGAATCAGCGTGGTTTTACATGAGTAGAATGCATGCTTTTATTTAAAATGCATCTCTGGGTTATTTGTGGGGCATAGGAATTCGTTCACCCCCCAAAAAAAAATATAATTCGGGCCCCCACAAGGTCTGAGGCACAGTGGACCGTCCCCCTGCTGAAGAAGTTTGCTGACCCCTGTAGTCCATCAGAGAGAAGCTCCAGCTCTCTGGTGGAATTTCAGGGGCGACTGCATCACCAGACTCTGGTCTGGCTCTGCTGTCAGTCACACACCTGTAGCCCCTTCCACGTTTTCTCTCCCTGAATAAATTCCCCCCAATCCCTCACAAACCTCAACTCTTGGTTGGGTTTAAACATTCGCTTAATTTTAACCATTCTATTTCTGTTTCTTATAATTACAAGAATGGGTGTTGATTATCCTCCCTCCTTGTTTTTTCTTTTTCTTTTTTAATTTGCTAAATTTGTTCCTCCTGCTGTGATTTTTTTTCTTACCACGACCCACAGGAAAACATTTAAAGCTTCTGTCTCTGCCTCATGGGAAGGTAATTTAAGGTATCTCTGGGTGTTTTGTAAGATAGGCAGGTGCAAAAATTCAAACGTTGCTCTAGAGTCTCTTGCAGAAAATGGGGGCCTAAAGGATAAGAGGATGTGTCAAGTAGGGCCAGGCAATAGATCACCTAAAACCGGTTTGAAGTCCATATTGTGATCCTGGTTTCATAATTTTTTGACCTGGCAATATATTGCAAAGTGTGTGTGTGTGTGTGTGTGTGTGTGTGCAAAAATCACGATATGGGAAAAACCAGGAGGCCAGCCAATGCCTCTGCATAGCTGCACCCTTATTTCAGACATTGTAATATATCAGTATATTGCGATGTTTAGCTGGTGATATATCACAATGTTGAAAAACAGATACCACCTAGCCCTAGTGTCAAGTAACCCAGTACTGAGCTGTATATTGTCTTATAAGTTAGTACTAAAACCTTGAACATAGCCCAGTAGAAAACTGGCAGCAGGTGAATGCTAAAGTCTAGGCATGTGAGTCTCCAAGGCTGCTGCAAGATGGTGGGGTTGGTGGTGGAGGATGAAGAATTACTTAACCTTTCCACTGCCTTACGCTTTTCCTGTACATTGCGTCTCCAGCAGTGTTTTTCACTGGGATGTTACAAACATCCTGTCACTTGCTGGAGAAAGGTGGAAAGGGTTGTAGGGGACATCCAATGAAGCTGAATTTTGGAAGGGTTGGGGGCAAATAAAAGAAAGTACTCCTTCATGCAATGCAGTCACACGATGGAACTCGCTCTCACAGGGAGGCAGTGATCACCACCACTGGATGGCTTTGAAAAAAGGAGGAGAGAGCCATGATAACTATATTCTGCATCCACAGTTGGAGGAAGCAGTGCTTCTGAATACCAGTTGCTGGAAACCACAGGAGGGGAGTTTGCTCTTGTGCTCATGTTCTGTTTCCTGGTCTCCCACAGGCATCCAGTTGACCACTGTGAGAACAGGATGCTGGACTGGATGGGCTATTGACATGATCCAACAGGCTAGTCTTTATGTACTTCTATTAAAAGGCTGGTGAGGAAAGGGTCATCAACCCCTCTTGCTTCTATTGTGTGACTTTTCAGATGCTGAGTGGTGACCCAGGTGGCGCTGTGGTCTAAACCACTGAGCCTCTTGGGCTTGCCGATCAGAAGGTCGGCGGTTCGAATCCCTGCGATGGGGTGAGTTCCCGTTGCTCTGTCCCAGCTCCTGCCAAGATAGCAGTTCAAAAGCACGCCAGTGCAAGTAGATAAATAGTACTGCTGTGCTGGGAAGGTAAATGGCATTTCCGTGTGCCCTGGTTACCGTCATGGTGTTCCGTTGCACCAGAAATGGTTTAGTCATGCTGGCCACATGATCCAGAAAGCTGTCTGCGAACAAACCCCGACTCCCTTGGCCTGAAAGCGAGATCAGCGCCGCACCCCATAGGATGGCATAGGATGCAACTCTGGCTCTGTGACACAAGCATCTGCTTGCCTTACCGAAGGCAAAGTGACATCCTGCTAAATTTCTGGAGAGCAGCCATGTCACTACGTTGGAGCGAAAATGAGATTCCTGTGGTGCCTTAAAATAGGCTGCAACCATGAACGCTAATGCCACAATAAATTTGCTTGCCTTTTAATGTGCCAAAGGACTCTTGATAGGTTAAACTTCCTGCTTTCTCCCTGCCCTAAAGCAGCTTACAGAGGAGCAAATTGGTAACTAGACAGATAAAATGCGACAGTATTTGCTTACTTTTCCCATGCTAAAACGCACAGATAATGGCAACTTCAGTTATTATTAGTTAACATATTTAAAAATAAGCCATGGAATTATTTGGCTGATATGGTTATGCCAAGTGCCTAAAAGGCAAATGAAGAAAAACCCCAAAGAGCATTGCATTGAATGCAGTGACGTAAGTTGTGATTGAAATGTCTGATTTAAAAATCAGCCCATCTTCTGTGTTCTCCATCTGTAAGGGGTTGCTAGCTGCTAGTCTAAATAAGGTTCTTCCCATCTCTTTAGCAACTGAGGTTTCCTCCAGGGAGAAGCTTATAGTTTCTTCTGCCACAGCGCTAGTAACAGGAGAGGTTTCAGCGGCTAACCTCCCGCTGTCATGCTAAAAGTAAAAAGGAGCAGCCCCTAAAGGCCCAGGCATTCACAACTGTCTTCTCATTGAGAATACTGAGAGATATTGGACCAGGTAATATCTGCAGGTGTTCTTGAATTCTTCATATGAACCAAGGCAGCTGCCTTGTACTAAGTCAAGACCCATCTAGTTCAGTATTGTTTACTGCGACTGGCAGTGGCAATCCAGCATTTCGGAGAGGAGACATTCTCACCCCTACCTGGAGATTTTGGGGATTGATCCTGCATGCAGAGCAGATGCTTTTCCAGTGAGCCACGGCACCTTCCCTGGCACCCTGCGTCAAAGGCACGTAAAACTCCCACACAAGTAACTTTGCTGCCGTTTCTTTGACATAATTTGTAATGCTGCATTTCCTATGACGTTAAGTGGAACGTAAAGGTAAAGGGTAAAGGGACCCCTGACCATTAGGTCCAGTCGTGACCGACTCTGGAGTTGCGGCGCTCATCTCGCTTTATTGGCCGAGGGAGCTGGTGTACAGCTTCCGGGTCATGTGGCCAGGGTGACTAAGCCGCTTCTGGCGAAACTAGAGCAGCGCACGGAAACGCCGTTTACCTTCCCGCCGGAGCGGTACCTATTTATCTACTTGCACTTTGACGTGCTTTTGAACTGCTAGGATGGCAGGAGCAGGGACCGAGCAACGGGAGCTCAGCCCGTCGTGGGGATTCGAACCGTTGACCTCCTGATCAGCAAATCCTAGGCTCTGTGGTTTAACCCACAGCACCACCCGAGTCCCTAAGTGGAACATAGTCCTTGCTAAATATTTGACAGTATAGAAAAATAGGCATAACGGAACAAAGACAGAAGGGATAAGAGCCATTGGAATTTGGTGGATTGATTGATTAACTTGTCAGTCATTTTGTCTAGTCCAGGGCAACCCAAAGCAACTTACAACCAAACAGACAATGTACCACCACATAGATACATTAAAACCAAGAGGAAAGAGAAACACTTTTTAAATAAATTCAAATTTTAAAATACATTCAAATACATAAAAATACATTTATGTGTTGTTTATGCTCACCCAAAGTTATAATGTACCATGCATATATTTGTAGTGGGAGGGAAAGATGGGATAATTGGGGGGTTTTTTGGAATCTATAAAACTATCTTATGCCAGCACCTGTTGTTTCCCTACTCTAGCAAAGGAGATGTGCATGACGGGGTCCAGGGGGCAGCGTCCCATTTTGTTACCTGAGGTGAAACAGGAAAGTGCTGCCCCACTTCTCCTGACCAAAGTCTACCCTCGCAGGGTGGTGTGGTGTTGCCCGCAAAGGGGTGATGGCAGCGGCAGGTACTAGCGAGATCTTGTGGCAGAATTGGTAAGGGCCCTGCCTGAGGCAGCTGCCTTAACCCTGGTGGGGTCCCTATAGGCATCTGACTTGCCACTGTGAGAACACAACGCTGGACTAGATGGCCCATTGGCTTGATCCTGCAGGCTCTTCTATGAGTTTTAGTGTCCTACCAGTTTATGAGGCCTATGAAACCGGAAAACTATATGCAAAGGAGCTTTTAAACTATTGGGATGAGTAGGATTGTCTATGCACTGAACTTCCATTCCTGGTAGATAACAAGGCAAAAAAAGCTAAGCAATCTGGTCAACAATAGCTGCTCCAATATGCTTTAAGAGTTCCCTGAGCACTAATGTAATCTGTGATGAAACTGGAGAACAGAAGAAGGAAGTGTAAATCTAATAAGCACCGTGCAGAATAATGACCTCATTTATCAAACGTATTAAGCCCCTGAGTGGGTGCGATAAAGGGATTCTACTTTACTGTCCTCTGCAGTGTGGATTTGCTAATGACTGGATCCTCTTGGAATGCCAACCTACCCCGCTAGTTGCTGTCAAAGAGATCTATTGGTACCCTCTGTCGGCCATGAATAAAAACATTAATCTGCATATCCGTTTTGATAGCCAATATGTATGGTCCACAGTTGGGCAATGCTTGTTATTTGGACTAACCAAAAGGAAGTAAAGCAGTGAGAGCTCTTTACCAGTCTGGATATTAAGCAAAAACAGGCTAGATTCTGGGCTTGGTGTTGAAGCCACCAAGTCTGCGTTTAGTCACTGTCTAATGTTGGAGTGTAGGAGGATGTTGCAGTGCTAATTAGATTAGGTTGCATGAGGTTTCAGAACAATGGGTAATCTCTCCCTCATCCCTCATATAAAATCTAGCAGTTGTCTGGCTTCATCTCACACACTGCTTCAGCTTTTCATGGGTAGAGATACCTGGTTTTAAAAATGCATTGTTTTAAAGTAATGCTAAGGCAAAAAAAAGAGGAGTCGCAATTGTTCATCCTTTCTGCAAAGCAAAGGACAAGAAGCTGGTGTTGAAACAGCAGAGAAGTGAGGTCGTCAGGTTAAACAACTAGCAGTCCCTGGATTCATGGGGCAGTTCAGGGGCTGGCAAACTGGCAAAGCGAACAGTGATGAATCTTGCCTCCAGTGACAACGAACAAGTTGGGATCAGAAAAAGTATTGCTATGACACTGCTATGATAAGATTTATAACACAAATATAACGGTAAAGAACCAAACAATTTAAATATAAAAGACACAACACATTTCAACCAAAAGGACTTCTTCAGTGTTCACTAAAGTTAGGGCTGCCATATGTCCGGAAAATCCCAGACATAGCCAGGATTTGGCCTTCAGAAACAGTGTCCCAGGCAGAAATCGCTTAATGTCCAGGAAAATCTGAACATATGGCAACCCATGTCACAAGTTTAGATTTTGATGGATTTCCTTAAAAATAAGGGCAGCGTAATAGGTTTTAAAGATATTTCAGCTGACATTTTCCCAGATCAAGAGATAAGCTCTATTTTAATTGCATGAAAGACTTGCAAATTCTGGGTGCGATGGTGATGTGGCCCCATATTCCCAGGTTTGATGAACTTTTTTACATGTCAAAAAGCGTTGGGTGGGTGTGCTACGCGCTCTGTGTTTTGCAGGCATTCCTGGACTAATTTAGCTCCTTTTCTCTCCCGTCAATGTTCTCTTGCTATGTCTCATTTTTTGCAACAAGAATGGAGCTCCTTTGTTCAGCATATGATTGGCAGGACTGCGTCTTCCTCCATTCAGGTTCAAGCTGGGTCCCCAGTAGTTTGCCTTAATTGCCGCTTAGCGTGAATCACAGAGACTTATCAGTGTCTGCTTCCTGTGCAGTATATTCCTCTTTTAAATCCCAGCTGCTGCAAAAGGAAACTATTTCAAATGTGCTTCTTAACAAACGTGAACTGGCGTGCATCCCAGGTCTTCTCCATCTTTGCCTGTAGGAGAAGGAGAGAGTATAAGATCTTCCTTTCCTGTCCACCTGCCTCCCTGCCTGCCTGGCCCAACTGCTGCATTGGTCTCTTCCCTTCTCACTAGCACCGGATCCAGCCTTTGCTGAGGTTGATTGTGTTTGCCAGTGCTCCCCCACTTCCCAAGTGTGCTTACACAGCAGTGTCACTCTTGGGCAGCCTACATCAGTACCTCAGAGCAGTCTCTCTCTGGGCATTGTGGGAATTTTTTAAAGTGATGGCTGGTGGCAGTGGGCTTTGCTGGGAAGTGTGAGCCCAGGCAACTGCCTAAAGATATTGAATCCCTTCCCTCCATCAGTGGCCTGCCACTCAGCAAGAGAGGAAAACAAAGTGAGGGCCCTTCCACTGGCTTCATTTGGCCCACCTGTGTTTTAATGTTTCTGTTGTGCCCACCTTGGGCACCACCCAGCGTTCTTTTCCCGCCACTGGACAGGTGAGTTTTAATGCTGTGAAACAGGGGAATCCAGTGCAGCAAGTACTCTAGCAGAAACTCACTGCAGAACAAATTGCAACCTCTGCTACCAGCAACCTGCTCTTGCATTCTCTTGCACAACCATGCCAGCAGAACAAGTACTGTATAGCACAAAGCAACTTTAACTTAGCGCTACGTTGGATGCAAGCCTTTGACCTGTTTTTCCTTTTGAAAAGAGAAAATAGAATGTAGCACCTAAGAGCTTAAATGTCACCTCTACCATGAACTTACTTTGCGGCCTTAGGCGAATCACACGGCTCACAGCCTCAGTCCCCAACCCCTACCTGCAACATGAGGAATAGTAACGACTTAATGTATGGGGTTGTATGTAGGGGTTACAACTAGGTAGTGTCAGAGCCACCAGACTCTTGAGTTGTTGTTTTTTTAAATAAGTTGTCTCCTTTGTAGACTGAAAGTTATGAAGTGCCCTAGCCCTGACTACTGTTACGGCTTTTCATAACACCATCTTAATTAAGGTGCCGGTATTAAGTCCAGTTCTTGCTCTTCTGGTCTGAACTTGCTGTTAAAGCAACCTTTTGACTGTTTGGAAGATTTTGACTTGTAGGTTCACTGAACTCAGGAGTGGAAGAGCAATCCTCTGCAGTTGAATTTTGTTTTCAAATCTAATAATGGATATGAATATATTTTATCTGTTCTTTTTTTTAAAAAAAAAAGATTGATTCAAGACAATAAACGAAAGGAGAACCATAAATCTATACAAGTCAAATCAGTATAGTATGCAGCTGAAGCCCATGTACCAATATGCTTATTGTTGTTATTCATCGGAATATTTCTTTTGCACAGCAAGCTTTTTGGCAAGTTACTGTATCTCCTATAATATGTAATCCTGATATTTTTTTCTGAATTGTGTACCTCTTTTGTTTTGTGTTTCCACCCCCCCCTCCAGGTGATTATAAATAGCACAATCACACCTAATATGACCTTCACAAAAACATCACAGAAATTTGGCCAGTGGGCTGATAGCCGAGCAAACACTGTGTTTGGCCTGGGGTTTTCTTCTGAACAGCAGCTAACAAAGGTAACTTGAGTTTGAATTACTTTTTCACTTGTTGTTGCTTTTGTAAAATCTCCTGCAATCTCAATGAATTAAAAGGAGGAACATATAGATCTTGTGGTAGTCTCTCTCTCTCTCTCTCTCTCTCTCTCTCTCTCTCTCTGTGTGTGTGTGTGTGTGTGAGAGAGAGAGAGAGAGAGAGAGAAACTGGATTTCTTCCACTTTGTCTTAATTAATAGCAACTTGGCTCTTTGCAAGCGATTAATCTCCTGTAATCAATGAGTGGGCCAGAGTTTGTGGGAGGTGTTAACGTTCAAGCTAGAAATTTTCTGAGTGTGTTTGATCATATGGTTTTCTATGCCTAGTTTTCTGTGCCTGCCTTGAAGCCAAACTAGGTGTTAGGCTAAATGCAAAGGCATTGCTCAACAGAACAGCTGTGTGTTCTGCTCATCACTTCAACACGACATCCCATCTAAGAACGTAAGAACAGTCTGCTGGATCTAGCCTTTGGCCAGTGGAGGTACAGTCTTGCTCATACAGCCATTAATACTGCAGCTGCACTATACATTTAAAGCGGTATCATATCCCTTTAACAGCCATGGCTTGCTCCAAAGTATCCTGGAAAGTGTAGTTTCTTTAGGGATGCTGAGAGTTGTTCCCCTTACAGATCTACAATTCCCAGAATGGTTTTACGATCTTCCCAGAGAACTCTGGAAACTAGCTCTGGGAGGCAGAAAAGAGTTCTCCTAACAACCATAAATGCCTTTAAAAAACTACACTTCCCAGGAGTTGGGGGGGAGCCATAGCTGTTTATGATGCTGCTTTAAATGTATGGTGCAGATGGGGCTGTGTTCTTGATACAATAATAGTGCAGTAGTTGTGGATTGAGGGGTCTCGTAACAACTCTCAGCATACCTTACAAGCCACACTTCCAGGATACTTTGGAGGAAGCCGTGACGGTCAAAAGTTTTCAGATACTGCTTTAAATGTATAACACAGATGGAGCCTAGGTACCAGTAGATCCAGGCGAATTGGATGTCGTAGAAATGATTTATTACTTTGGGAGTCTTCCTATTAGAGACCCTTTTAAACTAGCAATAGTAGCTTGGTGATAAATAGCCCAATGGTGTACACAATGTGCACTCTATTTGTTGAGCTGGTGCTCTTGTCAAAGAATCAGAATAATTTTTCCCAGGCTAGAAATGAGTCACTTATCAGGACAGATAGTTGACATTTTAAAAAAAGAACTACTCACCATTAGTGTCTCCGGATCGTATTAGTTCACTAAACGTGATGCCCTTGAACATTCCACAACTTCCTCATTAATCTTGTCCTCCATAGCCTTGAAGGCTATAGGCCATCAGATGTTCGATTAGAGGCCATGTTAACAGAAGTCCCGCTGCTGCCTCAAACAGCGAAAAGTGGTGGCTGTGTTTGTCAGCCGGATGAAAACATGGTCAGACTCCTCATACTTCTGGACTTTTTCGGGAGGAAGAGCCACAGTCCTTTTTTTGTGACAAATATGCATCGGGACAGAGTTCCAGCACTTCCTTTGTTGCTGCCTATGGCAGCCATTTTTGGCGACTGAGTATTTGATTTTTGATTTTTATTGTTATTCATGTTTTTATACTGTATTTTATGCTGCTTTTATAATTAAGTGTTTTAAAGTGTTTTAAATTTGTTGTTAGCCGCCCTGAGCCCGGTTTTTGAACTAGGAAGGGCAGAGTATAAATAAAAACTTATTTTTATTATTGTTAAGTTGTGGGTGAACATATCAGCCGACACAGCGATTCTTTAAACAGCTCATGTTTATTCACAGGCCAGGACAGAACAGAACTGAAGGGTTCAGTCAGCCTGCTTATACAGAGCTCCAGTACAACATAATTGTAACAACTTTCTAAAACTATCCAATCACTGAACGTCACTTTCGATCCCTTATTTGCATAACTATCTACAGTATCTCCCTGCTGGTCCAGGGTGAGAACTTCAGTACATAACAATTATTATTCCATAGCAGTGTCCACGTGCGGCTCACCTTTAGGCTGGACCACCTACAACAAGAGAATATATACAGGGCGGGAAAAGGGGCAATCCAACAATAATGGCTCCACTTCGACAAGAAGCTGAGCTTCGGACTCCACTCACCCTTTAAAGGGGAGAGGTGGTCCCAGTTGCAGCCAGGCCTCTGCCCTCACTTGGCCTCTTGACCCATCTGCAGTTGGCGAGTCCTGGCCAGTTTTCCACGAGACTGACAAGCGTCTGGATGGGGGAGACCTTTTGCCTCCTTTCGACCACATGGGAGGACCCCACTCCATCCCCAAGACATCTGGCTTGCTGTGCCAGGCAGAAAAGGGTAATACGGATTGAGTATACAGTGGTACCTTGGTTTACGAACTTAATCCATTCCGGAAGTCCGTCCTTAAACCAAAGCATTCTTAAACCAAGGCGTGCTTTCCCATAGCAGTGGGGGGCTCAATTTACAAATGGAACACACTCAACAGGAAGCAGAACATGTTCTGCTTCCAAGGCAAAGTTCACAAACCAAAACACCTTCTGGGTTTGCAGCATTCTTAATCCAAGTTGTTCATAAACTAAGCTGTTCTTAAACCAGGGTACCACTGTATAATGCCAATCCTGGACTGGGCTGCCGTGGCTGCCAATTAGTTTCTGGGCCCAATTCAAAGTGCTGGTTCTGACCTATAAAGCCTTAAATGGCTCAGGGCTGCAATACCTCAAGGAATGCTTGTCCTCTTATGAACTGGCCCGGACCCTGCAATATTATTATTATTATTATTATTATTATTATTATGCAGCCACTCTGGGCAATTTCCCACAAATTAAAACACAGTAAGACATCAAACATTAAAAAACTTCTCCATACTGGACGGCCTTCAGATGTCTTCTACAACTCAGATAGTTTATTTCCTTGACATCTGATGGGAGGGCGTTCCACAGGGCGGGCGCCACTACCGAGAAGGCCCTCTGTCTGGTTCCCTGTCGCCTCACTTCTCGCAGTGAAGGAACCACCAGAAGGCCCTCGGAGCTGGACCTCAGTGTCTGGGCTGAATGATGGGGGTGGAGACACTCCTTCAGGTATATATGGCCAAAGCCGTTTAGGACTTTAAAATCATCACTGGAGGCAATTCTTCGTGTACCACCTCCACGAGAGGTCCGGAGGTCGGCAACACGAGAATGGGCCTTTTTCTGCTGTGGCCCCCCGCTTGTGGAATGCTCTCTCCGGCAAGGCTCCCCTGCCGCCTTTGTTACATATCTTTAGGCGCTAGGCAAAAACAGGCTAATTAAACCATCTATGGACTTTTAATCTCTCTGTGTGGGGTTGCTATTGTTTTTATTTGCTATTATGGTATGTATTTTTGTTTTGTTTTTTTAATATTGTAACCCGCCCTGTGATATTTGGATGAACAGTGGTACGGAAAATAAATAAATACAGTTTCGTTGTTGCGTAATTTAGCTACTTCTGACAGATCCTCAGCATAGTCTGCTACAGTTGTGGGCATCTTCCTAAGAATCGATGCAGTGTCCTTCAGTTTGCCACCTGTCAAAGAACCTTGGGGAAAATAACCATTGTTCACAGGAAACTTTGCTGCGGGTGCATGGAGCATGCTTCGAATCTGGTTCGGTCTGAAATGTAGCATTCTTTCCATCTATATTTTCAATAAGTGGTTGTTCCAGTTCTTGCGATCTGCAATAATTTTGTAATTGTCTTGAGAGCAGAGCTGTATTTTCCCCCCAAAGCATTTGATCTAAATATTAGGCACTTAACTACCCACCCACCCACCTGTGTTCAGCAGTTTTCTTCCTTTGATATTAACAATGTAGATAAAGCAACCTTGGGGTCCCCTCACCACACCCCTGCTTCTATAACTGAAACTAAATCAGGCTGGGAACTAGTTCTTCCAAATGGATCCTTTGTACTTTCCCAAGTATGTCTGCACCATTCTGGATTGTTGCTTTTCGTTTGGGGTTCCTGGGGTGCCCTGCAGCACAATCCTATACGTGTCTATTCAAAATTGGGTCCCACTCAGTTCAGTGGGGCTTACTCCAAGGAAACTCTTTCTCCTCAAGTACCCTGAACAGTTCTGCAAGAAGGTCAATGATGAACATCCATGTGAAGAAATCCAAAAGACAAAATCAAGTAAAGACTATGGGTTGGATCTACTCCTGGGTAGTTCCACTTGGATCCCTAATGGGACCCAAGTTATGATGATTAAGTACACTGAGTTCAATGGGACTTAATTTCAACTGGCTTAGTCTGGAGGGTCTAGCCTAATACTGCTTTCTCTGCAAGTGTGTCACAGAACCTAAAGAAGCCCAGATTGAAGGCCAAGCCACTCAAGGACCTAGTTCACACGTCACAACAAACCATATTTAATGGTTTACCATGCATGCACCTGTCTCACTGCTTTGCACTAATGTGTGGAAGAAAGAAACCCTGGTCCCCAGCTTAGTGTTACACCCAAACCAGGGATCATGGTTTATTTCATTCAAACAAACTAGAGCAAACCTTGGCTGCAGACCATGGTTTGTTTTGTTGCTGGACAGACTGGGATCCCCAGTTTGAACATAGCGCTAAGCCAGGCATAATGCTTTCATTCCTCCAGGCAGGAGTAGGGAAGAGCAAAGGTGAGAAGATCAGAGCATTGACCATAAACCATTAATTGTGGCTTATGAATGGGGCAAATGTTGTTTCTTTTTCTACTGTATTTTAGGGCTATGTAAATTGGACACGGGTGGCGCTGTGGTCTAAACCACAGAGCCTAGGGCTTGCCAATCAGAAGGTCGGCGGTTCAAATCCCCGCAATGGGGTGAGCTCCTGTTGTTCAGTCCCAACTCCTGCCAACCTAGCAGTTTGAAAGCACGTCAAGTGCAAGTAGATAAATAGGTACCACTGCGGTGGGAAGGTAAACGGCGTTTCCGTGCGCTGCTCTGGTTCGCCAGAAGCAGCTTAGTCATGCTGGCCACATGACCCGGAAGCTGTCTGCGGACAAACACTGGCTCCCTTGGCCTATAGAGCGAGATGAGCGCCACAACCCCAGAGTCGTCCGCGACTGGACCTAATGGTCAGGGGTACCTTTACCTTTAAATTGGCAGAGTGAGAGACTAAACAGTCAGCTGTGAACCTCCCAGTCTTTTCCCAGGTTCCAAAGAATAGTCCTTTGCTCAGTTCGTTCTCTGTTCCCCTTGGACTAAGCTTACCATATGGGTACCTTGCAGCTCACATTCTTTCAATCCTCTGCATTTCCCTTTCTGAAATTCCCTGAAAGATTCCCCATGCCACCTCCATAAGAAAATAGGCACAAAGCAGAATTCTAGAGCAAATGCATGCACAGACATAATGCACCTTCTCTGCTTCCATTAAATTATTTTGACTTGCTCAGGAGAAGTGGTCTTTGTTCTGTAATTAAAAATCTATAAGGAAAGGATGCATTACAGGCTGCCTTGAACCCAGGTCCGAACCCAACATTCTGCTATGCCACGCTGGTTCTTAGGCCACACTGTAGATTTTCAGCACTATTCTAGTACTTTATCAAGCATGGGTTCCTATGAAGAATCCTGGGAACTGTAGTTTAAGTGTGCTGAGAGTTGTTAGTAGAACCCTATTCCCCTTGTAGAGCTACAGTTCCCAGAATTCTCTGGGAAGAGGTGCTCTTGTTAAACCACTCTGAAAATTGCAGCTCTGCCAGGGGAACCGGGGTTTCCTAACAACTCTCAGCACCCTTAAACTACGGTTCCCAGGATTCTTTGCAGGAAACCACAGCTGTTTAAGTTGTTATGCTGCTTTAAATGTATATAGTGCAGATATGGCTGTACTCCCAGCACTGCTGATGGGAAAACGTCCATCGCCACCACTCCCAGCTTTGGAGCTGTAGGGCAGGCTGTGTGGTATGTGCAGTTCAATCCTCCCAGTACTTCCTCTCCTTTTTTTTTTTTTATAAAAAATGATATTTATTAAAATTTCAAAGAATACAAGAATTACACAAAAACAAAAAGTAAAAATACAAGAAAATACAAAATACAGCAAGAAAAATAAAAAAAACCCCTTATTAAGATATAACAAAGAAATGAAAAATAAAAAGAAACATACAAAATAAAAACAGTTAAGAACACATTAATTTTCCGTAGCATATCTTCCTTAAACTTATTTCCCCGGACCTCCTCGTACCTCCCTTTTTTGTATTCCAGTTCAGTTTGTTAGTTCAGCAAATCCTTACCATTAAGCTTTTACCCATTTGTAAACCTTTTTTCGTATCTCTTAAAGCATTACAGCTGGAAACCACTTAGTTTCTATCCAACATCCTTCTAAGATTCATTAATTTTACAATATTTCTGTAAATAGTCTTTAAATTTCTTCCAGTCTTCCTCTCCACTCCCTGCCCCTTAGCACCTGCCATCTGAAGCAGCTGCTTCATTTGGCCTAATGATAGGGTTGGCCGTGTCAGCGCTCCTGCAAGAGTCTGAAGCTGCCCTGGAAACATATATGGCCAAAGGGGAGGGAGTCATAGCTCAGGGACAGAGCACATGCTTATCATGCCGAAAATGCTTTGTATGTTCAGTCTCACGTATCTCAAGCTGTCAGGGCATGCGCAGAAGTGATTTCCGATATCTGTGTGTACAGATGTGATTTCCAGTGCCGCTCAGCGAGTCCCCGCGCTGTGCTGGTTTAGCATAGTGCAGAGGGGACTCACCAAGTGGGCGGCTCGGTTTGGGGGTGGCTCATGGGCCGGTAAAACGGTCTTCATGGGCCGGATCCAGCCCATGGGCCACACGTTGCTGACCCCTGTCCTAGAGTAACTGTGAAATAACTTCAAAAAGTAGGTAGTGTAATAACTGTAGTGATGGTGTAATAGCATCAGAAATTTGTGATAAACATTTAGGGATGATGTGCTCTGCTCTTATCAGAATTGTTTATATTGCTCCACACCGTACATTTAAATAGCATTCAGAGTGCATGGTTTTCCCCAAATAATCATGGGAACTATAGCTTGCAACCGTGCTGGGAGTTGTAGCTCTGTGAGGGGTAAACTACAGTTCCTACGATTCTTTGGGGGAAGTCGTGACCATTAAGGTGGTAAAAAGGTGTTTTAAATACATGGTGTAGATGTAACTTAAAGAGATGCCCCACAATGCACAAATAACAAACTTTTGTCAATGTGGATTGCTGTGAATTAATTAAAGCAGCAATTTCCAGATTTATTTATTTTTAAACAGAGAGAAGCCCACCACTGTTGATCCCTCCAGCTTAGTCAGAAATTATTCTTCTGACTGAGCCTTAGTTTACCATCTGGGAAGAAGTAAATTACAGTAGTAATGACATGCTGGTCCACAGGAATGAGAAGGAGGATGCGGCAATAACTGTTAATTGGACTTCAGTGTCATTTATGAATGTGCCTGCATGGGATTGCAATGAAGTTCAAAGGTTTTGCAAACAGTTTTTGATATAGGCTCATCTTCTTAAAGCTGTAGCTTTCCCTGCTGGCTTGCATCATTAAATCCCACACAAAGCAAGAATCATAAAAATTTCATGCAGGCTAAATGTCAAAATCTGTGGAAGACTTATTATGCAAGATGGAAACATGTGATTCTGTCTGGTCTTGCATTTTTAAAAGGGGGTGGATTCCTTATCCAGATCAGGATTCTGAGACCCTAAGCATTGCAGGGATAATATTATCTTATTTTATTTAATGAGAATTGTGCAACCTTAAGGTAAGTTGTACAATAGGGCATGCATTAGTTAGGCTTGTTGGATTACAATGGGATGACAATAATGAAATAATGGATCTGTATTCTTGTTGCTCCCTAAACCCAGCAATAAATTTTCAACATTTAACAGCCTCACATCCATTATTTTTATGATGTCTGAGGCCAGAGGTTACTGTAAGGCTGACAGCCAAATTACATTCATGGTCAGTTGCAAGAATTTATTAAGGCGCTTTCCTCACATACACACATACCTCAAATGTGCTCTCAAATGATTATTTGTCATTACCTGTCACTCCTGCCTCCGCCTCAAACCATCACAGACATTTCTCTTTCATTAAATTGACGTTTCAAGATCAGAATTGGGAGTGGACACCACACCCAAGGGTAGGAGCAGGAAATTCCCCTTCTATTCCCTATCTTATTTGAACCTTTAATTTTCCCCTTGTCGGATTGGATGGGTGGTGGTCTTTAGATCAGGGAGAGTATGAAGCACAGCTTCCCACAGCACTGTTGCATCAATCAAATGTGGACACCCCTCCAACCTGTTAAGATGTATAACTTGCTGCTGAAATGGAATACTCAGGATGAAACGGTGAAATCTGCTATGATTAAATGGGCACAAGACATTGGACATAACATAATGATGGCTGACTGGGAACAGTTGTGGACCACAGGTATGAAGTTTACGGCATGTAATGCCTTAAGAGAGAATATTATGAAAATGATATACAGGTGGTACATAACCCCAGTCAAGCTTGCAAAAATCTACCATTTGCCCGATAATAAATGTTGGAAATGCAAAGAAACTGAAGGTACATTCTTTCACCTTTGGTGGACGTGCCCAAGGATTAAGGTTTTCTGGGAGATGATTTATAATGAATTAAAAAAGGTATTTAAATATACCTTCTTGAAGAAACCAGAGGCCTTTCTCCTGGGCATAGTCGGCCAATCGGTATTAAAGAAGGACAGAACTTTCTTTATGTATGCTACAACAGCAGCAAGAATACTTACTGAAAAGCATTGGAAGACACAAGATCTACCCACACTGGAGGAATGGCAGATGAAAATGATGGACTACATGGAATTGGCGGAAATGACTGGCAGAATCCGAGACCAGGGAGAAGAGTCGGTGGAAGAAGATTGGAAGAAATTTAAAGACTACTTACAGAAATATTGTAAAATTAATGAATGTTAGAATGATGTTGGATTGAAGTTAAGTGGTTTCTAGCTGTAATGGTATAAAAGAATATGGAAAAATTGGTTTTCAATATGTAAAAACTTAATGCTATAATATATTAAGATTAAAGATCAGGATTAAAAGGAGGGAAAGGAATTGCTGGACTAACAAATTGAATTGGAATACAAAAAAGGGAGGTATGAGGAGGTCCGGGAAACAAGTAAATGTAAGAGAAGTGATGAAAAGTTGGAATTGTTTTTAACTGTTTTTTCTTTTTTGTACTTTGTATTTTTCTTTTTTCTATTGTAAATTTTTTTATCAATGTAATCTTTTTCTTTTGAAATTTTAATAAATATCATTTTTAAAAAAAGAGAAAGGGAGGGAAGGACAGTTCTAAATTAGGTTGCATTGCATGTATGGAGAGTTTTAGACTCAGTTTTAAGACAGTGTTTTTAAATTGACGGTGTTTTAATGATGCAGTACATTACTCTGAGCTCCCTGCTGGACACAAGGATGGTATAGGAAACAAATAAATAGATATATAGATATATTATCTTGCATCCTGTGTGATTTGACTCTAATTTTGACCTTCTATAAATCAGAATTAGCCAAGTTTGCAGCTAATCTGTGAGGAAAGGAGATCTGCCAGTGTGCAGTGTTACACAACTGGAGCTCTGATTCAGGCTCTCAGCATCCAGATGTTAATTGTGTGCTTTCTGCAATCGTCTCCGGGCCACATTTAAATGTTATCTTAATTATGCAGCTTGCAGCTATATATCTTTTTGCGTACCCTTTGTTGTTGCTGCTGAATTTTTTTCCTTTCTCCTTTTTTATAACTTAATTCATTTGTAACTGAATACCAATAAAATGCAAATTAAATATATATTAACAGCCATAGGAGAGCCTGATTTTTACTGGCCTGAGGTTCTCCACCAGCACCTCATTGTATAGAAACAAAACTAGAACCCCTCCACCTCAATTTCTGATTCTTTTGGATGCCCCCAGAGGAATACTTTAAAGCTCACTTTTCTCTATGCCAGGGACGTCCAGCAGGTAGATAATGATCTACTGGTGGATCATGGGGGGTATGTTGTAGATTTTGGTAGATCGCGGAAACCCCACCCCCATCCCAAATATATATATTTTTAAATAAAAGCTCAACAACTTTGGTAGATCACTGCCAGTTATTTTATAGTGGAGTAGATCTCAGTCTCTTGAAAGTTGGACACGCCTGCTCTATGGACCTTCATAATTCATTCAGGCTAATTTAAAATCAGTTAGAGTAAGCTGTTATTTGCGGCTGTCCTAATGTAACACTTTGCTTATGTGTTTATGTTCAGTTTGCCGAGAAATTTCAAGAGGTGAAAGAAGCTGCCAGACTGGCAAGAGACCGGTCTCAAGAAAAAACAGAGACTTCTAGCAATCATTCCCAAGTAAGTGATTTATCTGAATGTGGAATATGGGAACGTGGTCTCGTTGATTTGAAAATGGATTTTGTGAAAGAGAAGAGCAGTTGAAAATGCTACCCAGGGTCAGCTTCAGGTGAGCGTTAGCAAAGAAATAAAGTATTTTAACAGCAGCAACAAAAATGATTCTTGGCGATTGCTTTTGGTGGATCTGCTTACTTGCTTGAGACCTAATGGCCCAGGCTGATGGCAGATGCCACATACAACAGATGAGCTGAGAAAGCTGTTCCTGGACTGTACGACTTCTGACCTTAGGTAAAGGGAGTCACATGTTTGGCACGTTATCCTTAAAAAAGGCATCTCCAGAGCTCCCTTCATTTGCACTCATAGCAGGGAGAATTCAGAGATGCGGGATCTTTTTTTCTGTTTTGCTAGAATGTCAAGGTCTGCAAGCGAGAGCCAGTCACAAAATGGTGAAGCCAGTTTTACCTGCACACTGGAATGCATACAAATCTACCTGTAAGTTTCCAGGCATCAGTGCTTCTAACACTCCAAAACTGGCCCACATCGCTGAATGAAGACATATGGCAGCCAATTAGTACTCTCATTTGACAAGCAAGGGACACGGATGTTAAGAGAGAAGCAATTAAGACCAGCCATGACAGAGATTTTTTTTTATTTGAATTTTTACTTTAACTTGTTAAAGCATTGGTAGGCAGAGACAACTGGAAATCTACTGCAAATCACTTAGAAATCTACCAGTAGATCTGAATCTACCTTCGGCCTGCCCCTGAGATAGAAATTTTTGCATCTTAAGGAGAAGAGTTTGGGCCTAGCCATCTCCCAGCCTGGCTTGAAAATCTTTGCGTACGGGGAATTTTCCAATAGCATTCAAAGCTGAGGTGATACAGTCCAGGAACAATTTTGCCAAGTGATCCGATTGCGTTGACTCGCCCTCTGAAATACAATGACCATCCTTTCTTGCAGAAGGTGTTCCCTCTGGGTCGTTTGGAAGATGGTGGGGGCGCCTGCGGGGGTTCTGCGTTGTAGCACGTTGAGAAGCAGCAGGCCTTTATCGTAACAATTTTTTTGGTTTGCGGAATGCCTTGTGCAGGAATCAGGCCGCGAAACTCCGTGTTCTACTCGGGCGTCCAGCGTCAATGGGACGGACGATGAGAAGGCATCGCATGGTGGTCCCTCAGATGCACAACTGAAAACAGAGAATGACAAACTGAAACTTGCCTTAGCCCAGAGGTGAAGCTGCTTTCATGACTACATTATTGTTGGCTATTTGTTGGTCACTGCGTCCCCAGGCCAAAAGAAGTGCCCATGCTCTTTAGTGGGAGAGTACTGTATTTTTTGTTCTATAAGACTCACTTTTTCCCTCCTAAAAAGTAAGGGGAAATGTGTGTGCGTCTTATGGAGCGAATGCAGGCTGCGCAGCTATCCCAGAAGCCAGAACAGCAAGAGGGATTGCTGCTTTCATTGCGTAGCGATCCCTCTTGCTGTTCTGGCTTCTGAGATTCAGAATATTTTTTTTCTTGTTTTCCTCCTCCAAAAACTAGGTGTGTCTTGTGGTCTGGTGCGTCTTATAGAGCGAAAAATATGGTACTTCTTTTGTACTAACAGTGGGGGCTGGGCTATTAGGACGGATGGAGCACTCCCCAAACAACCTCAGTCTGCCCTCAGCCAATCACTGCCTACTTACAGTCAGGGAAGTGGCTGCGCTCTGGCTCCCCCTACTGTTGGTCCTCCCTGCTTTCCACCCTGTCTGTCCCAATTAGCACCAACGGCCACTTCTTGGGGCAGATCCACACCACATTTAAAGCACAACACCCCCCCCCCGAATCATGGGAACTGTAGTTTCCCCTAACAGAACTACAATTCCCAACACCCTCAACAACACAGAGTTCCCAAGTTTCTTTGTGGGAAGTCATTTGCTTTAAATGCATGGTTAGATAGCAAGCAGGAGTTGAGAGCTAACTTTATCCTATGGGGGTTGGGGGGCTCTGATTTGACTTTGAAACTCCCTGCTGAGATAACTCGTCTAGTTCTCTTGTTGATATTCTTCTGCCAGGAGGCAAAAAACCTCTTTATTTAAACAGGTGTTTGGCCCACCAAGCTGATTGTTTTTTTCCTGCTTCGCTGTGTTTTAATCCATTTTTAATTTAATTATGTTTTTAACAGGCTGCTCTTTTAAATCTGATACAGCTTGCTTTTTTATATGGTTTTCATTATGAAATTTTCTATTTCTTAAGTGGATTGGTCATTTTCTGATCTGGACACCAGTAACTGTGACATGTTATAAACTTAGCTCTGCAATTCACATAATACAAGCATGTCTTACAAACATGTTGGGATAAAGTCATGCCACATTATTACTGCGGTAGCAGCACTGTATTAATATAGGTATCAGGGTAAGTGTCCAAGCCCTCTAAGCATAGCAATTACCCAAGGTATAAACCTGACAGGGAGTGTTTTTTGGAGGAACCATATAAAAAACCAAATTCACAGTAAAGTGAAGCTTAGGGTGATACGCAGTTAGAACTAGTAACTTCTTAAACCTACTACCACCCTCTTGTTTTTCAAATTGTCAGCTGAAAAATAAAATAAAATCCCACCACCATCCCAACTGTCAGTTATCCCACTTTCCCTCCAAGGAGCTTGAGGTGACACATGAGGTTCTCTTCCTCTCAGTTTCATCCTCACAGCAACCCCATGAAATGGGTTAGGCTGAGAGACTATGACAGGCCCAAGGTCAACCATAGAGCTTTTTGGCTGTATGAAGCTTTGAACCTTGGTGTCCCAGGTCCCAGCCCAATCCCCTAACCACTACATCACACTGGCTCACTCAATAATAATAATAATAATAATAATAATAATAATAATTTATTCCCCAGCCACTCTGGGCAGCTTCCAACAAAATATTAAAATACAATAATTACCGTATTTTTCGTTCTATAGGACGCACATTTCCCCCTCCAAAAACTAAGGGGAAATGTGTGTGCGTCCTATAGAGCGAATGCAGGCTGCGCCGCTAAGCCCAAAGCCAGAACAGGAAGACGGAGCACTGCGGAGCGCTCCGTCTCGCTGTTCTGGCTTGGGAACAGCCTTGCTAGCTTCTGCAGGACAGCGGGGTGAAGGCACCCCGCTGCCCTGCAGAGGCTTGCGCGCAGCCCTCCCCAAGCTAGAGCAGACGGCTGCGCGCAAACCTCTGCAGGGCAGCGGGGTGCCTTCACCCCGCTGTCCTGCAGAAGCTAGCAAGGCTGTTCCCAAGCCAGAACAGCGAGATGGAGGGCTCCGTCTCGCTGCTCTAGTTTGGGGACGGCTGCGCGCAAACCTCTGCAGGGCCGCGGGCGCTGCGCTCCAAAGGCTTCAGGGATCTTGAGGCTGGCGGTGGGGAAGCAGCGCTTCCCCACCGCCAGCCCCACAAGCTCTGGTGAATGTACCTTGAACGCACCTTGTTTTGGAGGGGGAGAACAAGAAAAAAAATCTTTTTCCCTGTTCTCCCCCTCCTATGATCCGGTGCGTCCTATGGTCCGGTGCGTCCAATGGAGCGAAAAATACGGTAATAAATATTAAAAGCTTCCCTAAACAGGGCTGCCTTCAGATGTCTTCTAAAAGTCTGGTAGTTTTTTTCCTCTTTGACATCTGGTGGGAGGGCTTTCCACAGGGCGGGTGCCACTACTAAGAAGGCCCTCTGCCTGGTTCCCTGTAACTTGGCTTCTCGCAGCGAGGGAACCACCAGAAGGCCTTCGGCGCTGGACCTCAGTGTCCGGGCAGAACGATGGGGGTGGAGACGCTCCTTCAGTTATACTGGGCCGAGGCCGTTTAGGGCTTTAAAGGTCAGTACCAACACTTTGAATTGTGCCTGGAAACGTACTGGGAGTCAATGTAGGTCTTTCAGGACCGGTGTTATGTTGTCTCGGCGACCGCTTCCAGTCCATGCTCCTTTCAACTCCATGCTCTGACTTAAGCATTCCCTACAGTGGTGCGCAGTGTTGTTGAACTCCAGTTCCCACAATCCCTGGCACTGCCCATCCTTGCTGAGACTGATGCGAGTTGGGAGCTGGGAACATCTGGAGGTTCCCCATGTGGCAATCTCCTCCCCTGCCCTTTTAAACACAGGCCCACCCAAACATGGTCAAACCTGTTGGAAGCCAAAATCAAATAAGTAGGAGGTCTACTGTGATCCACCAATACTAGAGCAATACAAATAGTGCTCTGTGCATGAGAGAGAGACAGAGAGAAGCTTTTGGGTCACTTTGTGTGCCTTGTTTTGTTTCACTAAGAGGCTGTTTAAAGAGGATCAGAGAAGTTTCGCCACGCCACATGTATTTGTCCTGCTGGAAGGATTTAAAACAATACCGATACTGTTCTTGGACACTGTTACGCCCTCAGATGTATTTATGATATTGACGAGAGAGGTGTTTAACAGTCAGCCTTCCATGAGAGAGATTTTCTAGTATTAAGAACAAAAGACTTCCATGAGAGAGATTTTCTAGTATTAAGAACAAAAGAAGAGCGTAAAGGCCATTTACTCTAGCACCCTGCCGCCACAAAGTAGGTGTGCAAAGTGTGACCATTCCAGTAAATTGCCCGGGTGAAAGCAGCCAAAATGGTACGTGTTTTCTCTTTAGGAAACTCCCTGGTTCCACGACTGCCCAAAATAAATGTTGCAAGGGTTTGAGTAATCAAGTTACATTTGCAGTTTGGGAATATGCTTGGAAGGCTGGACATAGCAAATGGCTATAAACTTATAAGGTGACAGTGGGAACTGAGAAAATATGGATATTTCATAATGACAGAGCTTACGAGTTATATAAGGGTGCAAGAAGGGAGCCAAAAAAATTACAGTTTTTTTGCAGAACTGGAATAGGTTTGTAGAAGATTAGCATAATAAGGCACACAATTCATGAGGTATAAAGTTTTTTTATTTGACCTGCTGTAACAATAAATATGAATATGAGTAATATTAACCAGATATGAAGGTATTATACCATGAACAGAGCTGTTGTATTGTAGTAAACGTGAATGTGTGTGTGTGAGAGAGAGAGAGAGAGAGAGAGAGAGAGAGAGAGACCTGGAATATGTGTGTGTGATTAATCTTAAAAAACACTTAATCCATCCCTGTTAATCAGGATTATGTATATTTCAAACTACTTCCCCCTCCCAGTTCTGAGGTATTTTATATGCTACATAATGAGTGCCTCTTATCTGGTCTATAGAAAAAACTATCGAGAAATCTCCAATGTTTGTGTGATTCTCCATCCCCCTCTTTCTTTTAGCTCCTCCAATGTAAAGAAATGGGAAACGGAACTGCACAGTCTTAGGGAGAGCAATGCCAGACTGACTTCTGCACTCCAAGAATCTGCAGCCAGCATAGAACACTGGAAGAAGCAGTTTTCCATTTGCAAAGATGAGAACGATCAACTTAGGAGCAAGGTATTGGATGCTTTACTAATTTTATTAGTCAGAAAACATGCCAGTGTGCTGTAACGATTAGATGAGGAGTGAGGGAACTTCTCCAACCCTGAGGGCTGCATTTCCTTTTGAGAAACCTTCTCTTTTGAATGATGGTTTGGGCAATTTACAGAGGCAAAGCTTCAATGGTACCCTGGACAGCTCCAGGCAGGGCTCAGGGCGAAGGCTCCAGAAGAGGAGAGCTCAGATGTTGCAGCAGCAGCAGCTAGTCTGGGGTGTGGCTTGAGGAGGGGGCACTTCCAAAGGAAGGGCCCATGGACCCGAGAGCCACCATCTCTGAATTCGAGTAATGGACAAGAACTGCAAGGTTCTGAGGGTTCCTTGGGAAGAGAGATTTATTGTTAAACCATTCAGGGAACTACAGTGGACCCTCTAGTTATGTACCACTCTGGATACGTAACTTTCGGGTTACGAACGGGGCAAACCCAGAAGTGTATACTTCCAGGTTTCGCCACACACGCACATGGGCAGAAGCACTCAGTCACGCCATGCGCATGCGCAGAAGTGGTGCCTCTGCCCACGGACTTTTTGGGTTGCGGACGGTCCACTGTATAGCTCTGTGAGAAGAATAGGGGTCTTAAGCATTTGTGGTAACAAATAAATTGGTTCTTACTCCGGGATGAATATTTTAGTATCTATACTTAATAGCTAGCCTATGGATCCTGGTCCGTAACAAACCTTGGAGGTAGATCCGTTTATTTCACTTATGTAATGCATTGGCAACTTGCAAAAATAAAAGTTGAGAACTTAAAATGCATTTTAGCCAATATAAAAATCCTGGTGCCGCTTCATGCATTCCTAGCTGTGCTGAGTTGCCCTGGGATAGTCCAAAAATTGCTGGAGGGAGAGGTCAAGGCACAATCATTCCTGTCTACTAAAAACTGCTTTGCCCAATATTAGATGTACCGGATGTAAATGTCCGGGGAGAATAACAAAAAGGTGTAAACTTTGGAGCAGTCCAGGAATAGTAGTGTGCACTGCCACTAAATAATATGGTGCGGTATTTCACTGTTACCGTATTTTTCGCTCTATAAGACGCAGCAGACCATAAGACGCATCTAGTTCTTGGAGGAGAGAAAAAATCCCTCTTGCTGTTCTGGCTTCTGGCTTCTGGGATAGCTGCGCAGCCTGCATTCGCTCCATAAGATGCACACACATTTCCCCTTACTTTTCAGGAGGGGGAAAGTGAGTCTTATAGAGCAAAAAATACGGCAATAGACCCACACACTCCTGGCAGAAGTTTATTGACAGCAGGGTTTTTTGGTTTCCATCAATGCTACTTGTAGCAAGAATCCCACAGCACTGAACTTGATTTGTGGGGAAAGGCAGCTTTGCTCAGTGCTGGGAGAACTATGCAGAAATGAGTTCTTTTTTTCCTTCATAAGGACCTGTACCTTGAACACACTGGCTGCATTTGGATGATTGCATCTTGGCTTCATAAGCTGACCTATACACAAGCCTTTTTGCTGTGGTTGCAGCCTCTTTGCTTCTCCCTCCAAAGCACATTCAAAGAACACTGTTTCCCTCAAAGAATTCTGGGTGTTGTAGTTTATCCCTCAGAGTTACAATTTCTAGCAACCCTTAACAAACAAGTGCTTTAAATCAGTCTCTAGCTGTTTTTGGATTACAACTCTCATCATCCCTAGCTATCATAGAATCATAGAATCATAGAGCTGGAAGAGACCACAAGGGCCATCGAGTCCAACCCCCTGCCAAGCAGGAAACACCATCAGAGCACTCCTGACATATGGTTGTCAAGCCTCTGCTTAAAGACCTCCAAAGAAGGAGACTCCACCACACTCCTTGGCAGCAAATTCCACTGTCGAACAGCTCTTACTGTCAGGAAGTTCTTCCTAATGTTTAGGTGGAATCTTCTTTCTTGTAGTTTGGATCCATTGCTCCGTGTCCGCTTCTCTGGAGCAGCAGAAAACAACCTTTCTCCCTCCTCTATGTGACATCCTTTTATATATTTGAACATGGCTATCATATCACCCCTTAACCTCCTCTTCTCCAGGCTAAACATGCCCAGCTCCCTTAGCCGTTCCTCATAAGGCATCGTTTCCAGGCCTTTGACCATTTTGGTTGCCCTCCTCTGGACACGTTCCAGTTTGTCAGTGTCCTTCTTGAACTGTGGTGCCCAGAACTGGACACAGTACTCCAGGTGAGGTCTGACCAGAGCAGAATACAGTGGCACTATTACTTCCCTTGATCTAGATGCTATACTCCTATTGATGCAGCCCAGAATTGCATTGGCTTTTTTAGCTGCCACGTCACACTGTCACACTGACAAACTGGAATGTGTCAGGTCAGGGATGATGGGAACTGCAGTCCAAAAAACAGCTAGAGACCCAAGTTTGGTAAAAACTCTGCTCTAGGCCTTCCGCAGCCCCTTCAGCAACCTGCTGCTATCTCCTCATTTTCCTGCAACGTTTCCATTATTTAAAAACGTTAAAAGCAAATGATAAGTATTTGTAGTGGATTGGGAACTCAGACTGGCTCCTTTCAACCCTTCTTTAAGATTGACGAACTGGAAGAGCAGTGCAATGAAATAGATAAGGAGAGAGAACGAAATGCGCAGCTGAGCAGGCGCCTCCAGGAATTGGAAACGGAGCTGCAAGACAAGGAGCTGGTATGTAAAACAAAGAATGGTAATGAAGTGCTTAAAGCTGCGGACATGCAGCCACAACATCTTTGGGGAATCAATCCGCTTCCACAGTACTTGTAAAACAAAAACATAAAAAACCCTAATGCAGATTGCTTTAGAAGCTGAGCAAGCCCTGGAGGCTTTGGGCACAACGACATGACTGATGCTCTGGAAAATGCCATGGGTTCCTAGCAAAACATTAGGCTTTTGTGCTCTGTCTGTTTTACCTTGGTACCTTATTCTCATTTTGTGTGTGTGTGTTCTGTTTTAATGCAGTAACAAAAGCTGGACAAATTTTTAAGTTGGGTAGAATGGTTTTTGTTTTCTAAGTGAGCAAACTGAGCCCTCCTGGGGAAGCTGGGAGGGTTAGATAACCCACAGGGGCAGGTAGAAGTGATGGTTGGTACCCTTCTTAAGGTACGTGTATACTGCAAGCTTCCTCCAATGAACCCTGGGGATCTGTCCTTTGAGAAATGTGTGAGGAAGGTGTTTTTCTTCTACGCAGAGGAAACCAGAGAGACACAGTGGGATACAGCGATTAGAGCAGGGGTCAACAAACTTACTGCGCCTCGAGCCGGTGTCTCCAGTGCCAATCGTGTGGAGGGCAGGGGAGCGCGTGCCCATACATGTGAGAACACGCTATTTCCGGTGCACTTCTGGGTCGGAGGAACACCGGAAATAGCTTGTGCGCATGTGCACGGGCCTCCTCCGACCCAGATGTGCACCGGAAATAACGCTTTCGCATGTGCAAATAACGCTTGCGCATGCGCACAAGCTATTTCCAGTGCTCCTCCGACCTGGAAGTGGGAAGCCACGCAGCGCAGCACCGGTAAGAGCGGGCGGCGGCGGCGAGGGTCACCACGGGCTGGATAAACAAGTCCCTTTGGCCTTATCTGGCCCGTGGGCCTTAGTTTGGGGACCCCTGGATCAGAGTGTCAAACTAGGGACCCGGGAGACCAAATCACCACTTGGCCTTGAAGCTCACTGGGCGGTCTTGGGGGCAGTCAATTGCCTCTCAGCCTAACCTACCTCACAGAGTTGTCAAGCTATTGCAATCCAACAGCTACCCAGTGTTGGAAGACGTTTACACAGATCTCTTGAAAGCTGTTGCGCGTTGTAATAAGTCTATACCAAAATTTCCTGCTTGGTTTCAACTCCATCTGCTCATACAAGGGACAAAACAAAAGGAGCATAGAATTGTAGAGTTAGAAGGGATCCCAAGGGCCATCTAGTCCAACCCCCTGCAACACAGGGATCACGCCTAAGGAATCCCTGACAGATGGTCATCCAACTGCTGCTTCAAAACCTCCTATGAAGAAGAGTTGACCACTTTCTGAGGCAGTTTGTTCCACTGTCAAGTAACTCTTACAATCAGAAAGTTCTTCCTAAAGTTTAGTTGGAATCACCTTCCTAGTAATTTTAATCCACTGGTTCGGGTCCTGCCCTCCGGAACAGGAGAAAACAAGCTTCCCCCATCTTCCATGTGACAGCCCTTTAGATATTAGAAGGTGGCTATCCTTTCACCTCTGTCTTCTCTTCTAAACATACCCAACTCCCTCAACTGTTCCTCATAAGGCTTGGTTTCCAGCCACTTTATCATCTTGGCTGCCCTCTGCATATGTTTCCCCTTGTCAATATCCTAGATCAGTTGGTAGAGCATGCCCAGAACTAGACACAGTACTCCAGGTGTGGCTTGACCAAGGCAGAATAGAGCAGGGACGCGGGTGGCACTGTGGTCTAAACCACTAAGCCTCTTGGGCTTGCTGATTAGAAGGTTGGGAGTTTGAATCCCCACAACGCAGTGAGCTCCCATTGCTCTGTCCCAGCTCCTGCCAACCTAGCAGTTCGAAACCACACCAGTGCACGTAGATAAATAGGTACCACTGCAGTGGGAAGGTAAATGCTGTTTCGATGCTCTCTGGTTTCCGTCACGGTGTTCCGTTGTGCCAGAAGTTGTTTTAGTCCTGCTGGCCACATGACCTGGAAAGCTGTCTGTGGACGAACGCCGGCTCCCTCGGCCTGAAAGCGAGATGAGCACCGCAAGCCCATAGTCGCCTTTGACTGGGCTTAACCATCCAGGGGTCCTTTACCTTTACCTTACTCCATGTGCGGCTTGACCAAGGCAGAATAGAGCATTACTAAAAGATACGACCCTTTTCTGTGCTGAAACAAGGCCTAGGCTGAACGCAAGGCATGGCTCATGCTAGGGGCAAGTCAAGGCAAGGTGATGTTTATGCTGGATGCAGGACAAGGTTCTGACTGGATGAAGGTAAGGCGAGGCTCAGGCTTGATGAGGGCAGAGCAGGCTGTAAGGTAGGGCAGTGCTTGTCCTGTACTCTAGGAATCCAGAACTCTGATACAGTGCCACATCCTCAGACCAGAGAGGCTCTGGCCGTACAGGCTCATTGGGAAGCAGCACTTCTGAGGCTGTCCCTGTGCGCCCTTCCCCTTCTTGTTCAGAGTCCTTGACTCTTCCTCACCTGCAGAAGAGGAACCTGACTCCTGGTCCCTGACAGACAATTGCATTGTACTGAATTAACAGCTGTCTGGAAAACTTGTTGGGGCTGTCTCAGATCTATTCCTTCTTGCTTCCCCACCCGCCTCTCCCTGCTTTCAGCAGCTGCAGCTGGGAGGAAGATTGACATCTTAGGATAATGGTGACACAGCGCAAAACACACACACAAAAAAACCTTCTTGTTGTAGCATTCATATATTCATTGAACTGGAATAAGGGATTAAGGTGGCTTGATGGGGCCGAGGCAGAGACAAAAATAGAGTTTAGTTTTGGAATTTAAAGGTAAAAGGTAAAGGGACCTCTGACCATTAGGTTCAGTCGTGACCGACTGGGGTTGCGGCGCTCATCTCTCTTTATTGGCTGAGGGAGCTGGTGTACAGCTTCCGGGTCATGTGGCCAGCATGACTAAGCCGTTTCTGGCGAACCAGAGCCACGTACAGAAATGCCGTTTATGTTCCCACCAGAGTGGTACCTATTTATCTACTTGCACTTTTTTTATATATTATATTTTTATTAATTTTCAAATACAAAAACAAATTTATACATTCCATACAACTTAATTACATCTTACTTCTCTTTTTGACTTCCCTCAATTTGTCTGCCATTCCTTCCTTTTGTTACCTTTTACACATTTCTGCCCTTTTAACCCTTTCCCCTCACAGAGCTTCCTTTGAAACTTACAAACGTAATTTTATTATCACTCAGTTTTTGCATATATTGGATAAACTTTTCCCAATCTTCTGTAAATCTTTGAACTCGTCGATTCCGGATCCTTCCTGTCATTCTGTCCAATTCTGCATAATCCATCATTCTTCTATCGTAGGTAATTCCTCCTGTTTCTATTTCTGGGCCATCAATATTCTTGCTGCTCTCACTGCATATAAAAATAACTTCTTTTCTTTCTTATTTATCTCATTACCTGTAATGCCTAGTAAAAATGCTTCTGGTTTCTTAACAAATGTATATTTCAACATTTTCTTCAATTCATTTTAAATCATTTCCCAAAAGCATTTTACCTTCTTACATTCCCACCACATATGAAAAAGGTACCTTCTTTTTCTTTACATTTCCAACATTTGTTACTTATCTTATACATTTTTGCTAACTTCACAGGTGTTACATACCATCGGTACATCATTTTCATAACATTTTCTTTTATAACTGTGCATGCAGTGAATCTTAAGCCTTCTTTCCAAAGTCTTTCCCAATCCTCCTTTGTATATTGTGCCCTATATCTTTGGCCCAGTCGATCATAACTGATTTTACCTCCTCATCCTTTGTACACCATTCCAGTAATATCTTATACATTTTTGCTAAATTCTAATAATCATTATTCAATATTTCCATCTGAAATTTTGATTCTTTGTCAGCAAAACCCCTCTGATTTAAATCTTTTCTAAACATCTTATCTACTTGCACTTTGACGTGCTTTCGAACTGCTAGGTTGGCAGGAGCAGGGACCAAGCAACGGGAACTCACCCCGTCACGGGATTGGCAAGCCCTAGGCTCTGTGGTTTAACCCACAGCGCCACCCACGTCCCTTTTTGGAATTTACACGCACACAAAAACCCCATTTAGTTTCTGGGTTCAGTTCAGCATGGTACCACGAAACCTTAAGGACCACCCATCCACCTTATAAACCAGCCCAGACCCTGCAACACAGGCAGGCAGTCCACGAAGCAGTCTGAAGCAAGCTGTGAGAGGGCATCACCCTGAGAGGAGGAGGAGAAGCCACTGCCAATAGCTGGGGCTGCACCTCCTGTTGCCTCTCCACCAGCAGCAGTGCCACCACTCTCCACACCATCATGCTCCCCCCCCCCCGCACAGGTGGAGCTGGCCGCGCATAGCTGTCAACTTTTCCCTTTTCTTGCAAGGAATCCTATTCGGAATAAGGGAATTTCCTTTAAGAAAAGGGAAAAGTTGACAGCTATGAGCTGGCGCCCCTGCTGCTACCTTCTGCCTCTTGCCACTGCTGGGCACCTGGTGGTTGGCTCCCAGGTCTTGCCACTGCCAGGCACTCACTGCTCCTCAATGCTTTCCACCTCCACAACCCTGGAGGCTGCAGCAGCATGCTCAAGTGGCAACTCCTCTATTTGCTCCTGGGCCACTGTCTTCCTCCTGCTCACCCTCTTTGAGTTCACCTGGGGTAGAGGAGCACAACAGCAGGATTGAGCTGGAGGGGGCAAGTACCTGGCAGTGGGAAGAGGGGCAGGAGGTGGGATCACAGCCAGGGTTTTCGCCTCTAGTGGCAAAACATCCTGGGCCACCCCTGCCCTGCAGTCTTCATCAGAGGCTCTTCTCTGTGGACCCTGCGCAAGGGGGGTGTAGGGGGTAGCTACACAAGAATGAATAATCAATATATTAGAAAGTTAAAATGTTTTGCAGTCACACCAACTCATTTTTATTTTATTTTATCACAACCCTAAGCATTTATCCAACTCCCAAGAATCCAAGCTATTTTGTTCTTCATTAAATTATCAACACACACACACAGTTACACCTACACATAAAAATTCATATTACACAAGGTGGGAAGGGGGGAAATGGATTGAGGTAGTAATAAACAGAGACCTACAGCAAGTGATTAAGTGACAAAGACTTTTGGCTCAGAATAGTAGGGGTGATTCATCCTTGGACAGACATTCTGCAAAACATGCAAAAATGGGAATTGCTGGGGGAGGGACTTCTCCACCTCCAGCACCCAAGGGTCCAAGCTGCTGCAGTTTTGGTGTACACCACTGACTGTCAATGCTGTGAGTTTTGCTTGTGCCCACCACCTGCTTGGAAGAGTGTGGACTGATTCCAGGACCCCAGTTTCCTCAACCAATTATCCTCACTGTCTTAAGTGGACAGCGACGACCATCTTTTTGGAAGGGGCAACTCTCCTATGCTGTAGGGGGGTGTACAACTTGCTGCTGCTGCTTGCCAAGGTTTCCAAGTTGCAATTAAAATTTAAAATATTTACATCTGCCTTGCTGCTCTGTCGTTCTTCCTTGGCCTTCCAGTGTTCCTCTAAATATGAGGTTTTCAAAGGTGCTCCTTACGTGCAGTTTCACACTGAGCAGAGTGCACACTGGGCTTGTCTTGCAAAGCCAAGAATAGCTTGTGTCTGGGTTGTTTTGTGGCTGCTCGTGTAATAAGAGCACACAGCCTGGAAGTTGGGGCAGCCCTCCACAGCAAGTGAGAAAGAAGTCTGTAATATTAATGAGCCCATTTTCCGGCTGAGTGCGAGTACTGAAAGTTACAAAATACTGCTCTTTGTGAATGCTATTACCAGCGCAAAGGGCCAGGGTTAGAAAGCATGACATTTTTTCTTTGGGAAAAGCTGCTGGGAGATGTCTTAAAGGTAAAGGTAAAGGGACCCTTGACCATTAGGTCCAGTCGACTCTGGACTCTAGGGTTGCGGAGCTCATCTTGCTTTATTGGCCGAGGGAGCCGGCGTACAGCTTCCGGTTCATGCGGCCAGCATGACTAAGCTGCTTCTGGCGAACCAGGGCAGTGCACAGAAACGCCGTTTGCCTTCCTGCCGGAGTGGTACCTATTTATCTACTTGCACTTTGACGTCCTTTCGAACTGCTAGGTTGGCAACGGGAGCTCACCCCATCGCGGGGATTCGAACCGCCAACCTTCTGATCGGCAAGTCCTAGGCTCTGTGGTTTAACTCACAGCGCCACCCCGTCCCTGGGAGATGTCTTAAAATCCATCAAAATCCATCGCTCTAAACAATTTCCTTGTGCTTGGGGCTCTTTTAACAAGCCTGACTGTTGAGTGTGTTAGCAATATCATCCCTGAAAAGAGCTTTGGCATACGTATTGTTTGCATCACCTTGAGCCAATAGGGAACATTAAGGGCGAAAATCGAACAGACCCTATTTGTACACAAAATGAGTTCATTCTGCAGCCATAGCAATTCCAAATTGCTGCCCCCATAATTCCAAGAGGTATGGTTCAGGTGACCTGGCCAAATTTGACCATCAACACAGGATTTGTGTTCCCATGCTCCCTCGTTCCCCTCCATGGTTGCTGTTCCTATAGTTTCGTATAACAACCAAGTCCAATAAATTATGTTTTGCACAAACTATAACTTGCTTCCAAAGCAGGGATGGAAATCTTGTTTAAATGCTGGTTTCCAATACTGCTTTAGGGACAAACTTTGTACAGTGCAAATCAGGAAGTGAAAAAGAGTGTAAAAGAGGAAGCATGTGTTGAAGTGTTTACACATGCACATCATAGTTTGGTGATGATATCTGAATTGGGGTGTGTTGTTTCCTTTATCGTTCTTTACAATAAAAAAAATCTCAAAGCAACTTGACAAAAATAAAATACAACTCATAAAAGCTATTCAAAGGCTGAAAAGAAAAGGGGGGAAAAGCAAAATACAGAATACATAAAATGCCCATCTAGCAGTATGTTAATAAGGATCAAGGAGGGAGGATATTAGGTTTACAGCGTGTTACAGTCTAAGAGAAAATGTTATGAAAATGCTCTGTCGGTAGCCAAACTGGCCAAAATGTATAAGAATAGATCTGAAACTTGTTGGAGATATAAAAAGGGGAGTGGTTCATATATGCATATGTGGTGGGAATGTGAAAAAAATCAGAGCGTTCTGGGACATTGTATATAATGAATTTTAAAAGATACTCAAATTCCCATTCACAAAAAGAGCAGAGGCCTTCTTATTAGGGATAATGTCAGCTGAAATCAAGAAAGAAGTAAGACCACTCTTTATGTACGCAACATCTGCAGCCAGAATTCTGGTCGCAATGAATTGGAAGAGTGAAATTACACCTACAAAGTCAGAATGGCAGGTAAAAATGACAGACTACATCTAATTGGCAATAATGATGGGGAGAGTTAGAGGGTACTCAATGCAGAGGGTGAATAAAGAATGGATAGTATTAAACGAATACTTGAAAAACTACAATAGCAAAAATCTCCTGGCAGACCTTGAATGATTCTTGCAATGTATAGATAATAAACTAAAGAATTTTTCTCTGAAGGAAATTAAGGAAACAAAGTACAATAACACGATACTGTGTAAAAAATAGCAAATGAAATTCAATTTTTTGAGAACAATTGGAAGTTTACTTTATCTTTATTATTTATTCTTCTTCTCTATTTTTCATTATATTTTTCTTTTTTCCGTGTAGTGTATGTGCATAAATTGTAATATGGTAAATTGCTGTGTAAATATGTGATGAATGTTTAATAAATATTTATTTTAAAAAATATTTAGAAAATAAAATTTAAAATAAAATAATAAGGGCCAAGCCCACTAAAAGGTAAGCGCCACCATAGAAGGAAGCATTAATTAACTAGTGGTGTAGTGTGGTGTAGTGGTTAAGAGCGGTTGTCTCGTAATCTGGGGAACCGGGTTCGCGTCTCTGCTCCTCCACCTGCAGCTGCTGGGTGACCTTGGGCCAGTCACACTTCTTTGAAGTCTCTCAGCCCCACTCACCTCACAGAGTGTTTGTTGTGGGGGAGGAAGGGAAAGGAGAATGTTAGCCGCTTTGAGACTCCTGAAGGGGAGTGAAAGGCGGGATATCAAATCCAAACTCTTCTTCTTCTTCTTCTTCTTCTTCTGATGATGATGATGATGACTTGGGAAAACACAAAGGTCTTAGCCTGGTGCCTAAGAACTGCCAGAGATGGCACCAAGCACATCTCCCTGCCTGGAAGAGCATTCCACAGACAGTAGTCACTACTGTTACACTCTGACCCCTTGCACACATACGTGAAATGAGTGTAAATGGGGAGCAGCCGCAGAAGTGAGGGGAGAGGCCTGAAGAGCCTCAACAAAGTCCTACTGTGCCTCTTGCTCGTGAGGAGACCCTCCCCAGAACCCGAAGGGGACGTCCTCTTTGGGGAGGGAGGGTCTCAGTGAGCCAGAGACTTGTTGAGGCTGTGCTCAATAAAGTCCCTCTACCTATCCGGGGTGTGTGAGCCGGAGGCGCAGTGGACATTCCTGCTAGCAGCTGCTATGTGGGAAAGCGCAGCAGCTATCGCTGTTACTTTTATGCGCATCAGCTGTTAGCTGGGAGGCTGAACAAAGCCCCGCTGTGCCTCTGGCTCACATGGAGACCTTCCTAGGAGCCCAAAGAGGACACCCCCTTCAGGCTTCAGGGAGAGTCTCCTTGCAAGCTGGAGACACAGTAGGACTTCGTCAAGCCTTTGCAGGCCTCCCCTCCCTCAACCTCTGGGTTTCTGGGGCTGTTTGTATGCACAGTCGCATGTGAATTAAATGTGCATAAATTGGGGGGCGGGGAATGCCTGTATATATTTCTGAAGGCTGGGTAATGTGTATATGGCTGATGCTGATTTTTTTAAAAAAAGTTTTATTATCTGGTTGAAATTCGTAACCTTTATATTTTTGTGTTACTTTCTCTAGGAAATAGAGGATCTTCGGAAACAGGGTGAAATCATACCAGAGTTGATGACAGAATGTGAAACAGTATCTGAGAAATTGCAGGTATGAATGGTTATTATTATTCAGTATGTATTTTCAGTTTTAAAAGGAAAATTATACTCCACTTAAGACCTATAGCCAGAATGTTTATGTTGGAGAAACTGAAGCGTATGATTCATGCTGGATGAGGATGGCTCAGGTAGAGATGTGAAGGTGTTGGGAAAATGATTTCCTCTTAACTTTTATCCAGTTTTCCCTCTTGGTCCTCTGCTCCTCTGGGGTCATGTCAGGATAATGCTGCTTGCTTGCTTGCTTGCTTGCTTGCTTGCTTGGAGAGCCAAGCAGTAAGGAAGTAGCCACAGCGTTTTCCCTTCCATTCATGAATGCAAGTTATTGTAGTGCAGGTATAATCATAACACAGATGGAAAATATTAAGACACCTTAACTGCTCAGGCCAACAGCACAATAACGGCTTAGTGCAATGGTGTCTTCGCAGGACCTGTCAAGGAATGAGCGCTCTAGTAGGAGGAAGAAGTGGACTCCCTGATCACAGGTCTCTAAAAGTCACCTTGAGAACGGACTCAAAGCAGCCTAAGGGAACCAGGGAATAACTGCAGTACAACCAAATCATAAATTCAGGCTTCCATTTATTTAATCGCATTAGTGTGCAATTGGGTAGAATACCACCTCCATGCTTGGTGTTCCTTATCTCCATAAAATAAAAGAACTGGAGAAATGGGCGTAGCTAGGATTTATTTGGGAGGGAGGGAGGCAGAACCGAGTAATCTGTGATGCAATTGGTCAGTTAAATATTTTGATTTATTTACTTTATTTATTTAGGGGGCAGCTGCCCCCCTGCACTCCTCTGGCTACACCCATGGCTGGAGACATGTTTTTCAATAAAAGCAGTATGTTCAGGGAGGGGCCTGGATTACTCAAGGGATGAGAGAGCCCTTGGTGCTAAAGTCCTAGTTGCTATCCTGTGCTGCTGGCACTCCACTGACTTACCCGTCTTCTGCCTTGGAAGCTCAAGCCTATAGAAGGTGTACCCTGTTTCACAATTTAGGAACGGCTTCATCTGTAAATCTTTCATCTCAACCCATGCATCATGAATTTGTTGAGGAGAGGCAACATGGGACTCTATCCTCTGGGGCAAAGCATTTCAAGTACAGTGGTACCTCGGGTTACATACGCTTCAGCTTACATATGCTTCAGGTTACAGACTCCGCTAACCCAGAAATAGTACCTCGGGTTAAGAACTTTGCTTCAGGATGAGAACAGAAATCGTGCTCTGGTGGCGTGGCAGCAGCTGGAGGCCCCATTAGCTAAAGTGGTGCTTCAGGTTAAGAACAGTTTCAGGTTAAGAACGGACCTGCAGAACGAATTAAATACTTAACCCGAGGTACCACTGTACAGGCTTATATTGATGATGTAAACTCCATTGCTAGGGAACTTAAAGATTATTATTATTATTATTATTCTCACTGTCTTGCTACACATTCAGCCAGGGAGACTCCAGATATTTCTTTTTCTTATTTTTTTAAAAAAATGACATTGATTTCCAGAACGAAACAATCTCAGTTCCCAGGCGCTGTTTTGTCAGGTTGTATTTGTGGACGGGTGAGCCAGGACCCAAACCAACTTCAGATAATGTTTAGAACAAATTCTGAAGCGCTAGCAATGGCAGTAATATATGCAGAGCAGGGCACATAAATTCCAGCCAAAAGCTGCCCAAAGTGACCTCATTCAAGGCAAAGCATCTCTTCCGCATCCTTCTGTGAAGCAGTCAGATTAAAATAATAGCCTTTCCCCTGACAGAGTTTGCTTGCAGGTAGGTTTGCAATGGACACAATAAATAAGAGATGCAGCGATGGGGCAGGTGTGGGGAGGGCCTTTGCTCTTTTTGTTATTGTTGAGACTTTAATGTAACTTTTTTTTTTTTTTTAAGGCTGCTGAGAAAAGGAATAAAGACCTGGAAGAGAAAGTCAGAGCTCTAAGGACAGAGGTGGAAGAGAGCAAACACAGACAAAACAACCTTAAGACTGAGTTACAGACTTTTTTAGACGTACTAGATGGAAAGATTGATGAATTGCATGACTTCCGGCAAGGACTATCTAAACTGGGAGTTGATAACTAGGGAATAGCAACATATATCTTTTTGTAAACTAACATTTGGTGGGTGTGCATTTTAATCCTAAATGTCTGTTCCACAAAAAAATAACCAGAGTATTCTTCTTGTTTGCAATGTGATTTGTACATAGAATTTAAAAATTTAATGGTTCTCTCCCCCACTACCCATTCTTCCTTTTCTTTCTTTTCTTTCCAAAAATTGTTGTTGACTTTTCTTTTTTAAGGTAGAGCTTTGTTTATCTTGCTGCTTCTGGACTTGGAGGGTTTGTGAACAGGTGGGGGAGGGTTCTTGCCTCAGGAAAATGGAACTAGACCTACCTTAAAATGAATATGCATTAGTTGTTGCAGGGAAATTTCTATCTTAAGGGCTGCTGCAACCATAGAAACAGGAAGTGAGCCTTTTCCTAATCTTGATTATCAAGCCCTTGCAGTTTTATTTGTGTGTGTGTGTGTGTAACAGACCACAGTGAAGATGAGAGGAGATGCTTGCAATTTGTCCATGGGCTTGAAAAAGAGAAGTGCACTTGGGAGCAGCCATTGGCAGGTAGAGAAATATTCTTTTAGTAGATGCTCATGGCCTTAGGATCAAATTGTGAAGCCTCATTTGAAGAATTCAGTGGTGGCTTTTTTAAAAAATAAATAAAAATACCCACGAGGCCTTTTCATACAGAATTTGCCATGTTCAACAATGTGCATTTGAAATCGGTGTAGAAATCGCAATGTGTTCAGGTGTGGCCCTTTGCACTCCTGGTAGAATGGACGTGGAGGTAGTTACCCAAAGTGGGTTGGCGGTTTCCAAGCCTTTGAGGGTGTTTAGAAATGCAGATGTTGCACATTAAGCCATTTGAATGCCGGGGAAATGGGCTCTCTTCCTAGGATCCAGGGTCAGTTCACTCCCGGAGCAAAGGATGTTAAGTAGGGAACGAACCTCAGGCCCAGGAGTCAAATGCCTCTCCAGCTGTTCCTTGGAAGTTCTCCAATGCCACATCCCTCACTGGTCCTGCTTTGTACCACAAGTGTTTTTGCCTGGCTGGAATTTGCCCTTGAACTCTGGCGATGCCTTTTGCTTCTCCGGATGGAGAACAGAGCAGGCTGTGTGAGCGTGCATAGGAACTAACCTGTTACACAGAGGTAATATTTACATTCTTTGCTCCATCCACTGGCATGTGGCTCTTGGGCTGGAACAGGTTTCCCATCCCTGATGTAAGCAGTTGGCCTTACAAGTTGCTGTCCCTACACTGGCTGGCAGCACCATTTTTACATTCAGGATACAAGTATTTGTTTTAAAACTATTTATGTGCCACCGCTTCACCCAGAGAAACCTCAGACGTTGGTTGCAACAAAGACTTTAAACCAAACTTTTTCAGCAGGGGGCTGGTCCACTGTCCCTCAGATCTTGTGGGGGGCCGGACTATATTTTGAAGAAGAAGAAAAATGAATGGATTCCTATGCCCCACAAATAACCCAGAGATGCATTTTAAATAAAAGGGCACATTCTGCTCATGTAAAAAACACACTGATTCCCAGACCGTCCACGGGCCGGATTTAGAAGGTGATTGGGCCGGATCTGGCCCCCGGGCCTTAGTTTGCGTACCCATGCTTTAAACCATCTTAAGGATTTAAAGAGCCTGTTTGAATAAAAGTATCAGTGACATGGAAATAAAGGTGGAAGCAAGAAAAAGGAGCAGGTAAATTATCAATAAATGGTTCTGAATTTCTCAGTTGTTGCCCAAAGTCTGGGCAACGAGAAAATGTGTTTAATTGGTGCCATACTGGCTATGAGGTTGGTGCCTGATGCAAAGATATTAGATGCAGCAGCAAAAAGTCACAAATTGGAGGGGAGGGCAATGGAAGAGTTGTTGCAGACAGTGGCACTGGTTGCAACTGGGTTTTAGAATTAAGTCTCCATCCAAGAGTTCAAGGGGGGGTGTCTTCAAACTAACCATCAAGACACATGGCCACCTAAAAAGGAACATCCTGGGACATAAACCCACCTTGAAGGTTTCTGCTCTGTCCCCAAAGACCTGCTCTTTAATTCGGGTGAATCAAGGCTGGCGGTGGTCACAGCTGGGATGAAACGAGAAAGTCATTTTCACATGCTCCAAAACACTCCCGTTAGCGCCTTCAGCTTCTTTCAGGGCTGAGCCCCTGGAATTACAAAACAGGGTCCTGGGACAGAGTCGTATCTCAAACTAAGCTCTGTACGAACCTTCCCAATCTTGTTGGGCCTTCTACATGTTTGGGGCTACATCTTCCAACACCCTGGCTGTGCTAGCTGGGATGGATGGGAGTTGTCTAAAACTTCTAGAGGGCACTGGGGAAGGCTGCTGACACAAATGTCTGTCAGCTACTGAGACTGTATCACACTGGAAAACACTTCTTAGTCATGCCCGTTATGGATCTTAGTACTGGCAGTTACCTGAACTCACCTCCTTTGCCTGCTAGGCAGATGTGTGGAAGCTCAAAGGTGCCCTGCCTAACAGTGAGCTGCCTCCTCTTCCATTTTTCTGCCCTGTGTGTTAAGCGCCTGCGGTGCCTAACTGCTTTTAGAACTGCAGGAGGGAGTTCAACTCATCATTCGCAGCGCTCTCTCCTTTTGTGTCTGCCATTGCATGGGTGTGCGATTCAATTTTCTCTGCTCTTAATATAAAAAGCCACCTTCTTACTGAAAAAGCGTTGGACATAAAGCTCTCATTTTGGACTGTGTGACTCTCCCGTTTCCTCGTAAGGTGCAAAGTATGAAGAGGGCAGTTTGCAACAGCTTCTTAGCTGATGAAACCTGATCCACTGCCAAAACAGTTAGCTATTCTTTCTGCTGATATATATGCATATCTATATTGCAGTGTGCCATGGGGTTTTATGGTGGTGACGGAGTCCGTGATTACTTGAGATTTTGCCTAATGTCATGGCGGATGGTGGGCAGTGGAGAGAGGAGTCTGGCTGCCATTGGGTGAGCTTCTCAGATTCTAGAGAGGCAGGGTTAGCAGATGGGCCTAGGGAAGGAGGTTCAGAGTAGTGAGTGGTCCACAGAGAGGCGCGAGGCACAAGGATCTGAATGCACAAGCAGAGTTAACAAGACAGATCTGAAATAGCAAGCCAAGCATTTGGCTGCACCCAAAGCACACACCTCTCCTTAATTTTTGCTTCCTTTGGCTCCTAAGAGCAAAGCCCTCTGCTCACCAGTAAACCTTTCCCACTGAACTCCTTGGAACCAAATTTCCTGCCCACTCGCCCACCCCATGCCTCTAATCTGATTTCTCGCTGCTTTAAGCCTACGCCTAACCCACTTTCCCCTTCTTCCACAATTCACAGGCTCCTGATCCAAGATCACAAGTATTATCTGTGCAGGTGCCGGTGAAGGGCTGGGTTCAGATCTTCTCATTCAGGTCAGAGCCAGGTGACTTAGGTGTGTTAGGCTGAGCTGAAGCCGTGATGAGGAGCATGTGGGCAGCACAGGTCAAGGCCAACAGGGTGACAGGGCTGGCCTTCTGTGCTATGCCCTCTTCTTTGCCAATTAAAACACAGAGGCAGTTCTTTGCCAGGAGCAAAGTCTTTGACATTTTAGAACTGAAAACAGGCTTCTATAAAACCTACAGCTGCCGTAAATGACACCAAGGCTGCCTTGTATTTTATTTTTATTTTTTACAAAAATCATTTAAAGGCCTGTGTTTTTACACCCCAGCCTCTTCCTTAGTCTACCATCTGCTGCACTGGTTTTGTGTAGTGGTGAGTTGGCCAGGAGAGATGGCACGTTTGTTGTGCTATTAAGTTGGCTCTGTCTTCCCAGAAAGTGGGGCTGTCCTAGCAGTAGTCAGAAGATTTCAAGATGTTGATCATAGATATTTTCTCCTCTTTTTGAAGTGACTACAAACCAGATCATTTGGGATCAAGTGGGGCTTAGAACCATTGCTCATTGGTAGAGGGCATGCAATGATTTCAGCTTCAGTGCCCAGCATTTGCAGCAGGTTATGGTAACAACCACTCTCCCCTGGGGAACCTGGAGAATTGTCAGTTGCATTCAGTCAGTCACTATTGGCTAAATGAACAAATATTCTGATATAATAAGGCTGCATCTTCCTGTACCCCGAATCTGGTTCCTAAAGCAATTTGGGGGAGCCTCAGGTGCTGCTGCCATATCTTATTCAATGCTTGCTCCCAATTTAAAAAATAGCAAGAAGGGTCCATACTAGCATTGTGTTTCCCTGAGGACTTTGCATGGCATGCCTGGAGATGGGTAAGAAATTTGATTCACTTCATATTTGAATGTGAATGAAGCTACATAATTTGCACTATCCAGATACATAAATTGAAACACAATCATCTTTTGGAATGTACGCATTTCTGAATTTTGCAATGCTGTTCTACAGCCAAGTAATGGCCAGGGTAAAGTGAAAATAATGATGTATACAAAAAAATTACGATATTTGGGGAAATTGCTTTGCCAAAACGTGCGTTTTATGGGAAACTGCATACAAGTATATGTACATATTGAGAGAAATTTGCACTAAAATGCTGGTGAACTTTCATGAGGAAGTGCATTTCTCAAACTGATGTGGAGAACTGGACTTAAGACTGGATAAACAAGAAATTCAGAGTTACCAAAATTCGGAGGAACCTAGTCATGCCTCAGCAGATTTATTTGCATAACTGAATGGATTTCTAACCAGACTTTCAGGGGGCATTGCCCTCACAAGATAGTTTGCAGAATAAATTTAAAGTGCATAAAGTGAGCATAATAGCCAATGGTCAACAAATACAATACAATTGGCATTGCAATATCATGAATTTAAAATCAACAACAAACTTTTCCCAAGCACAGCGTAAACAAAGGCAGACTGGAATCAAAATGCCCAAGAGCTGCTTTCACGCATAGCATTACTTCATGCGTTGCACGGTACCAGTTAGTTCCATTTGGACCACCACCAGTGTGGCTAAGCAAGGGCCGATTTGGTTCAGCAACATGGAGCCCAGATCAAAGGTAGTAGAGAAGAAGACATCAAAGCATCCCCACAGTTGGACCTGGTGTGGACCATCCAAGCCTATGAGACATCTGGAGCCTGAATGCTGAAGACACCCAGCACTAAAAGGTAAAGGGACCCCTGACCATTAGGTCCAGTCGTGACTGACTCTGGGGTTGCGGCGCTCATCTCGCTTTATTGGCCGAGGGAACCGGCGTACAGTTTCCGGGTCATGTGGCCAGCATGACTAAGCCGCTTCTGGCGAACCAGAGCAGCGCACAGAAATGCTGTTTACCTTCCCGCCGGAGTGGTACCTGTTTATCTACTTTGACATGCTTTCAAACTGCTAGGTTGGCAGGAGCAGGGACCGAGCAATGGGAGCTCACCCCGTTGCGGGGATTTGAACCGCCAACCTTCTAATCAGCAAGTCCTAGGCTCTGTGGTTTAACCCACAGCACCACCCACATCCACCCAGCACTACCAGTCTTCAAAACCACACCTAAGACCACCCAGGTTAGATAAGCTAGGGAGATTGTTGGGGAGCATGTTATACCCACAAAATACTCATTCTGTTCTCGCTACCTTATCCTAAATTACAAGCCTCAAAACCTGCTATATCTGGCAACCTGGTCAGGAAAATGAAACTTTAGACAGTTCTCTCATCCAGGATTAACCCCTCGGTGGCTGTCAATTTTCCATTTAATGATCTGGCACTCCAAAGCACCATCTTCAGACCGGGGGTGAGGGGTGGGCTAGCAATTTTGAAGAAGTTATTGTCTGAAATACTGTATGCTATGTTCAGTAGTAATAAGATACCTTGAGTCAAAAAGGGTTAAAGAACGCTGGGGTTGTATCCAAGGCTCGCCTTGCTCAACGTAGACCGACTGAAGTTAATAGACATGACTAACTTAGGTTCATTCATTTCAGTGGGTTTACTCTGAGTAGGCCTTAGTTGGCCACAACCCTCTGCAAATATGCTTGATATAAATATGTATACTGTATTCTGTTGGTGGAAGAAGTGTTGAATGGAGTTTGTAGAATGGCTAGCCAGTATGACATTTTACTGTGATAAAATGAAGAGGTAGAAATTAACTTTTAAAATATCAAGGTGCCTATATATGCATATAAAGTTTATATGCATATTTGTAAACAATTGATTGATTACTAGATTGCTTCTTTCTATTGCTTTGGCTTCTTATACCCCTGGTCTTAAGGACGCTGAACCAGTCTGTAGGTAAATCCCATGGTTCTTTGGACTGTACCATTTCACATAAGGGGGGGGGGTGTTTGTGTGAAGGCTGCTTTTACTATGGGAAAGGACTCAAATGGGGATAGTCACGCCAGCTGTGGTTTTGAAATGGAACTACCCCCAAAGCTCTGTACTATGTGTTTCATCTGTACCTATAGATTATTCTAATTACCTGGATGCAACTTTCCATCGATTCCAGTGGTGCTTTCACAAAAGTGTGCTTGGGATCATAACCTGAGGGCTGCTTCATGTAAATTGCTGGACTGGGGCAAAAGACTAATTTCTGGGATCTGTTAGTAACCCACTCTAATGATGACAACCTTACCACTTTGTGAAAATCGTGCAGACACACCCCTCTTTTAAGGGATGAAAATATATCTTGTGGAGAAACTGGTGCACAATGACAAGTTCAGTTTGCAATAATCATTATTTACTCATTTATATGCTGCTTACAAGCCAACATGGCTTCTAAGTGGAGTATGTAGCCATCTGCAGTCTTGTAACTTGTTACAGTGCAACCAGAGTAGCTGGATGGATGTGTGCCAATGACTTGAGATCACTGTTGGCATTTATATATGTAGCTCTTCCTGAGGTGTTCAATGCGCTTCATGTAACATCATCAGAGTAATACTTGCAACAACCTTGGGAGGGAGGTTAGTATTGCTTTCCACCTATTGTAGAAGGAGGAGAGGTAAAGGTGAAGGGACCCCTGACCATTTGGTCCAGTCATGACCGACTCTGGGGTTGCGGCACTCATCTTGCTTTACTGGCCGAGGGAGCCGGCATACAGCTTCCGGGTCATGTGGCCAGCATGACTAAGCTGCTTCTGGTGAACCAGAGCAGCGCACGGAAACACTGTTTACCTTCCCATGGGAGCGGTACCTATTTATCTACTTGCACTTTGACGTGCTTTCAAACTGCTAGTTTGGCAGGAGCAGGGACCGAGCAACGGGAGCTCACCCCTTTGCGGGGATTCGAACCGCCGACCTTCTGATCGGCAAGTCCTAGGCTCTGTGGTTTAACCCAGCTGCATTTAAATCCAAGGGTGCTTCTGCAACCATAGCTCATGCTTTGTGACAAAGCTTTGACACCGGCACTGTACAGTACACAGCATAGATGTGGCCACCTGGCCTTTGTAGCATTTGGAAGCATTGATAGCAAGTTCATATCAGGTGCCATAATTGAATGGATTTGTCCCAGTGTGGCAGGACTGGATACCTTAACTGGGCATTTGCACTGCATACAGACAGGGCCAGCTCCATCATTGGGGAGCTGTCCCATGGGCCCTGAAGGCTTTGCCTTGGAGACTCTCAGCCGCCATCTTGGATTTCTGACAATACCACAAAAGTTGAGTCATTTAACGGCATTGTGGGGAGAACTGGCTGCCATCACAAATAGCGAAACTCCCAGGGACAAATTATCCTAGCAGGTCTCAAAAAGCTCTTTGCTTGAGACTTTGGAAGGCTGCTGGTCTGAGTGAGCATCATATGCTTCAACTTTTCAACTTTTGGTTTGACTCTTGTAGTGGCAACAAGTAGTGGGTTGGCACTTTTTGGATTCCTGTAGTGATTCTGGGCTATTGAAGCTGTTATCACCTTAAATGGATCTGGAATGTGAGGCCATGATTCTAAGCACAATTCCTTAGAAGTATATTTCATTTTAATGTCATGGCCATGATCCAATACAGTTCTGGGCACATTTTAGCCCCCTGAGTTTGACTTATTATGGCTGATAGCACACAAGACTGCCCCCATGTCACTTAGGAAACGTGGTGTGAGTTATTAAAATGTTTTGAGTTAAAATGTATCTGGGCAATTAAGGGAATTAACTTGTGTTTTCTGTTTTCTAATACCGGCTAGCAATAATTTTATTTCAGCCATATGCCAACCAAGAAGAAATATTGTCCCCCTTAAAAGGTACAAACAGATATCCTAAGTCTTGCACAATTGTCTTCAATTTGATGCATGTGTGTGTGTGTGGCAGAGAGAGGGGGAGGTCAGTTGACAATACTAGAAAAAAGCATTTTGAATTTATTATGCTACAGATTGTGATACATTCTGAAATTGAACGTTGATGTACAGAGCACTTTTAAGAACTGAAATATATTCTTCCCTTCTAGTTCACAAATACGAGAGTATTTTAGTGCGATATTGCTATACCAAATGTTCTAAAAGTAAGATGAGCCTTTAGTACTTTGCAATATGTTCTCATGGTTCCAAGTAAGGTTTAGTGAAAGATGAATTAACTGATTATAAGAGTGTGGGGAAACAGTGCAGTGATTAAACTGTATATTTTTATCCAGATATAAAATATGATTAATCAACCTGAAGACATTATTGTAGGTTGATTGGTGTGAAATTATTTTTACCTTGTTACTTGTCTGCTGTGAACAAGTCCCCTTTCTCCATGTCACTGAATATTCAGCAAACATTGATATGTGGAATCTCTTCTGGTAGCAGTAAATGATGGTTTTTTTATATATATATTTGGAAAAGCAAAACATTTTTCTTTTATGAATTTTCTGTAATTTTTATCTGATTTTATTGTATTATAGAGTCATTTATGTCATATATTTAAGTTTTAAAAAAACAACACAAACTTCTGTCCTGACTTGATAAACTTCCGGTTTTCTGAATTACACTTTCTTGTTGCTTTGTGTTCTACTTGGGAGAGTTCCCTCTGCCCTTCAAATAAAAGTCAACCTGGATATGAATGTATGCAGAGCACTTTAATTAAACAAGACCACTGCTGTTGATCCCCCAGTGTGCTGTTTGAAATAAACAGCGCCTTCGGGGAAAAGAGCAACACAGGTGTTTGTGTGTGTGTGTGTGTGTGTGTGTGTGTGTGTGTGTTTGGCATAGATTTTGAGTGGGTAAAATGTTATGGGAAGGGAAGTGGCCCCAATGTGGATTAAAACCCTGTTTGGTGGATATTTCAGGGGATGGGGAGACAGTGATCAGTTCTAAGCACGCTTTTAAAAATGGGTGGCATGTCACATGTGTGCCTGAACATAGCAACAGTCTGGTATCCCCAGCCCTAATTCGCCACTTCCCTTGCCATAGTTGTGTAGCGGTTTGACTTCACCCCCGGAGGCGCAGTGCATTGTCTCTCGAGACAGACAGATGCTAGCAACAGACGCCACTCTATTCCCCCCCCACACACACATATTTTATTTATTTGCATTTCAAATACAATTCAAAATTGTAATGTCTTCTATTTCTTTCAAAGATACAGTCACACCTCATGTTATGTCCACTTCATGTTACGTTCTTTCAGGTTACATCCCAGGGCGACCCGGGAGTACCAGAAAGGGTTACTTCCGGGTTTCGCCACTCGCGCATGCACAGAAGCACAAAATGATGTCACGCACATGCGCAGAAGCGGCGAATCGCAACCTGTGCGTGTGCAGACGCGCCGCTGTGGGTTGCGCTCTTTTCATGTTGTGAACGGGCCTCCGGAATGGATCCCGTTTGCAACCAGAGGTACCACTGTACAAACATTAGTGGACTTCCCTTCCTCTCTTCCCATGGCTCCTTTTATAATCCACTCTCTCCCCCACCCCTTGCATCTTCTTAGTTTTCCAATCCTTTCTCTTTTACTCTCCTTATCTCTTGTTCTTACTTACTGCTGAAGTTACTAGCATCCTGCTTATCATAGTTTTTCATCTAATCTCTCTCTCTCTCTCTCTCTCTCCCAGTCCTCCTTAAACCATTTTTCATCTCGATTTCTTATTCTACTGGCCATTCCTGCTAATTCCACATATTCCAACATTTTAACGTGCCACTCCTCTTTCATTGGTCCTGCACCTGTTCTCCATTTTTTGCGCTGGTAGCATTCTTGCTGCCGTAGTCGCATACATGAATAGGTTATTCTGATTTTTGGGGCGGACTTCTGGTGCTATTATACCCAGGAGGAAAGCTTCTGGGTTTGGGGGAAAATTTTCTTTTAAACATTATTTTTTAAAGTTCAATATATATTATTTCCCAATAACCTTTAAGTACGCTGCAAGACCACCACATGTGGAAGAATGACCCTTCGACCTCTTTACATTTCCAACAGTTACCTGTCTCTGATTTAAACATATTTGCTGATCTGTTTGGTGTTAAATACCACTTATGGATCATCTTCAAGTAGTTTTCCTTTAGTGTATGACAAACAGCGAACTTCAATCCACTTTTCTGTTAAGTTGTGGGTGAACATATCAGACGACACAGCAATTCTTCAAGCAGCTCTTGTTTATTCACAGGCCAGAACAGAACTGAACTGAAGGGCTCAGCCAGCCTGCTTATATAGAGCTCCACTAGAAAGCAACAGTAACAACTTTCTGTAACTATCCAATCACTGAACGTCACTTTCAATTCCTTATTTGCAGATGTGGACCTGAGTGAAAACTATCTACAGTATCCCCCTGCTGGCCCAGGGTAAGAACTTCAGCACATTACATTTTCCACAATTGTTCCCATAAATCTAACTCAATGTTAGATTTAGAGAAGTGGCAATAAGCAGTCATGGCTTCCCCAGCAGAATTCTGGGAGCTGTACTTTGCTAAGGGTGCTGAGCATTGCTTAGATATGCCTATTACCCTTCCAGAGGTAGAACTCCCAGAGTTCCCTATGAAACTACATTTCCCAGAATTATGGGGGTGGGTGGGTTGAAAGGCAGAATTGTTAAAGTGGCGTAAAGGTAAAGGGACCCCTGACCATTAGGTCCAGTCATGGCCGACTCTGGGGTTGCAGCGCTCATCTCACTTTATTGGCCAAGGGAGCCAGCGTACCGCTTCCGGGTCATGTGGCCAGCATGACTAAGCCGCTTCGGGCGAATCAGAGCAGCACACAGAAACGCCGTTTACCTTCCCGCTGGAGCGGTACCTATTTATCTACTTGCACTTTGACGTGCTTTCGAACTGCTAGGTTGGCAGGAGCTGGGACCGAGCAACAGGAGCTCACCCCGTCGCAGGGATTCGAACCGCCGACCTTCTGATCGGCAAGTCCTAGGCTCTGTGGTTTAACCCACAGCGCCATCTGCGTCCCAAAGTGGCGTAAGTGTGCTTTAAATGTATGGTGCGGATGTGCCCTTGTTCCCGCTTGACTCATCACTGGCAAATTCTGTTTTATGAGCTGTCGCCATCTAAGCATCCCAAAGCAGGCGGCATGAAACAGAATTATGTTGCTCACACTTAGCCAGGTACCAAGGGGAAAACGTAGGAGAAAAAGCCGTTTCACGTCATCTGTTGCCATAATGTTCTCTCCTCTGCAAAGCCGTAGCATGTCTGTCTCCGAGCCAGGAAAAGCCTTTGGGGGAATGTAAACAGCAACGTCAGAACGAAGGCCCTCCCTCTTAAGAACCGAATAGCTTCTTGGAGGAATCTAGGCAACCGCTGTTGCTATGGATACGGCAGCACTCGGTGATGGTGGCCTACAGGAACATTTCCGAAGCGAGCTCCTAATTATAGTATACCAAATCACCCACTCAAAACTAAGACAGCTTGGGAAAGTTTGACAAAATACTCCCCCCCCCCATTCTACACAGAAAGCAAGGCAGAAAACAAGGCACTTTATGCAATTGTGCTCTCAAACATGCACCAATTATTATTACCAAGTTGCATTCATAGTGTTATTTGGGGGAGACACACATATATATTTCTAATATCACACGTACGCATCCCAGTCTTCACATTTTAAGTAGACTTGTATTTATATGTCTTGGAGGCTATAGTCATTCTGGTGAGAAGTGGCAATAGATGTCTAAAAATGTGGGAAGGCTTTGCCAGTATGCAAAATTTTAAGGGTAAACAAATGGACCCTAGTCGCACTAAAAATTACAAGCACTTTTATACCATGGCTTCCCCCAAATAATTCTGGGAGCTGTAGCTTGTTACAGTGCTGAGAGTTGTCAGGATACCCCTATTACCTTTACAGAGCTGCAATTTCTAAAGTGGTTTAACAATAAATTCCTCTTTCTTGGGAACTCTGTGACTCTGGGAGGTAGGGTTGTTGGTTTGATCTTGTTTTTATTATTTGTTTTGTGTTCTCATTTTGTATTTTTATGTTGTGAAGTGCCCAGTGGTTTTCGGATGAAGGGCAGCATATAAATTTAATAAGTAGTTGTTATAAGAATTTTAAGGTCACATATATAAAAAAATAAATGTTCATAACTGTATATATAAACCACATGTCTGAAACCCCACAGAAAAGGTCCTGAACAAATTGACCTCAAATATTTCTCTGCAAGGTCAAAGTGGGAAACCTCCCCATTGTCTCTTTCCTCACAAATCCTGTCTTAAGGGCACATTCAAGATATGAACAGGGTGTGAGCCTGTGACCTGTGACCTAGATTCAGGAATTAAGTAGTTATAATAACAAAAGAGTGTCCAAAACCCAGATAATGCAATCAGGTAACTTGCCAGACAGGAGATAAACAACGCACTCAGACTTCTGTTGTAGACCACCTTTTCTGTGATGTATGTATGATGTTTCTGGGGGTGGTCTTGGACTCCAGGTCGGGCAATTTAAAATGTCTATATAAGGGCTTGCACGCATGGCTCGGGGTCCTCCTCTTCTCTCCTGTGTGTGTGGGGTGGGTGAGCACCCTGTTGCAACAGTTAATAAAGATCAGGCTTACTAGCTGCTTTGCTTCTCAATATTCTCTGGTTGGCCTCTGTTATTTTTTCCTATCGATAGAGAACCTACAAAAGGACTCTATATGGGCTCTTGGGGAAAAGGAGCAGTTTTTTTTTATTTATATCAGTAGTAATAGTAATAATAGTAGTAGTAGTAAGAAGAAGAAGAAGAAGAAGAAGAATTGTAGCTCTGGAAGGGGAATAGGTAGTTCTAAACAATGGTTAGCAACCTTAACAAACTACAGCTCCCAGAAATCTTTGGAGGAAGCCACAACTGTTTAAAGTGGCAATGTTTAATGTTTAAAACAATGTTTAAATGAGGCATAGGCAAACTCGGCCCTTCAGATATTTTTGTGACTACAATTCCCATCATCCCTGACCACTGGTCCTGTTAGCTAGGGATCATGGGAGTTGTAGGCCAAAAACATCTGGAGAGCCGAATTTGCCTATGTGGTGAACATTGTAATCCCATGTGTCAGGGGTGGGGAACCTTTGGCCTTCCAGATATTGTTAGACTACAACTCCCATCGTCCCTGACCCTCGTCTGTGCTGGTTGGGGCTGATCAGAGTCGGAGTCTGGAGGGCCACAAGTTTTCCATTCCTGCTGTATGTGCATACGTCACAATCCACACCAGACCTTTGAAGCATTTCACAGTCGTGGAGGATCATGGAAACTACAGCTTGTTAAGGGTGGTATGAATTGTACCCACATGAGATCAGCACCCTGAACTAACAGCAGTGCTGAAGACTCTCTTGAGTAAGCTGTGACTGTTAAAGCAGTAGAAGTGAATGTCACATTGTTGAGCAGCCCCACTGAGCATTGTAGTATCCAACTAATCCAGAATGCGGCAGCAAGACGCGACTGGGAGCAGCCGCCGAGACCACATAACACGAGTCTTGAAAGACCTACATCGGCTCCCAGTACGTTTCCAAGCACAATTCAAAGTGTTGGTGCTGACCTTTAAAGCCCTGAACGGCCTTGGCCCAGTATATCTGGAGGAGCATCTCCATCCCCATCGTTCAGCCTGGACACTGAGGTCCAGCTCTGAGGGCATTCTGGTGGTTCCCTCCCTGCGAGAAGTGAGGTTACAGGG